GGAGTGGTTTCTCATTGCCTTTTTCACAGTTTTGAATTCAGTGTTGACCTTCTCTTCAAGGCTAAAAAGGGTCCAGTCTACTCTTCTATTTAACTCATAATTGAGCATGTTGGTACATAGGGGAAGAAATGGATTCATGCCTTTCCCCAAGTCATTAGTAAAAAGTGAATGTAACTGACTAGGCCAGAACTTGAAGTCTGCTTTCCACTTTCCTGATAGACTGATAACCGTTATACTACCTACATATCACTTTTCTTTTCTTTTTTTTTTACTATGTCATGCTCTTTCAGGACATGGCTCTCCACAGATTCCTTTATTATCTATGAATTGCCATGTATTCTTGAAGACTGAAAGATATAGGTGAGTGGTTTCCCATAATATTCTCAATATTTTGAATTCAGAATTATCCTACTCCTAGAATTACTGCCATCAAGGCTATAGAGATCCCAGTCTACCTTGCTATTTAACCTATAAGACATTATATATGAATATGAAGCAAATGTTAAAGGAGCATAGAGAAAGTATGACTCCTTAAAAAAAAAAAAAATTATAAGTAGCATTCAAAAGTCCTGCATTTGACCAATTACTTCAGGTATGGGTGGGAGGACACTTAATATCAACCATATTGTTATTGTCAGTTTTCTGTAACCTTTCCACTTGGAAGATTAAAATAAAAATAATTTCTATAAAAATTCTTGTGAAGATGCAAATGATTGCCTAACTCCTCAACCAAAAGCCAAAAACTTTATAAATAGAGTTCTATTCTGTCAGTAATTATTGCATCAATTCCTGATTATTGAAAATTTATTCAATTTTTTCTTTCTTTTTTTCCTTTTTAATGCAGACTGTCTGGATTGACTACTGAAACATTACAAAATAAATTTTAGATAAAAAAAAAAATTGCATTATTTTTATTGTTTTACTACCAAAAAAAAAAAACATAGTAGTAGTAGTAGTAGTAACAATAAAAAGCTGTTACATCCATTGTCAATTTTGACGCTTGTTTGTGTATATCACCATATAGATACACTTGTCCATCATATTGAATTTAGGATAACAGTTGAGAATTACTGGATTGGATGGCAAAATTGAAAGGGTCAAGCATAGACTATATCCTCCCATATACATCCTTGTTCAAATTAACTGAAACAAAATGAATAATTCCATTATTATTTACTTTTTCCGTATTTTTCCAATGAAACATGACCCAGTGCACATGTTAATACTTCATATGTCCATTCCACAAAGTCTTTCCTTGCAGATTAACCACAGATTCTCTATTGGATTTAAATCAGGAGAGTTTCCGGACCAATCTATAGTACTTTGATTTCCTCACTGGTAAGGCTTGCCAGTGTGTTTGTGGAGTGTTACAATTTTCGTAAACTTCCTTGGAGTAATGTCCATCACAGATAATGGCTGTAAGACAACTAATTGACAGTCGAGACAATAGTGTCTGGGCGTGATAAACATATGATGCAATCATGGATGACATAATATTTTTCAAGGCCAAACAAATTTCATCATACATCACAAAAATAGATTCATATTATTGCACACCACTGCAAATGACCTAATCTGAGGAAAAAACAGAAATTGATTACACCCTGTCATTCCAGTGGGTATAAAGCTGAATGTATGGTGAAAGAAAGGAAAGTAAAGTGGTTGCTTCAATTAATTTGCTCAAGGGTGTATATCATACTTATTATAAAACCCAGGTTGTGTGTGTGTGTGTGTGTGTGTGTGTGTGTCTGTACGTTTATATATTGGATCGGATTTCCTACATTTTTCAACCGATTTCAACAAAACTTCACAGGACTATGTAAAATTACCTTGCAGTGGTTCTGACAGCGCCAAAAATTGGAAAAACACAATTGTTTTTGCACAAAATCAATTTGAAAACACGATTAAGAGGCATCACTGTCGTGAAAATGAAAGGGGGACAATTCATATCGAGTTATACTTATTATAAAAACCCAGGTTGTTTGTGTGTGTGTTCATTTATATATGGGATCGGATTTCCTACATTTTTCAACCGATTTCAACAAAAATTCACTTTTTTTTTTTAGCAGGTAGTATTTCTTATTGTCCTGCACACTTTTTTCTTTATTTTTACATTCAGAATGCTTTAAAAATTCCATTTACAAGACAATTGTTTATAATAAAATTCTAGTCAATCGGTAGACTCATAACGATTGAAAACAATGTTTTTGTTTGAGTTTGAGTTTGACCAATTTGTAAAAAAATTAAAAAAAAAAAAAAAAAATAAAACTAATTAAGACATACGTGTCCATCAACCTTAAACAATAATCTTTGTCAATTTTATTTTTCAGTCTTTATGATGGTTGATACTTGATCTATCCCTTACTGTTACATCCCCAGGCAATGCCGGGCTTTACTGCTAGTATATTATAAAGTGTCTTTTATATAGCATATAGCTGGTGCCAGCATCTCAAAAAGCAAGCAACTGCTTTGAACTGATGGACAACAAATAAAGATATATCTTCTCAGGCTAAAGCTTTCCACTGACATGAAGTGAAAACATATTGCTAGGTCTGCTTGCTAGAAAAGTTGGTTCACCATGTTGTGATAGACAATTTTTCTCACCATGTTGTGTTGTCCTGTGTAAGACGTTAAACTACATCCGCGTCCTAGGTAAGACGTTAAACTACATCTGCATCCTGGGTAAGACATTAAACTATGTCCAGCAGCAAGGCCTCTGATCAGGAGGTTTTGAGGTGTGTGGAACCAGCTCTTAATTGCTGGTGTTCCCAGGTCCACCCTGAATCGGGGTGGTAGCACCTGTTAGGGTCCCAGCTATGGGCAAATAGTTAACTATTACCAGCAATACTTTTTTGGAAAAAATTATTACCAGCAATACAATTTTGAAGGAAATATATTACCAGAAACAGATTTTTGACAAAGCAAAATATTACCAGCATTAAATAACCCATTGAGGTTGATATGCTGTAAAATAAAATAAATCAAACCAATCTAAACCAAAGAATACATATTCTATTCATACGAATTTATCCTAAAAATGTTGTCAGCATTAAATAACCCATTGATGTTGATATGTCATTAAACAAAATAAACCAAACCAAATCACCATGTTGTGATAGACAAGTTTTCTCTTACATGTTTATAAGCCTATCATTTGTCAATGCATTTAATATTTGCTGCTACATCTAGTCTGGTGTCTCTAGACATGTATTTAGAGGTTCTTGATAAAATCAAAAGAAGAATCTGTAATGTTATCAGTTTTGAATTGGTTTCTTGACTTCAGTCTCTTTCCCACTGCCATAATGTGGCATCCCTGTAACTTTTCTATAAATGCTTACATAGTAACTGTTCTGATGAGATTTCCACTTTGGTACTCCAACTTTATGAATTTAAGTGCAGTACTAGATTGGAAGCTAGGTCTCATCATTTTCTATGCTAACAGTTTCTTCTCTTGCACTTCTCACCTGTAGAACACTCTTTTGTTTTCTTACTTTACAGTCAACTTTGATCGATAAAAATTGAAATTGCAATATCAATCATTATATTGTCTTAATTCCCATTCATTTATTGTTCTTTATCCTTGATAATTTTTTTTTCTCAGATACTTTCACACTCGGTAACCCTTGTGTCTTAGTGGCTTTATTTGCTTTGCTTGGAGTGAAATGACTTAATATACGGCAGGAGGAGGATCTGTCTGCAGTGTCTTTTATCCATCTAGAAAGACTGCATTGTATGTGCATGACTGACCAGCCACTCTCTCCTAACAATTAAAAGGTTTCCCGATAACTTAAGGAATAAAAACAAGTTGTAATGATTTTCTATATGATGTCTTTGCATTTTTACTCCAGTAGAGGAATTTGCAAAATTTTTATCCATAATCTTTTTCATAGCTAAACATGATGTGTATGCTGCAAGACATCTCCCAGGAATTGACCAGAGATTCTAAAGTCTCTCCAGACTTCCAACACCCTGAGAAGTGACATGGCTCCCCACTGTCTTTTCTACAAATATTTTTATTACAACCTCTCTGATGTGCTTGGTATCCCAACAACAAGAATTTCAGTGTGCTACTAGATTCACATCTAGGTCCCACCCGTTTACTGCTGAAATAGCTAAATGCAGCTGCCACTTCTGCTCCAACATTTTCTTTTCTCGCACTTCCTGCCTGTGGTACTCTATTCTGTTTACTTGCTTCCCTGATAACTACAATCTTCAAAAATTTAAATGCAATGTCAATTGCCATCTTCTTGAATCCCATTCATCTTTTGTCTTTTTGTCAATCCTCTCTATACTCATTATTTTCTCTCACTTTCATTCCCTGTAACCTCCTGTGTACTAGTGGCATTCCCACCCTGTTTGGGAGGTGAAATGATTAAAAAAAGAAAAAAAAAAGTTCCACTGAGAAAGCAAAAGATACCTTCCAGGAAGTGACCAGAGATTTTAAAATCTCTTCAAACTATCAAGATGTGTAACTGAAAAGGCAAAAGACATCTCCCAGGAAATGACCAGAGATTTTTAAAGTCCCTCCAGACTCCTTTGCAAGAAGTACCACTAAGAAGGTGACAGTGTCCAATTAATGTGAGGAAGTTCTATAAACCTTGAAAGAGATGGATATATAGGTATATCAATGTTCACAGCCTGATGATCAAAACAGCATTTGTTTTTCATAATGTCCTTCTTTGCCAATAAATTTAATTCAGTGGTGAATATTTATTACATCCATTGGAAATTTTCATTACTGAATTGGATGGCCAATTGGAAGGGTCAAGCATAGACTATATCCTCCCATATTCAATCAAAATTCAGCTAAGTATGTATCAAGCTATGGATACAACATTGTATATTAGATTGAGAGAAAACAAAAATATTTGTTCAAATCTCCTTTCTTTTGATGAAAATTAAAAACTCATAAAAAAAGCACCAAAAATAAATGCTAGAATGTAATCATCTGTCTATAATTTTTTGTTTTTAATCATGCTTGTTTATTTTCATCTTTGTAGACAGAAGAAGAGCGAGAATGGTTTGCTGAAGCGTTTGAGACAAGAGATTCCATTGAACTTTCTCCAGAACGGCAAACTGCTTTGGCCAAGTTGATGCTCAAATGTCAAGTGAGTTCTTTAAGTTTTTCTTTTGGACTTCTTCAGTTTTATTTGCTCAAAAGTCCTGAATATTAAACAATACGCATATCAGTCAGTAACCTCAACAAGTCGTCATCTGAATTTCTGGGACGAGGAGTCGTCATTATTTACGCTCAGACCAACACCCTCGTCTTTGCTGTTATTACACTGTTTTGGCTATTGTGCCCACCAGACTTCTTCAGTTGCTTGCCAATCTAGGTAACTTTCAGGGAATTTCGAACTGAACATGTTATTTAATCTACGGGGATAGATTGTTCTCATTCTATAATCCATGTCTAGGGACACCACGTCTTTTTTTATTTTTGGTATTGCAGTTATTGTTTGTGCTGTTGCCACTGAGTCTACCACTGCACTACCCAGCCTAGGGATTGAACTCACAATTATCTAGCAAATAGATGAACCAACAATTTAATCTTTTATAAACCTTGAAGGGGAAGGATATATGTCTGGTAAACAATCTACCCCCCACCCACTAGATTTAATAAAGGGTTCATTTTGAAATTCCCTAATGGTTACTGTTGTGGCCGTGTTAGGGCCAGAAATAAAGACAGAAGAGAAAAATTGAGTTAAACAAATATATTAACAGAAACAGTAATACAAACATCTACAAACAAGAGTGTTCAGTCCAACTGTCAGAGCTAACTGCTGGAAACTTCACCCTCCAAAAGGCAGTACCTGCTCCTATTTATAGCTAGGAGAGTCCATGCGTGCATGGTTAAATTACCATAACAATTACCCAGGTTGACAAGCACCTGAAGAAAGCTTGGAGGCACAACAGCCAAAACATGATAATAACAACAAAGATAAGGATGTTAATCAGAGTAAATAATTACAAGTCATTGTTAATATTTCACTGATAGAGTAGTTCTCAAATTGGGTCAGGTGGAGTCACTTGATTCCTAGGGGAGGAATTTTAGTCTAGGTAAGTGTTAATTGATTTGTGGATTTAACAACCTATCAAACTCTGTTGGATTATTTAATACTAAAATATTTTTTATCATATTTGTATCAGTAGGTAAGACATAGACTGTTTATGCTTGAGACGATACGTTATATTTATACATGAGTCCATATGTTGTTCACATGAGAGTCTGCAAGCATCCACCAGGTAGGGATCTAGCTGTAACACCCTTTTTTATTTATTGAACAAAAAGAAATTACAGTAGTTTAAGAAAATTTATAAGTATTGTCACATCAAAACAAACATGATTTGTTATGATTAACAAACTAGTTAACATGTTCAAAATGCTTCCTTTCATGTTCAATACAATGTTGAACCCTATCAGCAAGACTTCTGTGGGTAAAATGAAATAAAACCAATAAATAAAATAACAAATTAAAAATAAATTCATTTTCCCATCATGCATGTTATAGAGAAACCGAAAAAGGTTTATGGTCACATGTGCAATTTTATGACCCCATTTCCAGAAAGGACAGAATCTTTCTCTTTCTCCTTCTGGCTTCAAGATGTTTTGTTTTACGGCATATCAACCTCAATCGGTTAATGCTGACAAAGTTTTTATTGATGGTAATATTTTGTTTTGTCAAAAATATATTTCTGGTAATATTTTTTCCTTCAAAAACATATCACTGGTAATAATAATTTTTTTTTTTTTTTTCAAAAATGTATTGCTGGTAATAATTTTTTTTCAAAAATATATTGCTGTAATAGTTTTTTTTTTTTTTTAAATTTATTGCTGATAATAACTTTTTACAAAGTATTTCTGGTATTAAAACCTATTTTTACACTTTCATAATGTTTTGATCCCAGTTTGGGAGTTAACTATTTACCCATAGCTGGGACCCTAACAGGTGCACCACTCCAGGTCAGGGTGGACTTGGGAACACCAGCAATTAAGAGGTGGTTCCACACTCCTCAAAACCTCCTGATCAGAGGCCTTGCTGTTGGATGTAGTTTATCGTCTTACCCAGGACGCAGATGTAGTTTATTGTCATACCCAAGACGGGGCTTCAAGATGTGAACCATATGTTCCCACTGGGGAATGTTAGTTTCCCTGGTCCACTGACAACTGAATGTTTTCCACTTACCAACAACATCATTGAACATGTTTTAGCAGACCTATCCATAAAGTAGGGATTCAGCCATCCCAATTCAGCATGAGGCTGACTTGAACTCGACCATCTTTACCTGTTCATATCCTTACTTCCCATAAATCTTTTCAGAACTAAAAGGAAAATAAACATACTCAAGAGACCTTTAGCATTAACACAAGGTTTTTGTATGCTTCTTCTGTCTTCTTTATTTACATACTGAACATGCATCTTCACCTAAAAAAATAATTCACACAACACCTACGAGGTTGTTAATATCCACACTTCTACAAACCATTTGACACATTTATAAATTAATTTCAGAAAATTTACCAGAAATTGCTTGTTTTAATTTAGGAATTGTTTACAGTTTGAGCCTGTAAACAAGATCTTTCCATATATTCTGCAAGAAAAAGTCTGGTGGTGTTAGGTCCAGTCATGGTTACTCAATTTCTTCACATCATAATTCCATCTCGGCTGGAAAAAAAAAAATGTGGTGTTACATTTGTCACACCCTTTATATGTGTCGAAGTAGAGGATGGATGACACAAAAAATGGAAGTAACAAACTGGTTTTGAATTCAAGTTGTGGTTTTTTTTTTTTTTCATTTTTCAAATTAAAAAAAGAAGAAACAATTCTACGTTTTTGAGTTTTTAATTTTAATTAAAAGAAAAATTTAAAGTAAGATTTTTTCTTTTTAATCTAGTGTGTGTGATTGAATCAATAAGTCTGTCGTCTGAGGTATAGTTATAAGCTAAATTTTAATTAAAAATTTTCTTTTAATAATGCTTAATCAGTGTTCACCATGAAAATAAGTGCACTGACAAGGAAGGGTGTCATGCTGAAAAATGTTTCAGTCAAATGTTTTCTTTATCGTTAGGCCACAGACATATTAATCTACCTATATATGCGTCTGCTTCAAGATTTGCACAAGTTTCTGAAGTGTATGTTACAAAATGAACACTTTGCACTAATTCCTTTAAGAAAGGCATAGATTCATTTCTCCCTGTATGATCTTATGAGCAAAAATATTGCCATAATGTTTTGCTGCTAGTATGCAGAAGAATAGTGAGGGAATATTTGAGCAAACCATTCTCTCATAACTATTTTACCCATCCAGACATTGGCAGCATAAAGATGCTATGCCCTTTATCAACCTTGACAGAGACTGGTTTGTGTATGTATTAGATTGGTTGCTTCAATTGCAATTCTTCTTTTATATACTGTGTCCCTTCAGGACATAGGCGATCATTGTTCTCTACATCTTCCTGTTTCCTGTAGCTCTTAAGAAGTTTTTTCCTTTTGTTATTTCTCCTAAACTCTGTTCTACCATCCATTTATATAACCTCATCAAGTATGTTATGTGTTGCTTTCCTCTATCTTTCTTTCCCTCAATCTGTCCTGTGAGTATTAGATTTTCCAAGCCCTCCTTCCTCATTACGTGCCCCAGAAATTTCAAATGCCTCTTCCTGATGGTAAGTATGTTTGCTTTTTGTTTCCATTCTCTCCAAAATTTTGTTGTTGTTCACATGTTTGGTCCATGCACTAGAAACCCAAATTACCAAGCTCTGCCAACTTGATGATATGTTGACCTTCAAAGCCAAAAATAACAAAGTCAAATTTTGTCAATCTAGTCAGATCATAACATAAAATGACAGCAATCTGTGTTTCAAGAGTGGGTGTTCTGACTCAACTGGTAAAGAGATAAGTTAATTAGTCTTATTGGTAGAAATGAAGGCTTCGGTCTTTTGTCATGTGTTTCATCGCCCTTTCCTCACGTTAAGGCTGTTTGATACTTTAAAAAAAAAAAACATTGCAAAACTTACAAATTTATATACCTTTTTTTTATCTGCGATTTTTTTTTTTTTTTTTTTTCCAGAATAAATTAAATTTAATTTTTGTTTTCTTATTCACATAGTGGAATTCTACCCAATGAGATAGAAAGAAATGTGATCTCTGCTAACACTTTGAGATATTTTTTTGAAATTTTATTCCTCTATCCCATGACTTCCTCCCTCCTCCTATGTTATTTATTTATTCTTTATTTTTTTGTGAATGCAGACTTAAGGTCAAACATATCAGATAAGGATGATCTTCAGACAGAAAACTATTTGTTAGATTTGTGTGTGTGTGCGTGTGTAGTGCAATAGCTGTTGAAGCAGAAAACAAACTTGGGGAGCAGAGTTCAAGTTTTGGCAGAGTTTTTTTCATTCATTTCACATTTATGACCTTGGAAAAGACTTAAATCTATACCTTCACTGGCCACTGTCTAACCTTGTGTGGCATCCAGTCTAGGAGAAAAACTATGAATTGAAAACAATGGAAAAGTCAATAGCAAACCACTCTAGTCTCTTTCCCAAGATATCATAATTCATAGATAAAAGGAATCTGTGGAGAGACATAGTCGCCTATATCCTTTCTTAAAACAAAAATGTGTCAGAAAAAAAAGTTATGACCAGGATAACTAGCAGAAAAAAACGTGTTGTCCAAAGTACAGTCTTGGCTTATTGATAAATTCAAGTTGCTGTCATTAAGATACTTCTAAAATCAATTATTCAGTATTGCCTGTATATTGATTGAAAGGTTTAAGACATTTCTAATGTAAATTTCTCGAGTATGAATAACAACTGAAATATCAACTCTATTCTAAATGTTATGATAAATATATTTTTTATGAGTCATCCAAATCTGTAGACCATGCCATGTGCCTTTTATGTGTCTCTATAAACTATTCATTTCTATAAAGGAAAAATCTCAGCCTAGTATTTAAGTAAACTCTCACACAATTTCCATTGTAACTTCTTTTTTTTTAATATAGCATCTCCAAAAATTGTAGCAGCAGATAATTACTGCAGACATTAAGGAATGACATAACTCCCTACTTTTGTAGAAATCACAAGAAAATTTCTTTAAAACCTATTAAAATGATCCGAGGACTGATAACTGAAATTCCCAATATTCAAAATGCCTAAATTAGATTGTAACAAATGTTACATGTTTGTATCCCCAATGAGGAATAAACTCATTGCAGTAATCATCTGTAAGGCTAGTTTTTAACTACTAATCTATAAAGAAGTACTCATTCCATGAATGCAATTTAATTTAACAATATTGAGCAATTGTGGGAGTTTGGCCAAGAAATGGTCAAAAACTGACACTCACTATTGCCAGAAACTTAAAAATTATAGAACAAGAAAGGTCAATACCATGACCTCAAAAGGAGGAGTTACCAAATATTAGATTTAATGGTTCCCTTACTTTTGCACATCTTAATTTTAATTAATATTTTAATTCCAATTTAATAAAAACTTTTGAAAGTGGTCTTAATTTATTTAATAAAGGTTTTTCTTAATTAATATATAGTTCAATTAAGACTTGTTGGACAAAAGAGACATATTTTTAATATTTTCTTAGGGGTTCATATACTTTTGTGCAACACTGGTGAAACTGTTTTATAAAGTACTACAAAATTCTTTTTTTTTTTTTTTTTTTCTCAAAGACCTTCAATACCTTACTGGGTTTTATTATTAACTAATTCAGTCAGTTATGTGCCATGTGTAATACATGCTTAGACGATCATGTATCTTTCGATACATGACTGATGAGGCAGATTTTTTTCCTGTAGTAGGTTGCCATTTCTTTCTGCAGTAGACCAGTTGCCATCCAAGGCTATAGAACCTGGTCTGTCCTGCTATTTACCCATAGCTGGGGTGAGAAGAAAAATCATATCTTTCCCAAGGGTATTAGAATGTAAGTGAATGTAATGGATTTGACTGGAATTCGAACTTGACTCTCCGATTCCTCAATCTGAGCCACTATCCATTACTCCACCATGCCTCCTCATTAACTAGTTAGTTGATGATATTTTAATGTTGTAAACTGATAGATTTGAGCATGTACTTTGAAACAAGCATTCTGACCACTTGGGTTCACAGTCTATGAACATGTAGAAATCAGGTTGGTTTTCTTTATCAAGGTCACCATTTATAGGTAAATCAGTCGTCTATCTATTTTTCACATTAAAAATCCGGACATCCAAATTCCAGACAATAAAAAAACTAAAAATAAAGAAATTATGTTTGTTAAATAAATCAATTCTATTTACAAACATATCTTCATGAATTCCAAATGAAGTAAAAATAGTCTTTAGTTGAGTTAGTCTTTGAATAGTTGGTCCACAGAAAAATGATGTGGTTGAAAAAAGGCTTTTATTGTTAGCAAAAATTTATTTACCATCTTTGTTGTAATAGCTGATTTGTTTGAAGTCACTGACATGTTTCTTTCAGCACACGCTGGGGAGTAAAAAGCACATCTTCTCTAGTGTTCATCTTTGAGAGAGCCACTTCTCTGATCTTTGAAAGTCAAAATGTGTGGATTTTTATAAATTTTTCCTGAAAGTAGGCTCCATAAAAATAGGGTTTTAGTTTTCTCTGATTGGTCAAATATTTCACATGATGATGTTAAACTAGAAATTTTGATTTAAATGGTGTGTTTTATTGTAGAATCTTTTTGGCATGTTTATAATATTGTCTGTTATTGGATAGAAAATAAAGTTTGGGCGTGTTTTAATATGGTATTTATGTGGGTATGTAATTATGTTGGAAATAGCATTTCTTTCCTATAAACACATAGATATAAAGGAAAGGACTAAATCATAAGATCAAACATTTGAAGTTTCTTCTGTTCAGGGATTGATCTTTGATTTGTGTTAATATTGAGACTATTCCTGATATTACTGTAACAAAAATATACTTTTTCAACAGTAATTGTCAAGTTTCCAAATTTGTAAGATATTAAGATTCTCACAAAACTGACCAATAATCAAATTACCTATGTTTATTTTCTTGAAATTTATCTTTGTTTTTTATCTTGTCATCATATTTTTCTGTTATTCTATTTTCTCATAGTTGTAACAGCATTATATTAGTAAGCACAGTGAAGTAGTGGCTATCAGCTCGGATTGAGGAATCAGAGAGCCAAGTTCAAATTCCATTCAAATCCATTACATTCACTTACATGCTAATACCCTTGTAAAAGGTATTAATCCTCTTCTCCCTCCAGCTATGGGTAAATAGCAGGACAGACTGGCTTCTATAGCCTTGGATGGCAACTGGTCTAGGAGAAGGACAACTCTGAATTCAAAACCTGCAGAGGGTCATTTGGGGACCTTGTGGCATGTAGTACACCAGGTCTCTGTATTTGTCCCTTCAAAAAGTATGGTTGGTTCTGCACAAAGCCTTCACCACTATAATCAAATCATATGTGCTGGTGTCTGGCTGTCGGTTCCTAAGAACCGAGTTGCTTCATCCTCATACATCGAATACAATGAGAGAGTCCATAAATATATATATATATATATATATATATATATATATATATATATATATATATATATATATATATATGTGTGTGTGTTTTAGAAATATTTTATTTAAAAATAAATAAATGTTTGGGAATATTGAGATACACTTTTTAAACCTGTTTGACCTTTCTTTGTCAAAATTACTTAGCTGTTCAAAGATTAATTTCATAAATAATATTTCCTTTTAATTTACAAACATTTCAAAACTGAAATTGTTCTCAATGTTTTCTAATGAAATATATATAAATATATAATCATTTTCCTTTTTTCTACAGGCTTTTGACCATTTCCTGGCATCAAAGTTCACCACTGTCAAGCGTTATGGAGGGGAAGGCTGTGAAAGCATGATGGCGGCATTTGATGAGATTTTCTCTCAATCTGCTCAGTGTAATTTTTTTTCTTTTTTAGTATTTCTTTTGTTGGGTGGGGATTTCATTTTCTGCTTGCCTGACTCTGTCCATGTCCCCTATTTTTTACTGTCAATTTTTCTGCTCCCATCTATTTCTCTTACTAGTTTCCGGCTTCTTGCTAGTTTCTTTACATTGTTTTTTTTTAAATATTATTTCGGTTTTATTTCTTTTTACTTTACATTTTTTGCTTTACTCAATCATAAATAAGATAATTAATAGAATCCCTATATAATATATATTATGTTTGTATTAATAGTAAAGTATATACCTACATAACTAAGGCATCTGTCATGATCCCCCAAAAAATATTAATCAAGCTTCCTCCACTTTTAGGACAGCAAGCCTTTTGTCTCCATCTCTTCCGTTTTTTTTCACCTGGATTTCTTTTCATTTTTATTTATCTTACTTATTTACCCCTTACCTTCCCCCATTCATATCCTTTTTATTCCTTCCTCCTTTCCTTTTCTCTGCCCCTCCATTCAGTTGTGTATATGAATAGATAGGAAGTTGACAACTCTAATGTGTGTATATGAGAGAGAGAGACTTTTTACAGAATACAAATATTACATTGATCTTAGCTAGCTAGGGCCAGAGCACACCACTGATCTGAGGTAGAATTGCTGATCCATCCATACATACATAAATAATCCAGTCATTTTTGACAGCCACTGCATAGTTAAGACATGAATCCTGCCTTGATTCAAACAAGGTAAGCAGGCAAATGACATATCACTATGCTAGTAATCTGTTTCTAGATTAGCACAGTAAAATTAGCTGGCAAATACATATGTAAATATAATGATGTTATTTTGTGTTCTCTAGATGGTCATATTTCCACTCTTAATTGATGATGATCAATTTACAAAAAAATCTGTGATAATTAACAACCACTCAATTAACTAAAAATCTGCGGTAATTAACACTTCTCACCAATAAATGTAGGAGTTAAAAATGGTAAGAGATATTGAGGGTTAAGGAAGGTAACAGAAAGGTTTCAGCACAGATGTAAGTTTAACTTTGCTTATATTTAATCATATTTGATTCTAATCCAGATATATATATATATATATATATATATATATATATATATATATATGAAGAAATATATTTTTAAGGTGTGCTATATTTATGGGATAAAGTGCTCAATATCAGAGATAGAGCATATGTAAATATAAAAGTGACCATTGAAGTCAACACTCAGAGGCAACAGGCTGTTTCATGCTGGCCACAATCCTCAGGCTTGAAAATTTATATATGTGTGTGTGTGTGTGTGTGTGTGTGTGTATTAAAGAAAAACAAAATCCAATGATGGAACCAATGGACAATTTGCCAAAACCTAAAACTCTTATCCAGATACAGTCTTGAATAAAAACAACAATACTGAAAAAAGAAAGAGAAAAAAAGGCTTAAGGCAAACTTACCTGCTCAGTAAAGTGCTCAAAGCCTAGATTGCTTAGACCAAGCAAAAAACACATAACAACATTAAATCCTATGGAAAGATGGTTTTTGCCATAACCCAAGTTTCATGCTCATATGAACTTCAGACATCTTGAATGGGGTTCAATTGTGTAAGCATGAAACTCAGGTTATGTCTAGAGCCATCCTGTTATAGAATTTGACGTTATAAATGAGCAAGAGACGTTTACATACGAATCAACTCTGCATGACTGTTATTTTCACTCTTCAACATGATCTTCGGAACAAGAATACAACTACTACTTTTGCAGGCTACATATACATACAGTCCACTCAAGGAGTAGTGGCACTTGCTCTAAAAATCACTTTGAAGCTGACAGTCACCATGCAGTGTTTATTCCTATGTCCACACTGTCTATACATATAAATTCTCTATCTCTGTTATTGAGAAGCATTTCACCTATAAATATAGCAAATTTAAAAATATACATATTCAATAAAAGTACTTAACATTTATTTGCTTAACGCTTGCAACTTTTTTCAAACAAAAGCAAAGTTTTGTAAGAAAGAAAATTACACAAAAAGATAAAAATTACAAATCAAGCATTTAACAAAATTCTCTTTCACAGAAATGCACAGATTGTTTAAAATGCAAATATTTTTAATTCCAGTAAAGTATCTAATGAAAGAAAATACAAGTGTTGTTTGTAGAACTGGAACATTTTGCATTGTAGCAGAATGCTTTCAGTACCCACTGTTCTTAAGTAGTCTCCCATTTAAGTAGTGACCAGACTTGACACTGCTTTACTTTGGTGATCTAAATTGTTAGATCATTATCTGTATGATGTAACATGATATCAAGGACAGGTAGTCTTGTTTGTTTACACAGAAAGTATGTAATTAATTCAACAATAATATTTATTAACATTTTTTAACAAAAGCAAGGTTATCATGCAAGAAAATTATACAAGAGAAAAGATCAAAAAATATAAATCAAATGTTTATCAAAATTCTCTTTTACAGAAATGCACAGATTATTTAAAAGGTAGATATTTGAATTCCAATAAAGTTCCTTTGATAGAAAGAAAATACAAATGTTGTTTGTAGTTCAGTCAAATTGATAAAATTCAAATTTATTATAAACAGTGCTCATGACTGTCACAAAAAAATCATATCTTTATGTGCATATGATCGAGTGATTAGAGCATTAACATTCTGACCATAAGACCTGGGTTCAAATCTCACTATGGGTGATTTGTCAAGGAAGTGACTTTTTGACAATATCAAACTGGGGAGATGGTATTTATCAATTCACCCACAGGAATTGAATGTGGCACAAGGCCTTTTTTAATGTGGGTATGTCTGAGCCCGTAGGCCCAGCCAAAAATAAAACCCATCTAAACCCGTCCAAGCGGGCTAGTTCAATCAACCTCCCGAACGAAACCCTACCCTTCGGCGGAGCTTCGTCGGGTTCCTCTCTGCAAGCAGAGAGTTCGACAGACACCGGCTCGGCAGCTCACAAAGCACAGATACTACACTTTGATCCTAGCCACCGGGCCGAGCGGGTATTCTTTTTAGAGATCAAACTGGGGAGATGATCCCAGTGTGTTGCACCATCAAGGAGTTCCTGAAAACAGTTACAACAGATTGAGTCAAGTTTTGTAGGTGAAACTGAGTAGCCAAAGATTAGAAAGTTGTGCTAGCACAAAGTCACAAGTCATTATAATCAACGATTCAAGTTTGCCTTGTTAAACTACCCTGGTGTTCAAAAGTTTTGTAATAGCTACACAAAATAATTATACTTTATTTTATTAAGAAGTCAAGATTGTTTAAAAGCATGCTTTTATCAGTAGTGTCTGTGGACCTTAAGGATTAAAAAAATAGTTGTATTTTTGCAGGTGCCTTGTAACAAGATACACAGCTTTAAGAATCTAAAAAAAAAAGGCCAGTGAAAGATCTGAGATGATAGTCATGATAATGTGCAAAGTTCTTAGTATGAATTGTTCCATCTTATTAATATGAGTGTCAAGTGCCATTGTAGTTGAACATTATTTTCTTTTTTACATGAAAACCATGGCTAAAATTTCTGCTGAAACAAAGAATAAAGTTGTGACTTTGAAGGGGAAGATAGCCCAACAAGAGATAGCCAGGCAGGTGGGAATTTCCAGAATTTATATTATTTGTGTTAACATCACCTGCTGATGAAGTAGAATGTTTTGCTTGTAAATTCTCTTCAAATTCTACTCTTGACTCATCTAGAGTATCTTTACATGACTTTTCACTTAGAACTGAGCCTCTATTTAGTGATATGTATATAATTATGTCCATGGTTTCTGCTATCAGCTCAAACCTGGATCCCCATAAAGCATGTGGAAGTTATGGTATCCCTGCAATAGTCCTTAAGAATTTTGCTCCTGAACTGGCTCCTGTTCTCTGTAAACTCTGCAGTAAATTTCCAGCTGCTTCTTGCGTTCTTGCTTGTTGGAAGTTTTCTTCCATAGTTCCAGTCTTTAAAAACTCAGGTGAGCCATCTGATCATTATAACTACCTTTTTTTTTTTTTTTTTTTTTTTTTTTTTTTGAGGCTCTGATCATCTTGGAAGGGTCTTCTTTCAGATAAGCAATATTGATTTTACTTCTTTAGGTCAACTATTGATGTATTAATAATTATTGCTGAAAAAGTCTATTAGAAAAAGAGTGGTGAAGCTCGGGCTATTGTTTTGGATATCTCAAAGACAGTTGACTGGGTTTGGCATGATGGTCTTCTTCACAAATTGAAAGGTTTTGGTATAAATAAATTTTTTTTTTGGTATAGATAAATTCTTGAATTGATTCAGTCTTATCAAATTGGACCTACTTTGTTGCTAATTTCTATCAACAACTTTCTTGATGTCATCAGTTATCAACTTGGTATCTATGCTGATGACTCAGTAAGTCTGATTGGTTTGATATGGTCAAATTGGCAGCTGATCTCAAAAATTATCTACAGTCTATTGTTAATCAGAGCAAGGAATGTCTTCTTAATTTTAATGCCTCTAAAATGAAATTGTTCTCTTTTAATTGTCTAAGAGAACCACTTTACCTGCCATCCACATAACTGATGCTAATCTCCAGGAGAGAGTGACTTATTGTGCCTTTTCAAGATAACATTTTCTGCTGACATGAAGTGGAAAGAATATATTGAATCAACTGCTAGATCTGATGCTAGGAAAGTGGGTTCATTGTGTCATGCTAGACAATTTTTCTCGCTAGAATCTATCTTATATATTTATGAGTCTACCATTCGTCCATGCATTGAATGTTGCTGCCATATCTGGTCTGGTGCTTCTGCTATGTATTTAGAGATTCTTGATAAAATACAAAAAAGAATCTGTAATTTTATGTTTTAACTTGGCTTCTCAGCTTCAGTCTCTTTCTCACTGCCATAATGTAGATTCCCTGTGCCTTTTCTATAAATTTTTTCGTAGTAATTGTTCTGATGAACTTTCCTCTATAGTACTTAGACATTTTGAATTTAAGTGCAGTACTAGATTGGCAGCAAGGTGTCATTATTTTACAGCTAAAATGGCTAGATGTAACTGTAAGTTCTATGCTAACAGTTTCTTCTCTTGCACTTAATTATTTATGGAATTCACTTCCGGCTTCTTGCTTTTCAACATTGATCTTCAAAAATTCAAATGTAATATCAATCATTATCTTCTGTCTTCATAATTCCTCTTCTTTCCTTTTTTTCCTCATATTCACTCGCACTCAGTAACTCCTGGCATCTTAGTGGCTTTATTACTTTGTGTGTGGTGAAGTGATTAAAAAAGAAAACATTGTTCAAACCATGTTTGCTTCTACTGGAAGTGATTTAGGTGCAAAAAAAGAAAAACCCTCAGAAAACCACAAAAGATAGACAAGAGAGATGAAAGAAAGATTATGAGAGTTTCTGTAGGCAAATCCAAAATTAAGTCAGACAAGTGAGGAGTGTATGTGCTTCTTGCTTTCCAATTAACTTTGAATGTCAAAAATTTAGATGCAATGTCAAAAATTTAGATGCAATGTCAATTGTTATGATTTGTCTTCTTAATTCTTGTTCTTTTATGTTCTCTCTCCTTACTAGTGTTTTTTCTTATTTTCATATTCTTTCACTCATTACCCGGTTGCAGCTTTATTGATTTGCTTGGGGTGAAATGATTAATATATATATATATATATATCCAGCTTTCCCTGACGATCCACTTAGGTGAAACCTGGGTAGGTTTGTCTGGCTCACTAGGTTTATCTAGGTCTGCTCTACAGTTGTATTGAGCTCTTTTGTTAGTTAGTTGTTTACTCGTATTGGGGTTTTTTTCTTTGGGCTTCAAACCTGTATCTGTGCGATTTTTTTTGACAGACTTTCATGTTTCGAGCTCTTTCTTTTTTTACAACCTTTTTTTCCCTCGAGATTGATTTGATTATTGGCAAATCAAAAATTCGAGGGTTTTTCGAAATGAGTATAGTTACCTATATTTGTATATATATATATATATATATATATATATATATATATATATATATATATATATATAGGGAGCCATGGTGGATAGTGGCTTGGATTGTGGAATCGGAGAGCCAAGTTGAATTCAGTTGAATCCTTATATTCACTTACGTGCTAATACCCTTGGGAAAGCTATTAATCCTCTTCTTCCTCCAGTTATGGGTAAATAGCAGTACAGACTGGGTTCTATAGCTTTGAATGGCAACTGGTGTAGGAGCTGGACAACTCTGAATTCCCAAACCTGTAGAGGGTTGTTTGGGGACCTTGTGGTACGTAGTGCCGGTCCTTCAAAAAGTGTGGATGGTTCTGCACAAAGCCTTCACCACTATAATATATTCTCATGTGCTGGTGTCTGGTTCCTAGGACCAGAGCTGCTTAACTCTCATACGACAAATACAGAGGAGAGTCTGCCACACACACACACACACACACACACACACACACATTATATATATATATATATATATATATATATATATATATATATATATATTCAAACAGGTTTAGTTAAATAATTTAGATATACTATGTTTATTTTTGTTTTAATCCTTTTAAAAGTACTTGGGAAAATAAAATTATTTGAAAGAAAATTTTGGCATTTTTCTTAATCAATTGTCTATGGCTACCAAGAAATTGATACATGGACTTGAAAGGATTAAAACAAAAATAAACAGACATAGTATATCTAAATTATTTAACCAAACCTGTTTGAATGAAAATATGCTGCCTAAATACGCATATATAATTTTTTTCCATTTATTTACGCTTTTATTTTTATCAATTTCAGGTGGAATTTCTGATATTGTGATGTGTATGCCTCACAGGGGTCGACTCAATTTTCTCACTACGATGCTTGACTTTCCACCTGTGCGCATGTTTCAGAAGGTTTGCAATATTTTTTTTTCCCCCCGACTTTCTATACATGATTTATTATTGGATGTTTCTGAAATGTTCATTGTTTCTCTTCTATGATAACTCAAATTTAGAAACAAATACTTTCCAGTAGCCCCTTGCATCTTAGTGGCATTATCCCCTTGCTTGAGGTGAATTGATCAAAAAAAAAAAATTATTTTATCAGACACACTCAGAACACTATTTTTTTTATTTTTATTTATTTTTTAATTTTTGCTGCCATTACAAAAACCTTGTGAGACAAATTGTTGTCTTGGAAAAGAGTGTGACTCCATTGAATGTGTTTCCCTTAGACACATGAATATGAACAAGATGAAGTAAACTTTACAAATTTTAGTGCATTAAAACTGGCAATGATAATGCAAGCGAGATATCTCTAGTACAACCAAAGACCATCTGCATATTATGATATAAGATTAAGAACTGGGAGAGTACTTATCCAAACAATGAGGGTTTATTTACAGAGAGATTGACCAATCTGTTCTGCCCAAGATTGGAGTATCTATGCAATCTACCTGGAATTGGTTGGAATTGTAATACCTGTGTGTTCTGCTACTGTTCACTGTTGCACTCTAGCAATCTTAAGATCAAAGTGTATACTCTGAAAAAAAATAAAAGAAAATACACTCATCTGCATTATTTACCTTATTTGTAGTGGAACTAATATCCTTATCTTTATTGTTGCAGTCATATCAACAACAATGTTGAGGGCATTAATCTAACTGTAAATAATAATAACTCTTAATACATTCCGGAAATTCAGACAGGAAAAAGAGCATGTATGTTGCAACAGGAGTGAAATACTTTGAAATACATTACCCACTGCCTAACTGTGCTCACATCCACAATTTGGTCTCCATAAATCTTGATGAATGTCAATAAGTGAAACTTTCTTCCACATGAAAGAATTCAATGACATATTTCTGCTTTGTATGCATGACAGTTGGTCAACTGCTATCTATAACAAGCCAAAAAACAAAAAGTATGAGTTATTATTAGGGAGCTTCAAGCTTTACTGCTATATTATCGCCAACATCAATCTCATGATCATCTAACATAACAATTGACCTACATTCATATATTATTTTTAAATGTTGTGTCAAGTTCAACCAAATATTTTTTTAAATTTTTTATTGCATTTTTCCAATTTTCAAATAAGTTGTTGTACATCAGATTACAGTTGTCCAAAGTTCATAGTTTTATTTGTTTTTTGTTCAAATATTTGATCTGTTTTTGTCATTATTCAGAACTAAATGTTGTCAGTGTCATAAATGAAAGATGCTAGCTACTTCTTGCGATTTAGCTATGAGTTCACCTATTGGCCCTATTTTATCGAATTTCTACATGACTCACATAAAAAACAGAATCTTTAATAATCTTGCCAAATGTATCATTTACATTCAATATATCGATGACATTCATACTACTGAAAAGCATAGATGAAATAATTAAAAAAAACTTAAAGAGGCCTTAAAAAAACTCTGCTCTTCCATTTACTTATGAACTTAGCATTAATAATAGACATGGTGACGGTAGACATGATTTTATTACTTCTACATATAAAACACCCACAAGCAAAAACTCATTTATTACGAAATTGAATGTCCTGAGAGATATAAAAATGGCTGTTATAAAAAACATGATTATCCAAGCAAAAATAATTTCTTCTTTCCACACATTATTTTATAAAGAATTGAGAATCATAAAACAAACACTAAACAATAATTTCCGCAACCATTTCAGTAACAAGCAAATAAACCTTAAAGAATTTTTTTAAAAGAATGACGCAAATAGCCATTAACTTATTCTACTGTAACTTGATTCACCTTAATTATAAACAAGATGAAAATGCCATTAAAATATAATTTGTCAGCACGTATCACTTATTGATTGCAATAAACACCTTAGAATTATCAGTTACTTTAACAAATTTAAAACATGCCACTTTATCATTACCAATAACCTACTAAATGCAAATATTGGTTGCAAATGCACCGCACTCTCTCATAGGTTAACTTGTCACTTATCAAAACTCAAAGTGCAATTTTTCATTTTATTCAATCACTTCCTTACCAATAACTCACAACCCCCCAGCGTAAAAAAATAATATTGCTTCTGTATTCCTGCATCTTTTGGGAGATTACATCTACAATGACAAAATATCAAAACTAAAAAAGCAAAAAAAAAAAAAAAAGAGAGAACCCAGCACCTCAATGATTCTCTAATTAAGTTCCTCTAGGCTTGTAGTAAAAGAGGGGATATAGACCTGTCCTTTCACATAGTGCCATAGAAAAAATTACAAGCATCTTAGATTTATCTTTTACTATGAAAGGTTTAAAATCTATTCTAATTGGGGGTTAACTATTTACCCATAGCTGGGACCCTAACAGGTGCTACCACCCCAGGTCAGGGTGGACCCGGGAACACCAGCAATTAAGAGGTGGTTCCATGCTCCACAAAACCTCCTGATCAGAGGCCTTGCTGTTGAATGTATCTATGCGAGAAAGTGTGGGTTGCACATGTATCTGTAGTGGTAACTTACCTTGGTGACCCAAAAGGGTCAGAGTCACTTCTATGTTTTGCAAGGGAGTGTGAAGATGGCAAATCGGTGAGCTTCAGACAAATGGTGAAGCGGACAGCACTTTGTGCTGATGAAAGTGGTGGTGTCACTTGTAGCCATTTTTATTGGCTGGTTCTTGGTGCTCATTGGCTGAGTGATGGCTGGGTCAGGTGCATAAAAGCATGGTACGCCTATTCAGCAGGAGTTCGCTTCTGACGGGGAGTGGCGTATTGGAGATCAAGACAAGGAGAGAAGTCTGGATTTGTTTTGCCTAGTGAACCTATTGGACTTGTACTACCTTTCCCCCCACTTTCTTTTCCTGTATGTGCATCTAACCAATTTTTGCACAGTATCATATTTTGGCCCTGGATATGTTACCATGACTGCAGTATCATAGAATTGATAAAATTAATCTATTATCATTTAGATTGATTTTCTATCTGATAATATACATATCTAAAAATCTGCTTTGAAAGTGCCACTTCTCTTGTGATTGGCTTGCAATTAGTAACCTTATATCCTGGTTGGAAGCAGCTCTTGTCTCTGATTTGGTTGCAAGACTATGATTCTGGTCGAGACAGTTTCTGATTGGTTGGTCGAAATATGACTTCATGGCCTAGTGATTCTGAATATACATCTATTTTTAGAGATGTTGAAATTTTGGTCTCCTTTTTATTATTTGTTTATTTTTATTTATTTTTCTACCATTACACAAATATAACTAACATCTTTTATTTCCACTGACAGTAATTAATTTCAGATAATGATTTAATCCAAATCTTTTATCGAATTGATAAATATAATCATTGATTCTATAATGCAAACATTTTATTTAAATTATTATTTTTTATATAGATGAAAGGTTTGACAGAATTGCCACCCAATGCCAAAGGAAGTGGAGATGTTCTTTCTCATTTATGTAAGAACTTTGACATTTTTGTTTGTCTAATATTTTTATTGCACTGTTAGGAATCCATAGCTATTGTAGTGGTTATATTTTTAATGTAACATTTACTATCTTGTGCTATTTTTATCTGTTTTTAATCTCTCAAAGAATCAGTTTAGATCTGTCATCAATTCTTGCCTGCCTACATGATTTCATACTGCTTTGGTCAGAATAAGAAAAACAAATAAGCAAATAGATTTTCAAATGATAAATATATATATATATATATATATATATATATATATATATATATATATATATATATATATGCACAAATTGTTAATACCTAACAAATACCTAATGGATTTTATTGCATTTAAAGATAAGGTGATTTTTGTAAACAAAAGTTTCAATATTAAAAATAGAACAACATTAGTATATTTGAAGTTGGAAGATAAATCTTCTGAACTTTTATTTATACACACACGTGTATATGTGTAATAGCTGGCTACTTATTTCCAAGTTTGCTTGTCTGCTAGGATATCTTGCTAGTCCTTGTTGCAGACACCTACTCAGGCACATTTACATTTTACAGAGTTCATGTGTGGCTTATACTTTGACTATGCTAAGCAGACCTTAGTTACAGCTTTCTGGGAGAGAGCATCTGGTATGATCAATTGTTATTAAGCTACATTTAAACCCTTAATCATTTGCACAGCTACTGACAGCTTCCAAGCAGTTATATGCATATGTTGGGTATTCCAATTTTTAAGATAGAAAATTTGACACTTGAGTAAAAAAAAAAAAAAAAATAACACATCTATGAAACCTGTATAAAACTTAATTTTATGATCATTTTTCAGCTAATTGAAGCTGAACGAATGAAATAAGTCGGATATAAATATTATTTCTAGATTTTAAGTAGGATTGGAAATATTTACTTAAACTTTTTATATTTTTACTTTGTCTCTATAAAAAATATCATTGCCTTTTTCTGGTTTGTAAAAACACTTTGATTTTAAAAATCTTCCAAGATTCATCTAATTATTGGATTTTAATAAAACTTTTGGTATTTATATAAAAGTGGATGTATATTTTTTTAATCCCATCTATCTTCAAAGTTTTACAGAGAAAGATTTTTTTTCATTTAATTACACTCCACATTTTTTAATTTGATGAATTTCAATTGTGTATCATGTATCAAGGTCTATCACACTAGGATTTACACTTTTTAATGATAATTCCTTGAAAAATAAATCCTGAAAAACTGGTACTCAAAAGAAAAGTCAATATAATCAGATGCCTTATTCTTGAATAAAAAACATTAAAACATAATGCTTTTTGAACATTTTTCATAATTACAATTTAATTTAATCTCTAGGAGTATTATCTGTAACAAAAAAAAGCAAATTTTCTTTAATTTTTTTCTATAATATTGATTTAATCTTTTAAAAGGAGTATCACTAACTTGATGTGCTTTATTTGGAAAAATATTCTCTGCAAATATTCTTAAAATATTTAAAGAAATATTATATGGCTGTTGATGAGATATTATTAACTATGGATGCACAGACCTTTAAACATTTCTACTTTCTAGTTGTCATCATTCACACACTAGTTATGTTGCAGATAAGGTGTACTGATTGAAAGAACAAATAAATGACTTATGTCATACATGAAATTTAAATAACTACACAATTCCAAAATAGGATCCAGCAGATTTAAATAAGGATTTATTTTTTAGATTAAATAAACTAATATGGTAGATTGTGCATTGATTTCTAATATCTGCATGTAAACCACTGAAATATTTTGCAATTGTTTTTCTTTTTTTAGTTGTTCCAATACTTCACTTGTGTATAAATTATATGATTCATTTTTTGAATAAAATAGTTTGCTTCCTAAATTTTTCAGTGAAAATTTTACTTCTTTAAATATCATAATTTTCACCAAAAAATAGTAAATGTATTTGAGTTTTTATTACATTCTTTGTAAACATTTCATGTGACAAAATTAAATTTTAAAATAATGATTGTTCTATTTAAAAAAAAATCTTGATGAGGAACAAAAAAATTACAGAATAATAATAAATTAAATATTGATATTTTTTATTATTATTATGGGCCACCATACTTAATTACAGAAGCAATTCAGTCTAGAGCTATCAACATGAATCTGTGTTGTCTGTCAAATTGACTTTTGACCAGTGCTAACATTAGCAAGTCATTGATTTTATAAAAATACATTTTTAATTTTATTTTAGATAAAATTTCACATTTTCTTCATATTGTTATATCGTGTAATGATTAAAGTAACTATTTCCCATAAAATTGTCTTGATGTTACAATTATTTTTATTTTTAATAGTTTTTTATTTTTATTTCTTTACAATACCGAGTTTCTTTCAATCAGATAGCAGCCATTGTGATTTTTGCCAATTCAAGGGAAAATTTTGACTTTGTAGCCATTTAATATATAATTCAACCTTTATTAATTGAGTGTTTTTTTTTTTTGCAAAATGCAAATTTAGGCTCTTATGTTTGTTGTGATAGTAATACAAATCTTAAGAACTCACTTTTTAAATTGTTAATTAATATTTTTCAGCAAAATATAAGAGCTTCAAAAAGCTTGTGTAAAAGAAAAAATAAATAACATATTTTTTTGTGATTTCTAAATTACAGAGTTACAATTACCAATGATACATTAGTTAAAAAAATTGATAACGGATTAAAACCACAAGTTTTCTTGCAGATTTCTTTTTTTAATTATTTAAAATTAAAATGAAAATGCTCTTATTCCATTAATTATTCTACTAGTATCCTCATTTTTGTTGTTTTGGTCACTGCAATTTTTTTTTTTTTTTTTTTTTTTGCTAATGTTCTTATTTGTCCTTTTGATCATTGTTTACCAAATAAAAATGCATGGTACATTGTTTAAGATAATTTGTTCAGATATAATAGGTAATAAAGCTTAAAACATCAATTATCTGACCTGATATTGTATACATTTGAGGAAATGATCAAAACAATGATATGGATACTCGTTTGAATTTGTGACAATACTTGGTAAACATGGAGAAACATGCCCACCACAAAAATGGAGTGTCAAAAAGATGGTTTTCCCCATGACACTGCTTTTTTAACTACCTTTACTCTTTGGTAATGTTTATTGTTTTAAAAAGCAATGATTGGAATTGGAATAAAACCTAAACTTATGATGAAAGTGAATTGATATATATATTTTTTTTTTTCTTAAGAATTTACAACAAAAATATTAAACACTATTTATTAGATGGTTTATTTACAAGAATAATTTTACATTTACAATATTCTAAAAACTAATACAGTATAACTAATGCAATGCAATATTTATCATTTACCAATTTATAAAGAAATAAATATGAAAAGAATTTTTTATTCATGAATTTATAAAAATTTACTAAATTATTAAAATATGTAAATGTATCCTTATTATTTACCATTTTATAAAGTTTGAATCAATTGGCATTTAGCCAGTTTTTTAGAAACCATTCCTATAAAAAATCTAGTAAATAAATAACATTTATTATTTCTGCTGCTAATTCTCAAGAACAAAGAAAATGTATAAATTCACTTTCATATTTTTAGGTCTTATAACAATTCTAATCATCGCTTTTTAAAACAATAAACATTGTCGAAGAGTGAAGGTAATTAAAAAAAAACGTTATCATGCGAAAAACCATTCTTTTGACCTTTGACCAAACATTTACCCATGTTTGCTCAATATTTGATCACAGATCTTCAGGCAACAAATGTTCTAACTTTTTTTTTTTTTTTAACAGATACATCCAAAGATTTAAAATATGACAACAAAACTCTTCATCTTTCTCTTATTCCTAACCCATCTCATTTGGAGGTGAGTTTTTTTATTTTTAATATTTTCTTAATCATTGACAAATTTACTAAAGTTTATTGCATTAACGTAATCACTTACTTCCAGATTTTTTTGATTTTTTTTTTTTTTTGTAAAATTTTTTCCTTCTTTCTATTTCTGATGTTCTGTCTATGAATATGTAATTGTGAATGGCTGTAATTACATGCTGGTCTCAATGAAAACGATCCACACTTCATACAGATGTCACTATTCGTTATTGTCAAATCAACACAGAATTAAGATCATAGAAACTAGAAATAAATAACAAATATGATTTTTCAAAAGGAAAATGAACAGGCAAGAAAAATACTTTCCAAACAGAAACAACAAATAATTTGGAATAAATTCAAAGAAATAATAAAGAGACACATGGTGTGTTAGAGTGGAGGAATTTCTGCTTTCCCATTTCTCACTCTGAAAGCCACAATCCATTGCTCCACTATGCCTCCATCTTATATATATATATATATATCATTTATTTGAAAATTATAACATAAACATGTTATAAAATCAACACTTTCAACATTTCTGGTGTCATAAGGCACCAGAAGTGTTGAAACAAAATGTCTAGTTTTGTAGTGATTTTATAACATGTTTGTTATAATTTTCAAATAAATTATATTTGCTCTACTCTGTATTGAGCACACTTTTAAGAATAGTATTTTCGGTTATTGGAATTTATTCTGTCTACACCAATCCTATACTTGTGTGTGTGTGTGTATATATATATATATATATATATATATATATATATATATATGTACACAGACATTTGGAAAAATAATATATACATTTTTATACATCAGAACCATTTTACAAAAATCTATGGCAAAGTGGGGAAAATATTTTGTGTGCCCTGTTTTGTCCTTTTAGGACTTCATCAAACTAAAGTGATGTTTACACTGATGTTACTTTAGTCACTTTATAGACTTTTCCAGTGTTAAAGCTGCCTTATCTTGATTTAAATCATGTAACCAGATTACATACTTTGCTCTCTTTCAACTGCATGTAACATATACATACCCTGATAACATAAACTATTTCCCTCTGTTGTTTAGCCACACTATTGAATAACTTATGAGAGAGTGCTGACAAGTTCTCAGCCCTACATATTTCCTGGAATCTGACCAAATGGTCATGAAAATTTATTTTTACATTCTAATGATTTTTGGCCAAGAACTTTTCAGCACTCTCTCATACTAAACACCCAAGTTTCTCTTTTTTTCAAATTCTTAAAGACTGAAGAATAGATCAATAAAAAAAAAATATATAAAATAGATGAATAAAATCATCAACTTTCCTGGGCCCTGTACCCATTGATGTCAATAGCAATCAAGATAATGGTTCTGCAATGGGATCATCCATTCTTGTTGAAATCTGTCATGTTTCTATTTTACAGGCATAGTATCTATTTTACAGTGCATAGTCTTGCACAACTTCAGGTGACTTTGAGTAGTTTTGAATTCAGAGTTGTTTTTCTCCAAGACTGATTGCCAACCATGGCTAGAGAGCTCAGTCTCCCTTGCTATTTAAACACTAACTACAAGGCAAAGAAATGGATTCATACTTTACCAGGGGTATTTGTGTGAAAGTGAATGCAACAAATTTAATTTCAGAATGGAGTCCAACTCGGCTCATTGATTTCTCATTCCATCCACTAATGATTACACTACTTATGCATTTAAATATTTTTTTTAATTTTAACTTTTAGCACTCTTCATTATTAATATTACTTCCCTTTATACTGCGTTCTTTTTCAAGGCCTCTCAATTACAGTAACCTTAATATTAATTTCACTCAAAAGTATTTTCTGTTGCCAGAGCAGGATATGACAACACAATTATGAAATTCAAACACACTATTGTTCAGGGATCAGAGTCACCTTCAGTGGCTGGATAAACTTTTTGTACCACAAATGAAATCATATACAGAGTGATAAAGGTTAATGTTAAAAATATTTGTTCAGAATGTCAAAATAATTTTAGAGGATTTTTTTTTTTAATTATTTCACCCCAAGTAAGCCACTAAGATGCAAGGGAACTACTGGAAGTAAAAGAATGTAAAAGACTTTAGAAGGAACCGGAAACCCAATCCTAAACAGGAAACAAGGGATAAATCTCTATTCCTGTTAAAAAAAAAATACTAGGGTGGAGTATGAACTGGATGATAGCCAAACCTGATATTACTACAATTAGGTATTCAACAATTCTATGTCGAATAAGTCAAAAAGAGATGGTAGCAGAAAAATTACAGATAATGAACATTTCCTGATTATGAAAACTTTGGTATTTTAATGCTCTCAAAAATTATCCATAAAGTTCCTAATTGCTAATGTAAATGAAATGAGTTCAAATCTAGTCTGATGCTTCTACTTTATTCTGAATCTTCTACTTTAAGAATGAATAGACAAAAAAATGATAATAAAAAGTTGCAACATAGATTAGAGAATAGTGAAAACTAGTTTAAAAAATGTGTACTGTGAAAAAAAGTTTCATCTCCAAACAGGTTAAGAGAATTAACTGTCCAACTCTTTGAAATGTTTTCTTGCATTTTTATTAAGAAATATTTTATATTGAGTGCTGACCGGGTGCCAGTTATTTTCCAAAATACCAATATTCAAACATTGTTTGTAGAAGAAGCCCTCTGAAATATTTACATCCAGGTCCAAAAATAAAAAACAAAAGTATTTTTTTTTGTTTATTCATTTCAGCTCACTAATATGCAGAGGGTTACAAGGAGTGAAAGTGAAAGAGAAGACTGAGAATAGGGAGGATTGTGGAAAAAATAAAAGTTGAATGAGATCCAGAAAAACAGATGGCAATTGACATTGCATTTAAATTTTTGATGATCATAGTTATCAGGGAAGCAAGGGAACAGAAGAGAGTTCCACAGGTGGGAAGTGCAAGAAAAGAAACTGTTGGAGTAGAAGTGGCAAGTTTCAACAGTAAAATGGTGGGATCTAGATGTCAATCTTGTAGCACGCTTAAATTTGTGTATTTTGGGCACCAGGGAAAAAAGCTTGTCAGAGCAGTAGCCATGAAAATATTTGTAGAAAAGACAGAGGGAAGCCATGTCACATCGGTGAAAAAGTGACTGGTTAGGATTGTCTATGTTACAGATCCTTTGGATTTTGTCAAGAATCTCAAGATGTACAGCAGGAGCACCTGACCAGATATGGCAATTCTTGTTAGAATTTGAATCTAAATAATCCCAAATTAAAACTTATTTGATTACTTTTCTGTTAAACTTGTCATTTGAAAAAATTTAAATCCAAATAAATTATCTATTATAAAAATTAGTGTATTATACTTTAAATCATATCCAAGTTTTTGTTTGATGGGAGAGGGTTTTACCCCTAATGGCTTCAATTGTTGGGGGAGAACCTGAGGGCAGAAAAATCAGATTTTGATTCTTTGTCTTCATGATCTTGACAATAGACTTTTAGATAGCTTGGCAGCACTCATCTCCATTCCAAGCTCTTGACTGACAACAAAAAATATGGTGTAGGTCACCCTTGGTTCATACACTAGGCCTTCAGGTTTTTTAATTCAGTTTTCCTTCTCCTACACTGGTTGCCACCCAAGGCTATAGGACCCAGTCTATCCTTCTATTTACTCATAACTGGCAGGAGAAAAGATGGATTCATACCTTTCCCAAAAGTATTAGAACATAAGTGTATGTAATGAAATTGACTGAATTTCCAACTCGGTTATCCGATTCCTCAATCTGAGCAGCTGTATGTCACACCACCATGCCTCCTTGCTTTGAATAATCATGTCTTTCAATTCATGACTGACTAGACAGAAGATTTTCCCACAGTAGGTTGCTGTTTCTTTCTGTAGTAGACTGGTTACCACCCAAGGCTATAGGACCCAATCTGTCCTGCTCATTGGAACAGATCCAGTACCTTCTCATTTCTTGGAGGAACCCTTCCCTGATTGACCATGTCTTCAGTGGTGGTAGCCGTATTCAACACGCTTGGCCAATTGCAGGTTGGTGGGGCTGTTTATCTCATAGTTGAAGATTTTGAATTCAATGTTGTCCTTCTTCTAGACCAGTTGCCACTCGGTGCTATAGGACACAGTTTACCATGCTATTTAACACATAGCTGCTGGGAGAACAGATGAATTCATGCCTACCCCAAGAATATTTTCACATAAGTGAATTTAATGAACTCAGCTGTAATTCTAACTTGGCTCACCAATTTCTCAGTCCTAGCCACTATCCTAGTCCTTTCCATGCAGATTTTGTACATGAAAAAGTGTTACCAAAAGAATCATATTATTGATATGAATTATAATGATAACTGATTTCAAAATTGCAGAATCTATATTTAAAAAAACGGTTGGGGCTCAAGAGAGTGTTGTTGAAAACATTAACAAAAATGAAACCAACACAAAGAAAAAATGATAAACTGAAATATATAATACATAAACATAGGAATGACATATCAGAGACGTTACTTGATTTACGAATAGCGCATAGGATACTGAAGGAGTGGACACAAGGTCACAATGGAAGTCAGAGGAAGACATGATCGAACACAGTAATGTCAGGACAGGAAGTAAAGTGCCAGTGGGGAGATGCACATGCACTGCCGAAATAGGATTAAGAGAGATTTTAGAGCGCAACAAACATCTGAAATAGGCCCGAAACCTTGATAAAAGGTACCAGGTTTGAAAGCTGTTTAGATCAAATCCAGATTGAGAGAATTCCCACTCCTAGATTGACCGTGTCTTCAGGCGTGTGATTGCACTCAGCACGCTAGGCCTTGTGGTAATGTGAGGATATTTATCTCATTGTTAGAGGTTTTGAATTTTGTTGTCCTTCCCCTAGACTGGTTTCCATCCAAGGCTATAGGACCCAGTCTGTCCTGCTCATTGGAACAGATCCAGATCCTTGGAGGAACCTTTCCCTGATTGACCATGTCTTCAGTGGGTGTAGCCATATTCATCACACTTGGCCAATTGCAGGTTGGTGGGGCTGTTTCTCGTAGTTGGAGATTTTGAATTCAGTGTTGTCCTTCTTCTACACCAGTTGCCACTCAATGCTATAGGACACAGTCTACCATGCTATTTAACACATAGCTGCTGGGAGAACAGATGAATTCATGCCTACCCCAAGAATATTTTCACATAAGTGAATTTAATGAAAACTAGAATTTAGACCTCAAATTCCTCAATCCAAACCGCTATCCATTATTCCACCATGCATCCACATTATCCAAGATATAATGGATTAAGGAAATGTTTTTATTGTAATTGAAAATTTCTATGAATAGAACATAAAAGATTTTGTCCAATATTTCATTTTCCAGGCTAACAATCCAGTGGCAGTTGGCAAGGTTCGAGCGAAAATGCAGTCTCTCAAACAAGGAGATTATAGTGAGGACACTGATGCCAGTAAAGGAAATGAAATTCTTTGCTTTCAAGTGCATGGAGATGCCTCTTTTTCAGCTCAGGTAAGAATTTAAAGTCCAAAAGCATTTAATCAGAAGTCCTGTAATCCATTAGGATCATAGCTGCACAGTATGTACTGCAACTGTAGCAGCAGTGAGTGTGGCTAGGGCAATATAGCTTGACAGAACACATGCCATTTTGGAATTCAGTTTTTGTTCTCTTGGATTAATTGCCACTCAAGGCTAGAGAACTCAGTCTGCCCTGCTATTTAACTCATACCTGTAGGAAGGAGAAACAGATTCAAGTGCATTTGTGTGTTAAGTGAATACAACAGATTGGAATTTGAACTCAGCTTACCAATTCCACTTTCTGCACCAATATCCTGCAAGATTAGTAAGAAGAAGATAGTCGTAAATGATTGGTGATGGGGCAGTGTGCCGGAAAAATTAGCGTCATACTTTTCCCAAAGTATTTTGATGACTCAAAAATATCCTTAAGTTACATATATATATATATATATGAAGTTGGGGTATCTGCTTATCCAGATACCATAGTCTATTGTTACTTGTATCTAACTTTCCTCTATAATTGTTGTAACCTAGGGAAGGTGGCTGAATAGAATAATCACACAAAGGTTGGTAATGAACGATAATACATAGGACAAAAACAACACATATAAGATTTGCCAGCAGCGTGTAGAAAAAGTAGTCAACTTCTAGAAGTGAGTCAAGTGAATTCCACAATGAATCTCCATCTGCAGACCAACATACAGTATTTACTACTGTATTTATGTGAATGGGGACATACCCATTATCATACGTAGGTATGCTACAACAATAAAACTGTATTATTTATTAAAATATCTCCCTCCTCCTCCTCCTATTATTATTATTATTATTGATACTTTCATTAAAAAAAGGAATTATCATGAAAATTAATGTTAAACAGTTGTTATTTCTGAAGCTCTATACACATTACTGTCTATTTATATTACACTGTCTCTTCAAATCTCTGCTACCTTGTTGCTATACTCACTCATTGGGAAGTCTTCAGGAATCAGCCCCCCCCCCCAAAATTACAAGTTGGAGTCTCTAAGGGTGTTTTTGACTATATTTAGCAACACTCTAGAAATTCCTCTGAAAGCAGTGGAACCATGATTTGCATTTCCATTGGATCATTTCACTGACATGGAAAGGAGGCACACCTACTGCATGTGCCCCCTTCCCCATATTTACCTACCCAGACCTTATGCACTGGATAGATTGAAAGCAGCAGAACTTCACACCTGATCCAGAGCACAATTCTATAGTCCTCCAAGACTGACAGATACCTAGGAATTATGTTACACCAGCCACAATTTTTAAAAGAAACTTGACATAAAAGTGATAGAATAAAAACCTACTTGATGAAAAAAATCATAGGCTGGTTCTCAGTTTCATCTGACTCAGTCCCAGTCAGTCTTGTCTTGAAGTCAGCACACTATGTTCACTTGTTTGAACTTTCTCTTGTGTGTCAACCCCAATTCTTAGTTTGTGAACATTTTGCCATATTACTGGTGCTTTGCCTTATTACTCTTAATTTGCCTTGCATATATTGTTTGCTTGCTTCATGTATTGAGGCAGTGGGTCCCATACTCCGCAGGTGAGTCTACAGGGTTAGCATACATATAAGCATTTAATATTTATATATAATTATTTTTAAGTTCATGTTTATATATATATATATTTATATACATTTGAGATGATATTTTGATTTTATTTTCCTTTGTAATAAACTAGAAAGCTAAATTTAAAGACAAAAAGCTAAAAAGGGTTTAATATAAACTGTTGCAATAAAATATTTCGACACATTTCTTTTTTTTTTAAATTCTGAGATTTTTTCTTTACTCAGATTTGACAAAATTTGATTTTTATTTACTGCACCGAAATGGGTGAAGTAAAGATTTCCAGACTGATGATTACCTTTTTTTTTGTCTGGGCTGGGCAGTGTGTATTTCAACTTGGTGGAAACAAGGTGAGCAGTACTAAAAAATAAGAGCAAGACATGATATCCCTAGACATAGGCAGTAGAACAAGAACAATCTATAAATTAAATATAGTGTTCATTTCAAACTTTCCTGTAGATTACTTGGATTGATATGCACTTGATGAAGGCCAGAAGGCATCACATCCGAAATGTTAATAATAACAAAGATAAAGGTAATAGCCTGAATGTGAATAGTGTAAATGTTATACTGGAACACACCTATTCTATTGACTCTCCCACCTATAATAAGTAGGAGTAGTAGCAGTCGCTCAGTGAGTTGGTCAGTCAGTCAATGTCGGACGACCGTTAGTCGAATATTAAAGTATCAGCCACCACAACTAGATTGCTGCGTCATTACCTGTTATATCAAGTTCCTAATGTTTTGTACGTCAAACCTATTTTAGGGCCGACTTAGTGAAATACAAGCCTCCACTGTGAAAACTACTCTACACCAGTAAATAATAATAACTCCTCATCCCATAACTTCAGACTGGAATTTTTTTTTTTTCATCTTAATTATTTTAATTACTTAAGTTCAAATATTGATATTATTTCTATTTTTTCTAACATTGCCACAATTGTATTCAACAGCAAATATTAGAAAATAAAAATTTATGAAACAAGTATCCTCAGATTTAAAAGAAAAATTAGAATAAATTTAATTTAATTATTGTTTTTAGTTTTTTTTTTTTCTTATTCAGGGTATTATCGGAGAAACCTTTAGCTTTGCAGAATGTCCTCATTTCACTGTTGGAGGCAATATACATTTAGTTGTGAACAACCAAATTGGATTTACAACTGAATCTTCACGAGGCAGGTAAGTAATGTGTGACCAAATTCATGAAAATGTTTCATTGAATAATATAGACATATTGTGTCTACTTCTTTTTGTACTAATTTATATTATTCAATGAAACATGTTTGCATGATGATATGCTGCCTATATATATATATATATATATATATACATATATATATATGAAAAGTGTGTATATAAATAAATATATAATATATATATATATTATTTATATATTATATTATATATTATACTTATTAGAAAGCGCTCAATATCAGAGATAGAGCTAACATATTTGGTTGGATTGATGTGAATTTGTGACCCTGGGTTTCACGCTTTTGCATCGTCAGACAAACGATCGCAAAAGCGTGGAAACCCAGGGTCACAAACTCACATCAATCCAAACAAAATATATATATATATATATATATATATATATATATATATATAAAGAAATAATCATGCATAGAATCAATCAGCAATATTAATGCTATTATTGGCTATATCCCATCGCTAGTAGAATATAATGTATGCATTAAAATACTGTTAATCCATAGAATGATATGATCCTCATTTATAAAACTGTTGTCGGTTGTTTCCAGTTTATATTTTTTTAAGATGCTAGTACTTTTGAATAATCCTTTATTCATCCTCAGGCATATTTTTTTTCATTTTAAAATTAAAACTTGGAGACAAAATAATTGTTTGTAGACCGAAAGATGTTTTTTTGAGAATGTGATATTATTGATGGCTGTGTACAATATCGGAACATGCAAAGACGCAACACTAAGTTTTTCAAAATTTTAAGTGAGAATTTTTATTTGAACTTCTCTTGTGATATGGTAAATCCACGTATTCTATTTTTACAAATGTTTTCATTAATAATCATGCATAGAATCAATCGGCAATATTAATGCTATTATTGGCGATATCCCATCGCTAGTAGAATATAATGTATGCATTATTTATAATTATATATATATATATATATATATATTTAGGAAATAGAGTAAATCCAACATATTGTTACTTTTTAATTTATTTTGTTTAGATGTTATTTTTGATAGATACTCATATTTGAGTCCGTTTTTTAATTAAACACTATTTTTTTATCCAACTACATCTATTGGCCTGAATATTTGAGAAATCTTGTCAGAAAAACATTAGTGAACAGTTGACACTTGGATAGAGGTTATGAGATTATTTGAGTTTAGGTTAAAACAATACGGACTATCTGGGGAATGAAAGTCTTCTTTTTTCTTTTTTTTTTTATAATTCTCCAACCACACCCTTACTTGGTGCTGGTGGGTGTGGGATTTTTATATTCATTAATATGCCTGAATGCTTATGTGATACTGTCTATGTGAGTGATTTATTTTACTGATTAAATCTAGTACTTTTTGGCTAGTCGTCTGACACTATTAAGGTTGTAAGGGATTCATATTTATTTATTCAGTATGCCTAAATTTCTATTTAAACCTAAAATGTAGGAATTTATTTTAAAAATTAATTTTAATTTAGTTGTGCAGCTCTAATGAAATTGATTGTTGTTAACTAATAATTTCCTTGTGGTTATTAAACTGAAAATGAAATTCTGTACAAGTTTCACGAATATAGTTTCCTCCAATGCATCTGTTGCAAAAAATTAAATATATTTGAACTGTAACAACTCAAGAGAGGAGGTTGACTTATTGTATGTGGGGCAAGTGGTGGTCAAAATAATGTCTACAAACTTGGCATCAGAGTTTATTACACATTATATTGCCAGTGTTTCAACGTAATATAGTTATAAGCCATGAGATAGTTTGTGAATGTTGTAACTAAAATTAAAAATCATGAGAATTCTGTAATTTGTCTTATTTGTTTTGTAGGTTAAAAGAGCATTGCTATTTTGTTTGGAAGTCTTAGTGATTGATTTTTGATAGGGGATAATTACTATTGAGAAAGTAATTGATTAGATGCTTATGTGTTTTTGTAATCCCCAGGGTCAGAACAGATGTTTTATGCATCATCATCTCCTTGACTTTTATAATCATAGATCAGATCCAAATGCAGAAGCCACACTAACTCTTTTCCACAACAGTCTATTAACACAGCCATCAGCAATTCTGGTACAGTCTTCTGACATTGTCCAACCGGTTTTTGCATTGGTGTCCTCTCCTACGTCTACCTTCAACAGTGCCTTTCACGATGGTCTTGCACAGACTGTCGTGCCTTGTAATGCCTCCAAACCATGCTATTTTTCTCCATTTGACAGTGGCAAGAAGAGGTTCCTGGTGTCCCATAAAACTTTCAACTCTTTTCTGCACAAACTTATTGTTTTTTGTTCCCAATAGAAAATGCCAAGGAGTTTTCTCATGCATTTGTTCTCAAACGCTTGGATTCTTCTCTCTGAATCTGCCAACCGTGTTCACATCTGTATAGGAGAATGGAGACTACCAACGATTTGTACAGTCTATAGTTTGTTTCAAAGCTGATTTTGGTCCTCCATATTCTTGTCAATTTGGCCATCGCTGTGATGGCTGCAGCAATCTGTGTGCAGATTCCGAGTTGCAGGATGGATTATTGATTTTTTTTTTAGGTTGGTATGGTGGTAGGTGTTAAAATTTAAGTCCATTTACATGCATCTTGGCAGCCTTCACAAAGGTTTCTATAGCCATTGGTATATTGAGAATTTTGTCTATGTTGGTAATGCAAATTATTAACACTGAGATTTTTTTTTTTTTCAATTGGTATGATTAGATTGTTTATTCTATCTCAATATGTTTTTTGTTTTTGAATGTCAGTGACTATTTTTAACTTCTGATTAATCATGTGATCATCTTTGACAAATAAATAAGAACAAATGTCCATAATTTTGTAACATTTTACCTTAAAAATGTCAAATTTTATTCCATCTCATAAAAAGAGAAAATTATCTGAAGAAGGACATGTGTTTCAAGAAAAGTGGGAATTACAGTATTTTTGTACCACTGTTAATGGAAAGATAAACTGTTTGATTTGCAACCATTGCATTGCAATGCCAAAAGAATATAATGTGAAAAGACGTTATGAAATAAACCGTCAATCTCATGATAAATATGAAGGAGATATGTGTGTTTCAAAATTGAAGGAATTCAAGGTTAAGTTAGCACAGCAACAGAGTTGCTTTACAAAAATTCAGAAAGGCAATGTTAGTTCTGTTACTGCAAGCTTTGAACTCTGCAAAATGATCACCATCAGTGGAAAATCTTACAATGAAGGAGATTTCATAAAGCAATGTCTTGTAAAAACAGCTGAAATTGTATGTCCAGAGAGGTCGGATTTATTTCAAGACATTTCATTAATGTTGCTGAACAAATTGATGAAATGGTAGGTGATTTGAGTCAACAGTTGACATGCCTTCCTCAGGCATGTAATGTTCAAGTTTTGAACATTTTTCTATTGCTCTGGATGAGAGTGTTGACACAGCTGGAATAGCACAGCTCACTGTTTTCATCAGGGCTTGTGACAGTAAATTTCAAAATTATAAAAAACTAATTAAACTGGTCCCAATGCATGATACTACAACAAGCAAGGACATTTTTGAGAAAATTGAACAGCTTCTCCATGAGTATGGCCTTTGAGTGAACTTGTGTGTTTATCTACTGATGGTGCTGCGAATATGGTTGGGAGACATAATGGTTTTGCTGCCAAGTTATGTACAAAAATAGAAAACACATATCCAGATTCAACATTCAAGCATTTTCACTGTATAATTCATCAACAGAACTTGTGTTCTAAGATTTTAAAATTAGATCATGTGTTGAGTTTTGTTACAAAACAGTGAACTATATCAGAGGTTGTGCTCTGCATCACCATCAGTTTAGCCAGTTATTGGAAGACGTAAATAATCAGTTCACAAATGTTTCATTCTACACAAAAGTTTGGTGGCTTTTATGACACAAGGTACTGAAAAGATTTTTTTTTACTGTGACATGAAATTGTTATGTTTTTGGGATGAAGTGTCAAAGCACAGATGAATTGAAAGATGAAAGCTGGCTCCATGATCTAGCTTTTTCAGTGGATATTACTGCACAATTGAGTAACCTTAATTTGAAATTGCAAGGTAAAAATAAGCTCATCACCCAGTTATATAAAGATATCAAGTGTTTCATTGCAAAATTAGCTTTATTGAACTCACAGTTGTCACATGAAAACTTGATTCATTTTCCTATATGCAAGGAGTTGAAAAAACTGCCAATACTGAGTCTGTATTTATTTTTGCTAAATACAACAGTTACCTGGAATTGCTGCCAAAGGAATTTCAGTGAAGATTTTGTGATTTTTTTTCATCTTGTGAAGATCAGTTTGCATTATTCTCAACACTATTCACTTTGGATGTTGCTCAGGCAGAAGAAAGTCTACAGATGGAACTACTGGAAATGTAGACTGACTCAACACTCAAGGGAAAGTACCTAGAAGTAGGGGTACCCAGATTTTTTTCATACCTTCCTCAGGCATTTAAGAACTTCAAAAAGCTTACCACCTCAGAGATTATGGAGATGTTTGGGTCCACATATGTCGGTGAGCAGTTAATTTTGTTCATGAAGGCCATAAAAACGTCCCACAGAACCAGATTAACTGATGAACATTTGTCATCTTTGATCAAAGTGGGATCTACACAGACATTCCAACCTGATATGTCAAGAATAATTTGTCTAAAGCAATGTCAATCATCAAAACAACATAAAAATGATTAAATTGTAATACCTTGTATTGTAAGTATTTTGTATTTAAAGGTTAGTTACCATTAGCTGGGTAAATAGCAGACCAGGTTCTATAGCCTTGGATGGCAACTGGTCTACTGCAGAAAGAAATGGCAACCTATGGGAAAAAATCAGTCATGTATTGAAAGATACATGATCACCTAAATGTGTATCACACATGGAACATAACTGACAGCTGTGATTAATGTAAGACTGTAAGCATGTGCGGTCCTCACGGTTGCAGATATAGCTGATATGGCTCTCCATATGCCCCAAGTTTGACATGCCTGCTTTAAATGACAATAAATGTAGTGTTTAGCATACCAAAATCCTTCTTTTTTTTTTAATCACTTTTACAGCTCTGTAATAGTAGTTTTCAGATAATACAATACTCACCTCATGAGAAATATCTATTGGAATATCTAAAACTATGAGCTCAAACTTGAAAAGTGTGTAAACAATTTGTTAGATCAATTAATAAGATCAATGTGTGTTTTACAGATCAGACTGTCACTGAAAACACCAATAACACAGTATCTACGATATTATTTCAGAATAAAACACTATTAGTAACATTCAACTTTTTGTCATGTGAATCTGGCAATGCACATAGAAAACTGCTCTGTAAATTATCAGGAATATTACCAAATCAAAAATAATACAAAGGTTCAACATATTTTAAATATTAAGAACCAAAACAAATACTTGAATTCAACTTTGATCAAAGATAATTGAAAAAATAATAGGTAACTCAAACTTTTAGAAAATATTAAGTAGGTTTTGTTTGAAGTTTTCATGATCTAATTACTCATCATTATCACCCATCTCTTCATCTAGGATGTTGTTGCCTGCAGTTTCCACAAGCAACAATGCATTTAAGTCCATATTTATGACAGGAGAACAACCTAATAACACATTGATTTCTAGATTCAATCTTACATTGGCAACAGACAAAATTCAAAAGCCATTATGCAACTGGTTCTTGATGTTTCAATGTTAAATTATATTTTTCTTTAGTATACAAACCCATTCTGTTATAGCTAATGAATATCCAAATAGCACCCAAGCCCATTCTGTGATATCCAAAGAATATCCAAATAGCACCATAAGCCCATTCATAGATATCCAAATGAATATCCAAATAGCACCCAAGCCCATTCTGATATTCAATGAATATATCCAATGAATATCCAAATAGCACCCAAGCCCATTCTGTGATATCCAATGAATATCCAAATAGCACCCAAGCCCATTCTGTGATATCCAATGAATATCCAAATAGCACCCAAGCCCATTCTGTGATATCCAATGAATATCCAAATAGCACCCAAGCCCATTCTGTGATATTCAATGAATATCCATATAGTGTACCAGGAGATAATTTTTATTCTGGCTGTATTCTTCTGCTGTAAATGAGTGAGATAAAGGTAAGAGTAGTTGTTGGGATGGGGTGGGGGTTTGACCGTCCAATGGCCTTCTTCCTTTTGCATGTCAGCAAGAAGTCTTCTGTCACTCTCTGTCTTTCTGTGTTTCAGCTGCTAGTGACAACTGTCTTATAGAGACCATTGCTCTTTATCTAAAAAAGTCATTCATCAAGAACTCTGAGTCTAGCTTTACTCAATGACCCTCTTTGTCTGGGTCATTTGACCTGGTTTGTTGGAGGTCTACTCCATTAAGCTGGCCTTCTTTGCCAAGGCAGATAATTGTCAATGCAATTTATATGAGGTGTTGCAGGTGGGTCTTTAGCAAGGTATCAGCTGATAGATGATATCACTACACACAGATAGAGTAACATAGCAATGATGATTTGACATTGATCACTGACAAATTAGCAATAAAATAAACAAAAGTATGGTATAAATTCAAAAGAACATAACTTCTTTGCCTAAAAGTTTTAAAGAGAGGAGTTTGGTATGTTAATCTACATAAAATAAGTTTTCCAGTTATAACAAACATTCAAACTATTATCCCTTTTTAGTTGCATAGGGAAATATTGGATTATACATAATTTTGCAAGATTCAGTCACTTAATTGAGATTAGAGCTTCAGAAGACCATTGATTTTCTGTCTCCAAGAGGCAGCTGCTGATGCTGCAAAGTCCAATGTGTTAGAGGCTGACACTGCCACAGATGTTACATGTACCAACTTGTCCTAATGATGTTGAGGTAGTGGTACTCTCCCACTGTACTTTTTCCTTGATCTCTTGGCCTTTTTGTGATGAGCCAAGGTCATCTCATATATTAATAGCTTACTGCAACTTGACTGCTGCCATTGAAGTTCATGAGACTTAATTAATATGAAATATTTAATTAACCATTTAACTTTTGTTATGAGGATGCATTTCTATAGTAAGGGATTCTACTGAGTCCTACTTGTTAATACAAAACAGTTTTCATTCATGAAGTAGTTGTAAAATAGAGAAATTAGAAATAGAATGTTTGGAAGATTCTAGATCATTCTAATATATTCGAGAAAAATCTAGATGATTCAACAAACATCCAGAAATATGCTAATTAGGTGCTAGCCCCTATAAAAATAGGTTTTTGGAAAAGGGTTGTCAGTTGGTGAAAAGAAATTTCTGCCAGTATCAACTCCGGCTTTTTGATTTGAGGATTATTATATCCATCCGAAAGAATCTCTATGAAAAGTTGCCGACGAACAAAAAACCCAAAAGAGAACCCCTTGGAACAAATCTGGTAAATAGAGTTTTGACTATTTTCATTGACCAAACTACCAATTATTCAATATATACTGACATTTGTGGATTTCCAGTTAGCACTTAGATTACTTCACTAGCCCTAAAGTGGTAATAAGACTTGACTCCCCTTCCTTCTCCCTCGTAACAAGACTTGACTCCCCTTCCTTCTCCCTCGTAACAAGACTTGACTCCCCTTCCTTCTCCCTCGTAACAAGACTTGACTCCCCTTCCTTCTCCCTCGTAACAAGACTTGACTCCCCTTCCTTCTCCCTCGTAAGAAGACTTCTTCTCCCCTTCCTTCTCCCTCGTAACAAGACTTGACTCCCTTCCTTCTCCCTCGTAACAAGACTTGACTCCCCTTCCTTCTCCCTCGTAACAAGACTTGACTCCCCTTCCTTCTCCCTCGTAACACTTTGCCCGTAAATTCTGTGTTTTCTGTTTTTGTAAGCCTCAATTGTATATCTTGTATATATTTTATGTTGTGTTTTAGTAAATTAAATATTTGCTCATGATTTAGCTCTGTGTTGTGGTAAATCAAAATTTTTCCTTTGTTACAATTTCCAACACGTAACAACTTGATAATTATTTCTTTTAATATTGGTATAAATATGAGGGGATGCTGAAAATTTTTCTAACCAAAGTCATTTGGTCAGATTTATTTTTGGAATCCCTCTTTAGTCAGACCAAGAACTTTTCAGCAGCTCCCCATGAAATTGCTTCTCTCTTTCATTAAGCCTTTCTTAATTTAACTCTGTAATTTATACAATGTAGTATCTTTCTCTCAGACAAATTACTGCTCCTCCCTCAGCTATGGGTTAAATACAGAGTGCCACAGAATACCTCTTACATATGCCTCTTACTGTCTTATGTGGGAGGTATTTCTGCCACAGCTTGTAAGACTTGTTTCTGGAAAATTCATTATTCTTAAATAATTGTTAAGGCAGTATTCACTCACAAAAAATATTCCTACAACCCAAAATATGATTTGAATTTAAATAACTCAGAAAGGGTTGATAAGCTGTAAAAATTAAAAGACAAATTCCTTCTTAAAACTGTTTTTCTTGAAATACCTTTTTTTTTTTTATTAGGTCTTCTTTTTACTGCACTGATCAAGCCAAAATTAATGGCTACCCTGTACTCCATGTCAATGCTGATGATATTAAGGTAAGTTTGGAATTCTTTTTTAATTTCTTTTTTTTTATTTTATTTTAATTTTAAACAAACTGGTTGTTAAAAAATATATTTATTTGCTATCTGTGTATTCTGTTTGTCCTTTTTGAAATATTGCTGACATCACATATTTCGATATTTTGGTCAAGAATAAATCCAAGTCACTACTCTGGCACTGAATTTTTTACTTTGTTTTCATATTGTTTGTTCAGTCTCTTTAATTGTTCTTTTGTTCTTGTTTCATAAAATACATCTATTAGAATCTTTAGTACATATCATCAGTGATGTTTCTAGCTGAGGTTCATTAGGGGTTTCAGGTCTTTCAACATCATACTCCCTCTCCACAGTAACTCAACCGATACTGTTCATGTATCGGTGTTCCTTCCATTAGCTACAATATTTTCTATCTTCTGAACTACACACCATGCAACTCTTCTTGGTAATTTATTATCCAATACTGGGTGACTTCTAGTTCACCAGCAATGTGTGCTCTTTCATAAAAAGGAACCAAATGCAGCCATAATTTCTATCTGATCAGGAATATGGCGGTGTGCTTGGCTTCAAGTAGTAAGTACTGATTTGAGACATATACATACATGCTCACACAGAGAAATGTGCTCAAGTCTCTCATTCTGCTTACACTTATCCCATTTTTGTTCATGTTAATCATCCGCCGAAGAAAAAGAAAATAAAAAAATTATTTCCTTTCCTCCTCCCCACTTCTTTCTTTCTTCAACTTGACCCTCCACCTATATGAGTTACACACATGCACCACACTCTCACTCACACACACACACACACACACACAAACACAGACATCTAAAAAAAAAAAAAAAGCCTAAAACAACTAAATACCATAACCCTGGTTGTAATTTATTATATACAATTTAACAAACACACATATAATAACAATCTATATCAATCCCAATTCCAATCACCTACTGGCGGTAATCAGATATATTTCTTCCTATGTAGAATGTTAGGATTAGCAAACACTAATCTAACAAAGATGTATTTGTGAAACATAGCAGTGTGTACAATAATGTTCTTAGGAATAGTGGTTATAAATCCACTGAAATTCAATTTATATATATATATATATATATATAGGAGTAGTACATTTCTAATTTTGGGCAGAAAACATGATTAAAGACAGCCACACATCCTGGATACCATAGAACAAAGCACCGAACAGGCAGCTTTTATCCTTAGGCCCTGTGTAAAATGAAATGCTTTTTAATGTATTTTAAACATTATTACTTTTCTTCATTTGATAATGTGTGTGTTTTGTTTTTGTCTTGGTGGATCTGGGAACTGCTGCCCAATTTCAATGAGCATTGCACAATGACAAATATATAAGTTTTTAGCTACAAGTAAATGTTCCATTTGGAACTGTTTTTAAATAAAAAATAACTTCATTTAACTATGAAGACTGGGTTTTACTTCTGAAATGTTTACTTTTATATTAAAAAAAAAAGACAATCGTTTTTATCTAAATTTAAATAAAATAGTTTTTTGTTTTCGTTTTTTTTGTTTTTGTTTTTGGGGGGGGGTTGTAATTATTTCATCCCAAGCAAGGCGCAAAGATGCAAGGTTGAAAGAATATAAAAAAAAAGAGAAACATTAAAAAGTGAGAACAATAAAAGAACTGAAATAAAGAAGACAGATTTTTGACTTAAACTTTTTCTTGTATAATATAAAACGAAACAAAAGAAATTATTTCAATAAAATCTCTAAATGTTTTATTTCAAGTCATAAAAAAATATCCTTTCATGTAAAAGTTGGAGTTATCTCTCCTTTTAAACTGGTTTCTTGCATGACAACAGCACAAAAATTTGTGACAATTATGATATTTGACTAAAAGACCAATGCTGTACACATGGATCTATCTTTTTTCTACGAATTGAAGTTGTTAAAAAGGTATAATTATTATTCTTAAAAATGCTTCTTTACCTGAAAATCCCTGGGATTTTATATTTTCTGAAAGAAAACATTGAAAAAAACTCAACTCATGTTCAAAAAAAAAAAAATTAAAATACTTTATTTTTCAAACATGTCAATTAACTTTTAGGTGTTTGAATTTGAAATGCCCCCAAAAATGCTGTCTCAACCTGCAACTCACAGATTTTGCAATTTACACAACTGTAGAATTTCAATCAATGTACTTATTCAAAGGCTGATACTTCACAAGTGACCCAGACTACTGGGGGTTTCTCAGTTTCTTCCATACCCAGTAACACCTCGCATCTTAGTGGCTTTAACATCTTGCTTAGGGTGAAATGACTAAAACAAAAGCCTTATATGTGTGATCTTCATTTTAGGCAGTTGTTCAGGCATCTCACATTGCAGTGAGCTATAGACAAAAATTTGGGAGAGACGTCCTTATTGATCTTATCTGTTTCCGACGATGGGGCCATAATGAACTTGATGATCCCATGTTTACGCAACCTATCATGTACAAGGCTGTGGAAAACAGACACAGTATTCCAGATATTTTTGCTAAAGAAGTTGTGGTAAGTAACATTTTTTTTTTTCTGTTCATCATATTAAACAGATAAAAATCTTTAATATTTTCAAAATTTCTTTTTTCTTCATATCCAAATTAGAGAGGGGGGAGAGGCACGGTGGAATAGCGGCTTGAACCTATATTGCAATTACTTATTTAATTGTTTATTTAATTTCAAATTAACAAAATCTTTTTTCTCCCCTCTGAAGGAAAAAAACTTTTCTACTCAAGAGGATCTGGACAATTCCCTAAAAGAATGGCGAAGTTTTCTCGATAAAAACTTTAGTCAGATGGACAGCTATGTACCTGAGGTAAGACTGGCATTATTGTCACTTGGAATCTATACATTACTTTTATACTTGAACAGAAAAAGCTCAACATCTTTATTAATTCGAATTATGTTTGTAAATCTGTTTTCTTTTGAAACATGTATTTGAGAATTCTTATTCATATATACAAGCTGCTTCACCTTTTGACATCTGATCTTATATTATTGACAAGGGGTATTTTATCTGATGGAAGATATATTGCCGTTTTGAACTCTAGGAGAGATGACACATTTTTTAGAAGTTCCAAAAAATAATGGATCCAAAGTTTAACTTTAAAAAAGAGAGAAAATAATGTAAATATTTCGTAAAGCTAATAATTTAAAATAATTCACAATTATTAATTCTTTTATTTCATTTATTACATATATATAATTTTGATTTATTTATTTGTATTCATATATGTATTGAGTATTATTTATTTCAACTTTTTCCGCAGTTACCAGTTTTTTTTTTTCTCTAGTAGTTTTTGTACAACAATTTTAAAGATTGTTTAAGTTATTTTCATCAGTTGATAGTTTAGGTGTTAGTAGTGTCAAAAAGGTATTATAGGTTATTTTTAATATGATAAATAATGACTTCATAATCTTCATGTATTTCAGGTATAAATTATCAATTGATATATGATATGATGATGGACTCTCCTGTCATTTTTGATGTATGAGTGTCTTTCAGTGCAGTTTTTATGTTTGTTTCATATGAGACGATAATCCTGCATGGTATTTGCAAACAAATCCACATGAAAGACATGCTGAAGGGTTGACCGTCATATGGGCTGATGTATTAGCTTGAGATTTAGTTTTGGTTCTTAATTCTTTTGGATGGTTGAGATGTTTCTTTTCAAAATTAGTTATGCCTTGGTAACAGGTGTTTATCCAGTTTGCTTGGTTTTCAACAGCAAGTTTTAATTCCTCTATAGGATGTTTGCAGCAATCAAATTGTATTTAAGTTTGTCCTTGAAGTGTAACCAAGGACAGCCTACATTATGCTTACCATGAAAAAGTTGGCTATACATGAGGATTTTCGGCATCTGTTCATCACTCATTCTGATGACATGACCAGCCCATCTGCACTGTGATTGCAACAGAAAGGATTCAATACCACTGATGCCACATTTGATGAAAACATCAGCGTTAGAGATTTTGTCCTGCCATGTATAACAGCATATTGAATGAAGACTGTGTTTATGAAAATACATCAAGTTGATTGATGTGCATCCTGTATGGCATCCACAGTTCTGACCCATAAAGAAGTGTGGTGAGAATGACTGCTCGATAGACACTGATTTTCATCTTCAGTGAAATTCCATGAGCATCCCATATATATCACTGAATTACAGAATGGAAAAAATTCTATATAACAGGTTTTATTATCTGAAAGGACTTCATTGACTTAAAATAATGTTCTTATTGATGCAATTATATCGTTGGTAGGGAGAGATATAAATGTGAATGTCAGTTATAATTAGGCCACACCAAGGGAAAATGCTGAATTGTATTAAAATTTTTCATTTATGATTAGTAAATATAATATTTACTTAATAACTATATCATCTAACTGGTACAAATTAATACAGAATTTTAAAACATTTTACACTTTTATTCTAAGTAAAATTTAATAAAAAAAATAAAAATTCTTGTAAAAATTAATTATTCATTGAAAAATATTTATTTAACACAATAGTGTCCATAATATATCTTATTCATAAAAGCAATTAAAAGCTTTTCTAATTAAATAATATCTTAGTTTTAGTGAATCTTTAGAGGTACATATATATATATATATATATATATATATATAGAGAGAGAGAGAGAGAGTGAGGAGGGTAAATTAAATAACTAGATATTAATAACTGTATATGCATGCTAGCTGCATAAACAGGTAAGCAAATAAATATTTACTAAATTTACTTTAAGGTGTAAACATAACAGTGCTCAATGTGATTAGACAGAGCTAAGAAATATATATTAATAAATATACATATACCTACATTTGGGGTGCGACTTAAGTTTCGCTGTTTGCCAACTCATCAGCCATGACAAATAACTTATGACTTTTAAAAAATGATATATGGGAGGAACTAAATTACATGCAGATTCACAGCTCAAATTTAAAATAAGTCAAATATAATATTAGGGTGTAAATACAGAAAATAGGGTGTAGGTAGGAGGCCAAAAAAAAATTAAAACGATGTTTAAAGTTTAAAATTGATGCTTTGAATGATAATATACATTGAAACTGTTAAGGGGGGGTGGTAATCAATATATAACCTAAAATATGAGGGTGAAATGTGGATAATACATTTATCCAGAATTAAAATATTTTAAAAGAAACTTTTTCCTATGACAACTTAGCATGAGCTCATTTCGCTTATTAAGCAGATTTAAATTATTAATATTTTTGAGGTTGAATCTTTTTTTCCAGCAAACACATGTTGCATCATTCTCCTCAGCCAGAAAAGGGTGTAATAGTGGCAATGAAATCCCAATTTACTACCAGTTTGTAGTTATCTGTTTTAATACCCCAGTAACATTTTGAGAGTGCTGTGGCATTTGCATATTTTTTTATTGTTAGTCATTTTGTGATAATAAAATCTCATTTTCCAGGTATTTGCTGTTGACCCAAAATAAAATTTGGTTTCGCCATTATACCTAATGCTGACCTTATAGATGACGCCTTTATACATACATTTGTTAGATAATGCTTTTACAGCAATTACACTTTTTTCCTTCAATGTTAATATTGCTATTAGTGTTGCTTAAGTATTTGTTTAAAGTTATGCTATTATGCTCTGCTATATATTGCTTAAGGTTTCTAGTGCAGCTGTAACTAATCTTAATGTTGTTCTTATTGAAGATTCTGTGGAGTAAAAGATTACGGCTGAAATATTTGGGTCGTAAATTTAGGAAAATCCTACCAATGTTGATTCTTGCATTATTGTTAAAAGGTGGATTGAACCAAATTATGTTGTGTTTTCTATTCTTACATTTACTATTGGTATTCTTACTAGTGTTTGGAATGTACTTGTGCCCAATCTTATCGCATTTAAAACACCGCATCTCACAGTGGTTCCTTTGCGCTTGATTATCTGTCCCCTCTCAACGTCCCTGCATACAGTCTCTAGCCATATGGTTAGGACCAGTGCACTTATAGCAAATGACAGCCCCTCCGTGTGAGTTAGTGGGAAGAACTTCCTTGTCTGTATACATTTGTTGAGCACACGCTGAAACCGATTCCTCGTGCTCCTTGTCATCAGTCATGATTGCCCGACCCCAGGTTAGCAACTGCTCTACATTCATAGTATCCATTCTAGACGACGCCTGGAGAAGCTGTCTAAGATGTTGTGGCAGACCGGATACAAATGCACATGCCATCCAACTTTTGGGCAGTGACCCTCTTACCAGCCAAGCTAGGCGATGCAACTCGGCCAAAAATTCATCCACTGTTTCATCCTGTCAAAGTTGTTGCGCTATGAATTGGTCAAATCCATTGAACACATCTGTTATATAGGGTGGGTACAGACTGACTCAATGGTACTTAGAGCCAATCCTTGTTCCAAAGGTACAGATCCATTTTGCCAATTTCTCTTATCTACATTGATGCCACTGACGAGTGGCTGTACACCTTGGAGACCTGCTGCGGTTGTAGTGAGATAAAGGTTTGAGTGGACACAAGTTCTGTGGCCACAGGAATGGCACTGGAAGTGGATGGGAGCATCATGGAGAATGCTTGTTGGTTGCGTCCAGCTGAAGATGCTAAGCATATCAATTTGGCTGAGCTCAATGCAGCAATAAAAGGCGTAAATCTGGCACCGGTGTTACATTTGGTTACGGGTTCGACATGTGTGCATCAATGGATATCTGACACCCTGACTGGGAAGGCACAGGTGAACACAAAGGTGGCTGGTGAGATGCTGGTAAGATGGCGCTTAGAGCATTGGCAAACGAATATGCCTTGATGATAGATGTGACACTGGTGAAATCCTGTCTAAGCCATCCAGATTGCCTTACCCGAGTACCATGGAGGTGGTTGGATTTACATAGGCAAAGAGAAGAGCTAGTGCCGAAAAGCTGCACCACTGTGGGGAGTAGATTGAATAAGAACTGGGTGACCACCCTTGTGAAGAGGACCTTATACTTTGCCAAGTCTGTTGACCTGTTAGTGTCTAGAAAGCTTGTCAAATGTGTTGTTAAAGTCTGCGAAGCCTGTCGGTCAATTGATCCAGCACTGGTGCATTGAAAGAAAGGAACTCTGGGTGCAAAGTTAACTTGAAGTAAGTTAGCAATGGACATTACCCACGACGGAGGCAGTCATTTTCTAATGCTCATTGATTGCAGTCCATCTTTTTTCACAATATGGTGGCTGCTGCATTGACAGGACTCCGCTAGTGTCATTAATCAGCTGGAATCAATTTTCTACGAGCAAATTATTATGTTTATTATTTTTATTTATATTTTGGGTCAACACTGGTTTTTTAAAAGATTTTCTGGTTGACACAAGATATATTATTGCTGGGGTGGAATATTATTGGAATTAAAATATTTAAATGAATTATAGTTTAATTGTGAATTTGAATTTAAGCTCAGATTAGCATTTAAGATTGAAAATAAGGTTGTAAATAAGAAATATAAATTCTAAATTAGGAAGATACTTGTTTTGAAAACGTAAGTAAACAAAAATGGGACGTTGAGAAATGGAAGGGGGGCAACTCTACTTTTTTCAAAAATTAAGAGTTATTGATAATATTGCTAAACTAACTAAAACTAATAATATCAAGAACAAAGTATGTCATGATAAAATAATATAATATAAAATAAAGCAAATTAAAATAAAGTACTAGTAGTAATAATGATAATACATATCAATGGAAAGAAAAAACTTAAAATAAGAAAAATAAAGTAAAATGAAATAAAAGCCTTATATAGGAACATATAAATATACAAATAAACACATTAAAATGTTTGAATGAATTGTAGTAGGTTTTGAATTTGAAATTTGGCCCAGATCAACATTTAAGATTGAAAATAAGAAATATAAATTCTAATTTAGAGAGATGCTTATAAAATCAAGGGGGGTAACTCTTTTTTTTCCCGGGAGCAAATAAGAATATTATTATTAATATTCCTAAAAAATAACTAAAAGTAGTGATAACAGTAATAATAAAATAATATATGCCGTGATAAAGTAAGATAAGGTAATATAAAATAAGATGAAATGAAATCCATATATAGGTACTTGTAAATAAGTGAAGAAATCCATATAGAGGTACTTGTAAATAAGTGAATAAATAAATAAGGCAAATAAATGAATAATTGAATAAAAATAATAAATGCAAATAGATGAATAAATGAACATGTTTCTGATAATAAGACCAAAGCTGAAAGAGACAGCAAACAAAGTAAAAAATAAAAAATAATAATTATATACTGAAAATGGTAATAAGATAATGGAAAAAATTGAAAGACAAAAATATTAAATGCATTATCTTCTAAAATTAATAGTTTTACAATAAAGGTACAAAAAGAAATTAATATCAATACTAGTAAATGTGGATGCCTGGTCTGGCAAGACTACATTAATCTGGGTCAATGTGTTTGAGTAGGAACTTGGATCTACATAAACAGATGCTAATTAACTCACTTCTTTTGTTTAAGAGGTTAGGATTTTTTATGTTATTCATGATTATTAATTTTTCAGAGAGACATAAGTTACATTTATTGCTTTTCCTGCTGAAGAGCTTAGCTTTCACTACTAATTTTGAGGTGATAATTGGGTTTTTATTCTTACTTTTTAGCTTCCAGAAAAATTTAGAGGGCAGTGCTGCTTCACTATTTGTTATTGCCAAATGTCATTCAGTGGTGGTAAAAGCACAATTTCCAATTATTTTTCATAGATTCCACATGAAATTTAACCTTGTTGCCATGTTTGATTTCAGCTTTATAAAATAACAATTTAGACATAGATTTATTGTTTAATGGGCAGGGTTTGCTATTTCAGCAATTGCAGTTATCAGTTATGGAGATGTTGTTGCTTTGAAGGTTGTTGAAATGCTTGTTTAGAATGGAATTGTTGAGTTGAGCTCTATACTGGCCAATGTTTTTAGCACAACTGTAGCTAACTTTGATGTTATTTTTGTTGAAGATCTTATTAAGTGTTGGGGAATGACTAAAGTTCTTGCAGATTAAATCCTAAAAAAATTTCTAATGTTAATTTTGACATTTTTGTTGAAGGGCAGGTTAAACCATGTAATATTGCATTTACAACATTTTGGTTTGTTGGTGTCCTTATTGCTATCTGCTAAGAATTTGAGGTTAATTCTATGGTTACTAAGTTCTAGTGCTTCTACATATTTGCCTTTGTTTGTCAAAAATGTTCTTGATGGAGCTTAAAAAATACTCAATAGAAAATTCATTCAAGTTTAGTTGTTGCCTTAATAGAAATATCTAAGAATTTGACATATAAGAAATAAAATTGTCAAGCAAGACTACATTAATCTGGGTCAATGTGTTTGAGTAGGAACTTGGATCTGCATAAACAGGTGCTAATTAACTCACTTCTTTTGTTTAAGAGGTTAGGATTTTTTATGTTTTTCATGATTATTCATTTTTTAGAGAGACATGTCTATGTGGGATTCAGATGATAATGCAATATCTTTGCATTTCTTGTTAATTTCATGCAACATTTAAGAAATTAACAAATGTTTATTGAGTCTGATAAAAAATTTTTGACAAGTGAAAACACATTTTATGATAATTTTAAACCCAGAAAAATGAATGAAAAAAATTAAGTGCAAACTGTCCTCTAATCTTTTGCCTCTTGAGTTTTAGTACACACTGCCCTCCCCTCTCATCCCGGAGTGATAAAAAGGATTTTCAAAACTCTTGGATTTTAGTAACATTCTTTAATGGTCCCTTACCTAAAAAAGATGAACTAATTTAAACTTTGTAATAATTTATCTCTTTACAAAACTATGACATCAAAATTTTAGATGAAGCACTTTGATTATTACTTTTCAAAATCTGACCAAACATTAAAATAGTTTTTTTTTATTCTTAAACCCTTTCTTGGTCAGGTAAAAAGCCTTTCAGCACCCCACTCATGCTATGATTTTACTACTTGTTTTTCTCCATTCTTTTGTTGCTTTTTATCACAATACTATAGCTTAGTATATTCTTTAGTTAATAACATAAAGACCACACCAGACCAATTAATTCTAATGAGATTTAAACTTGTATCCCACATCTTGGGAGATCAGTTTTTATCTTTTTGACATCACCTCATCAAATGTTATTTTGTTCTGATTTCATAATGTTTAATTTAACAAATGAAAACTTTATCAATCTGGAGTGTTCTGATAAAATGTAACAAACAATGGAAAAAAACTAGTCATTTTTTATTTGCAGTTTTTAGATTAGCAGTTATCATTATTAGTGACGAATTAAAAGGTTGGGTTCAAAATTCCTTGATAGTGACCAACTGCGACAGACACTTGAAGAGAGAGAGAGTTATAAATTATTTAATACAAAATTTACAAATTAAAAACTTTTTTTATACTTACATGCATTGTACTTTTTTTTTCAGTTTACTTTGTCTCTATAGCCATTTCTTTCTTTCTTTTTTTTTTATAGTTATGTCACTAATTTCTTTCGTTCATGAAAATAGTCCAAACTAAATATTTAGCAGCAAACATTAAAAGTATCGATTTTTTTGGTTTCGACGAAATAACAACATTTGTTTCATAAGCCTGATATACAATAGACACAAGGGAGGCAACTCATATTTTCTCATGGTATATTTTACAAACTGAACATCTCTTCATGGGCTTGTGGCTATGGAGCTAGCCTAGTAAACCATTACTACTGTATGTTTGATCTTCACTGAGTGTTCCACATTTCCAGCTTTCTGTCAGATAAAATTTAAACGTAGTAAATGCATTTGACAGTATGGTATGCTTGTTTATAAAAATGTATTTTTTAAATTCTTTTCTATTTTTAATAGATTTTAATTTAACATTAAACTTAGTAAAATTCACTGAGAAATTTAAATAATTTACAAATGGGTGCCAAAAATTTCTTGATCTAATCTACTTTCCAAAATCGCCATTCAGATGTTTGGCCATTAAAATAGTGAGTTTTGGAAAGTGGGTTGGGTCAAGAACTTTTCAGCACCCTCTTGTATATGCATTGGCCTAAAATTGTAGTAAAAATAATGGCATTAAAAGATTGAATAATTTTAATTTATATTTTATTTACTTTTTATTATTATTCATTATACGTTTTTTTTAGGTTTTATTTTGTTTATTTTTACTTATTTATTTGTTTAGCAATTCCATCTTCTGAAGCAATGGAATGGGTATTTTCAAGCCACTAATGCAATCACTCATTGGGATACAGGAGTGAATACCGATTTACTTAAATTCATTGGTGTGAAATCAGTTGAAATTCCTGAAAACATTGTAAGTAGCATGATTGTTTTTGTTTTTCAGTTTATTACTTCTAAATATAAGTCATATATATATATGCAGCAATCCTTCCTTTATGCATGTTTAATTAAAAATGACAGTCAAGGTACTACGGTTAACCTTTTTACTTAATTTTTCTTATGTTTGAACAAGAGCTTTCTTTTCTGGACAAAGAGTGTGTAAAAACTGTCCAAATGTTTTATATTTTCGAGCGCTTTCAGCTATACCTTTAGCTATTATCAAGGATGATTTGATTTTTCAGCTTAATTGAGTGTGTGCGTTATGTGTATGTCTTAGTGTGTGGTAGGGATGTTTTTAATTTCCGAATATGGTTAGCACGTTGTGGCTTTGTTCGTAGTTAATATTGTTAAGAGTCGGCTTTAATAATAAAAAAGAAAAAGCCAACTGTCAAAGTATGAAAACCAATTACTCAGCTCAAAAAATATCAATGACCTGTTAATCAACAAATGCTGATATAACATAGATTATTTTCACCTGATTAATTAAAAAAGGAAAGAAGAAAATTTTCTTTCCTTTGGGCAGATGTTTAACATGAACAGAAAATGGGATAAGTGTAAGGAGAATGTGATTCTTGAGCACGTTTTCGTGTGTGTACATGTATACGTATATGTCTGAGTGAGGGGAACAAATCGTTACTTACCACTTCAAGCTTACCAGATAGAAACTGTGGTTGTGTTTGCTTCCTTTTTTTATGGAATAGCGTACATTGCTGGTGAAGTGGAAGTTATCTGGGACTGAACTATAAGTTGCCAAGAAGAGTCGCAGTGTATAGTTAGAAGGATGGAAAAAATTGTAACTAATGGAAGGTATGCAAGTCGATACTCAATCAGTATCGGCTGGTTCACTGTGGAGAGGGGGTATGATGTTGAAAGACCCGAAACCCCTAATGAACCTTGGCTAGAAACATCACTAATGATGTGTACCAAAGTAACCAATAGATGTATTTTACAAAATGTATCCTAATAATAAGGTTCACAAACTGATGTTATAAAAAATCATTTAAACAACAAATATTTATTTTCAATATAATATCATTTTTTGTCAATGCTCTTAATTCAGTAAATATTTACACATACAACAATCATTGTACAGTTAAAACTAAGTTTAAAATTTGACAAAAATGTTAAGCTGCAGACATACATAATGACTCATTCTTGTATGTGTGTCACACTCACAAGAATGCATCACACACACACAAATTCACATACACAAATTTATCAAATATATATATATATATATATATATATATATATTCATTCACACATAAAGCATAAGCACTGACTGGACATTCACTTATATCATCTTACATTTTAAGTGTGGTGGTGATACATTATCAGCTGTACAATCATCTTTTTATTCCTGTTGTTCACCCAGTACAAGGCCCAGGAGCCATTCAAGGTAGCAGATTATTGAAATGGCATGTAAGAACAGAGTAAGAGGTGCCTATTATGAAGATATGTAGGAGAGGTAACAGTTGACCCTAGACTTGAAGAGGTTAAGATTGTAATGATTGAGGAAGCACCTTTTCAGGTGTTTGTTCCACAATATAATAGTTCTATGTAACAGTTTTATTTACATTATGTATTTGTGTAAAGTGTGTGCATGTGTATCATAGTTATTCTGTTTGCATTTCTGTTTAACTCAGGCCAAAAAATGAATTGTCTGTTTATGGTGGGCTTTTGGGTTTTTTGGGTTTTTTTCTGGAAAGATTACGAACTTTTTGCTTTAGACTAATTTCTTCATCAATCTAATTTTGATATTTTTTATTTTTCTAACCCAGGATTAAGTATTTTGTCACTCCAATCATCGTTAGATCATACTGAGCCAAAAATACATCATTTTAGACTAGTAAAAAAATATTTCACAATTTCCTCTTTTCTCTTTTGCAGAATATCCATCCAACTATTCAAAAAACACATATTGATAGAAGAAAACAGAAAATGATTGATGGAACGGATCTTGACTGGGGAACATCTGAATCCCTTGCTATTGGATCTCTTCTTTACCAAGGTAAAAAAAGACAAAAAATGAATTGGGGTCGTTTAATCCCTTAACATCTCTCTCTCTCTCTCTTTCCTGTTACAGGCACATGACAGTGCACTTGGAAACACAGCTGTTGATAAATGCAACCACCATTGTCTCTTATCTCATTGATTTGGTTGATTGATCTTATCAGCCAGACATTACCCTACTTTCACAAGGCCATGGTTACTTTTTTTTCTTCTTTAAATCATTTCATCATAAGCAAGGCATTAAAGCCACTAAGATGCAAGGGATTATTGATTATGAAAGACTATGAATAAAAGAAAACATTAAGAAGAGAGAACAATAAAAGAACAGGAATTAAGGATACAGAAGATGACAATTGACATTGCATTTAAATGTTTGAAGATCAAAGTTGATTGGAAAGCAAGAAACCAGAAAATAGTTCCACAAATAGGAAGTGTGAGAGAAGAAACTATTAGCATAGAACTTACGGTTACATTTAACTGTTTCAGCAGCAAGAGGACCTAGCTGTCAATCTAGTACAGCATTTAAATTCATAAAGTTTAGTTACCAAGTGGAAAGCTCATCAGAACAATTACCATGAAAATATTTATAGAAAAAGCATGAGGAAGCTATGTCATGAAGATGGGAAAGTGACTGATGCCAGGTCAGGGCCAATAACATTGCAGATTCTTCTTTTAATCTCTAAATACATAGTAGAAGCACCAGACCATATGTAACAGCAATATTCAATATGTAGACGAATGGTAGAGTTATAAATGTGTAAGATAGATACTAGCAAGTGAACCAGCTTTCTGACACAATGAACATTCTCTCAAAGTTCTATGTTGGCTTATAGTATATAACAACAGGGAAGAATTTCATGGCATCCCTAGCAAAAGAGGAGTTACTTGGTAGTGTCCATCTCCTCTATTGACTATTGTGGCATGCCAGTGTTAAGGCAACTTATTGAAAGAGCAAGCTTAAATTTCTAGTTACTTCAAAACAATTTTAGTGGTTAATGTAGAAAAGAATATTGAAATGAGAACAAAACTAAAATGATCGCTGGCAATAAACAAATGTGTCTGAGAGTTAAGGGTTTCCAAACAAGTCATCCTGCACTTCACTTTAATCAACAGATCATTTGTATTCACTTATACACAATAAGAAATAATGATGCAATACAATTGTTTTCAATAACATCAACTTTCTGTTAAAATAAAAATGTTATCATTATTTGCTCATGTTTGTGCAAATAATGAAGATATACTAAAAATAGCACGAGATGTTCCCAAATGCAAAAATGCTGAGTGAGCTTTAGCCATTTTTCTATATTTTTTGGCCTCTAATCCCATATACATTTGGTATTCTGTCTTTAAATCTGGTCTTATGTTGAAGTCCATTCAAATAGCTGTATAAATAAATACTTACTTTGAATCATACTGAGTATGACAATAGACTACATCTGGCAGCAAGGCCTCTGATTGCTGTTGATCCCAGGTCCACCCTGACCCAAGGTGGTAGCACTGGTTAGGGTCCCAGCTATGGGCAAATAGTGAACACCAAAACTGGGGTCAAAATAAGAAAATATAAAAATACATTAGAAAAAATTACAAGCAATATATCTTCATAATAAAAAAAAAACAAAAAAAAACACCAAACCTACTAAGAAAATAATGTTTTGGCATTAAATGACCCATAAGGAGTTGATATGCTGTTAAACAGTCTACATTAAATTAACTTTGGAGAGCATAAAAATAATCTTCACTGAATTATCTCCCCTTTCTTGGAAATTTCCCTTTCTGAATTTTGTACACGTCCAATTTATGAATTTCAAAAGCATTAAAGAGACTCAAGTTATTAAAAGACATCCTAAGGTTAAGTGGGATTTCTATGTATATAATAAAACAACAAGCAGATTTGTTTTTATTGAGATTATTGATAATTTCTTTTTTTTAAACAATTATTTTAAGTCAGTATTTGATGGCAGTAATATTTTAATGGCTTAAAATAAAATAAATAAAACTTTATATGTTAAATTGTGATATCAGATGCCAAAGATTATCACTATTACTTGTACCTCACCTGACTCTATAATATTAAAAGAGGAGCTTCTGTTTGAATTTCCGGTGTAAGGAGTTGTTATTTCCATGCCGACTATTGTCCTCATCTTTCTTGTTGTTGTTATGACAACATTTTGGCTATTATGCTCTCTGACCATCATCAGGTGTATGTTGATCCAGATAACCTACAGGTCTTTTCACTACCCTTTGTGCACTCCTGGAACTGACTAATGTTTTGATTGATAAGCACAATGGAATTAGCTTTAGGTCTCTACATCTGTACAGGAATGTCAGAACTAGACGAGATATCCCTAGACATGGGCAGCAGAATGAGAACTGTCTACATCTGTAGATTAAATAAAAAGGTACAGTTCAGAATTCCTTGCAGGTTACCTGGATTGATATACACCTGATAAAGGCCAGAGGGCACAAGGGCTGAAATGTTGTGATAACAATGTAGCAATACAAAAGACGATTCTCTCCCTTTGGTTGAGATAAGTCACATGTGTCATGGCTGCTTAGTGATGTCACTCCATACAATGATGAAAGTGGCAGTCAATTTAATTCAGTTTACAGGAGTCAAACCAAGTAGTTGCATTTTTAGACCAGGTCCCTTGACTCAGGCTAGGACTGCCTCCTCCAGCATATGCTACAGCTTACAAGCACCATGGTGATGTTTTCCCCACATCTTTCCCTGATATATATAAAAAAAAAAACTATCTCTGGCTATCTACTCAATTTGGGAAAACCCAAGACATACCATTTCCTGTTCACAGAATTATGTCCCAAGCAAGTCTATATGCAGGCAGCAAGTAGGAACAGAATGCCAGGCTAAAAGGGGTAGAAATGGTCTTCACAAGTCCTATCTCAAACTAAAGAATTGACCCATTCTGGTCTTCACTATCTTAAACCTTTTTGCAAAAAGAAGTTGCCAGGTTACTATTCAGTGCAAGAAGTTGCCAGGTTACATTCAGTGAGACGAACAACAACTACAGGTCTTGCAAAATACTAAAAATCTCAAGGAAAAATAAGCTGAGATTTGTTACGAAAAATGAAGGTGTAAAAATGGTCAGGAGGTATATTACAACTAGGTTCATAACACAAAAGGAACTAAAAAGTCATTAGATCAATTCTAAAACTAAATGAAATTAAATTATATAGTATATAGAGAACACAATGAAAAGATCAAGAGCAAAGTGCCCTATTCGTTCTTGTGTGGGAATGGCCAACAGTGACTGCAACAATATCATGGATATAATAATACCCATAATATGGGAAACATAAATGGAGGGAATAAGCCTTTCTTCTATGCTTTCCCATTGACAACAAATCTGCATTAATCTGCATGTAAATAATTAATTTGCATTAATCTGCATGTAAATAATAATAACTACTCGACCCAGAAAAGAAAAAAACATTTCTTCAGGATTTACATTTTCTCTTATTTCAAAAGTGTGAAGTTCAACTGTTATTTTTAGTGGATACCTGTGTTTGATTCAGCATACTTTAAACTGCTTAGTCATAGAACTTCTATTTATCAAGTTTTTATTTATTCTTTTAAGAACCTTGCTGGGCTGTGACACTCTCTGTGGCTGGGCAGACTAAAACGCACCTGATCAGACAGTGGTTTCTCCTACAAAGGGGGAATGCAGGTTCAAACCCTGCCAGAGCACATTCTCTTTTTTCTTTTTTTTTTTTTTTTTTTTTTTAAAGTTTTCTCAGGCATACATGCCAGTAGATGGTATACATATTGTTTAATAATTAAAAAAAAAAATACAAACATTTATTTCAAACATGGGTATGCACTAAAAATAGCAATTGAAATAATAAAAAAATTGTTGGATTAAAAATGAATCCATTAATTCTTTAGAAATTGTTTTGTTTACATTTGGGATACAAAACTTAGAAAATATAGCTTTTGAGAAAAATCTGATTGGGGACATGTGCATTACTTAAAAAGACAAATGGAAACTTGCTGGACTATGAGGCTCTTCTTGGCTGAGCTGTCTAAAGCATGCTAGATCAGACAGTAGTTTCTCCTACATTCTTTTTAGTAAGTTTTCTCAAGTGCATACACCGGTAGATGTAATACACACTGTTTAATAATTAAAAAAAAAACAAACAGCATCTATTTCAAACACGAGTATCCACTAAAAATAACGTTTGAAGTAATAAAAATGTCAGATTAAAAATGAATCTATTAATTCTTTTGTAGTGTTTGTTTAATCAGAACATTAATTTCTTGTCCTGGAAACAATATTGTATTTAAAGATCTTAGACTCACCAGCTGAGACTATAACTACTACCATAATATTGTTTTTTTTTTTAACTTGCCAGGTTTCAATGTGCGTATCAGTGGGCAGGATGTTGGTCGTGGCACTTTCAGTCACAGACATGCAATGATTGTAGATCAAACTACGGATGATATAATAATCCCTTTAAATCATATGGTCCCGTCACAAACTGGAAAATTTGAGGTGCGTAATAACTACTACATTTCTATTTCGGCTGGTTCATTCTCCAGCCTTCTTCATTATTGATTCTTAAAATGTAGAGATTTTCTTATAGACTTTCTTAGCATTTCTTTTTTTAACAATTTAATCTTATGAAATGTTTAATTTATGAAATTAAAAGTAAAGATAAACTTTCTTTTTTTTTTTTTTTTAAAAACAAATACACAAAATATTGCAAAACATACATTCAATGGAACATAAAAAATGAAAAAAAAACTTCCTTTTAAAAAGTTTTCAATTTCACTTGTATAAAATCCTTCTGTCAGTAATGTTTGCATCATTTGCCAAAAAGTTACTGTTATGGTCCAAGTTCCTTGTACCATGGTGATGGTCCAAAGTTAGAACCAATGAAAGAATAACACGAACACAGGTATGGAATACAAAGATATATTACAACAGAAATCTTTGCTTCCCTTTGTTTTATATATAATAACCATGTCAGTTCCTTGAAAAATTACAATGAGTCACTTATATTCTTTTTCATTTAATATTTTCATGTGTTAACATCGGTGAAGACTAAACATTTCTTTGAATTTTCTTACATTTCAGACAGCCATTGATTTCAAATTGATTTTATTTACACTACGATATTTTTTAACAAACTGAATTTTTTTTTTTAATATTGTAGTTTTTTCAAAATGTTTTACTGCTTTAGTTACTTTTTTTTTAGTTAAATGTAAAATTATCTTTGAATTCATGTTACTATTTAACTGGTGGAATTAGTCATATTTTGTGTTTATTTTTTTAGTTTAACGTTCTTGAAACTATTGATATTTTTTATGATTATAGAATATTTGAATAAAAGACATGAATTTTCAAAACAAAGAAGCAAATACTTTGAAAAAAAAAATCAAAATAATACATAATTCTAAATCTTATGTATTCAACCAATGAAATTGAGATAAATAAATCTATTATTTATTGACTGTACTGTTCCAGTGTGGGGTTTGTTACATTCTCTTATACGCAAATACCCTTGGAAAAGATACGAATCACGCATCTTACCCCCCCCACACACACACCATGCATTAAATAGTTGGAAAACAAATCAATCATTCCTAATTTCACTGTTCATTCTTTCACTTACTTCTACACTAGATCTGCACTTATTTAAAAAAAAATGTCACTTCATTTGCATAATAAATAATATTTTGTCCCAGAATTTTAGACAATACTGTGTGTATGTGTGTGTGTGTGCAAATACTAAAATGAAGTTGACCAATATTGAATTTTGTTGCATTTGTAGGTGGCTAACAGTGTTTTGTCTGAGGAAGCTGTTCTTGGCTTTGAATATGGCATGAGTTTAGAGAACCCCAAAAACCTGGTTATTTGGGAAGCCCAGTTTGGAGATTTCTTTAATGGTGCTCAGCCAATCATTGACACATATGTGACCAGTGGAGAAAGTAAGTATACAGAACTTGATGCTTAGAGTATGATTTTTAGTATGTATATATACATGAGAAGAATGACACAGCGTTGCCCAGGATTTCATAAAATGAGAATGTAACATGTTCCTTTCAAATGAAATCATGTGACATCTGTAAGTTCTTTAAAATTCTTTAACTACAACACAAAATGATGAAGGATCAGTTTCTTACTAAAATAATAGAAAAAAATTTCATATATATAATATTAGTGGTCAATATACACATGTGTGTGTATATATATATATATATATATATATATATATTAATGTACAGCCAGTTAGATCAGGGGTACAGGAATGTAGGACGCCCATGGCTAAGATACAAAGACAAGCTGAGAAGCAACTTAAAATCCGTTTAATATACCACATAACACCCTTGAGTGCTTATATTTTTTGGAGCAGGTAGAATGGAGATCAATTTGTTTTTTTTAGTGGACTCAGCAATTTTCAATCTGCTTGTCTGAATCATCTTCAAGAAGCGAGAGCAAGATCTAAAAGGTCAGCCAATCTAACGATGATCTCATCTCACAATCCTCACACTTGCTCTATATCTGGCCTCCTTTGTAAATCACTAGCGGGTCTTAAATGCCACAAGATTATCGCACAAAATTTCATAACTGAATCAGATTCTCATACGTTGAAACTGACAGGAGAGTCCATTATTATTATTATTATTATTATTATTATTATATATATATAAAATTCCAAGAGGATAGAATCCAAGTAGAACTCAATGTCCAGGACAGAGTAATAATATAATAAAAAAGGCTCAAACACTAATATTCCATGGTTAAAATTCAAATTTCTTCTGTTGCACCTCTCTCTAGAGCTTTCATACATTTCCCTCTCACACTTGTTTCCCACTCCCACACATATACTCTCACTAAAATTTTGTTTTTTTATACCCGGAATTATATTTTGCGATTTCTTTTTGAATTTGTAGGTCTGATGAATTGGATCGTGATTACGATTCCAATGTAATAAATTATAACCATGGAATATTAATGTTTGAGCCTTTTTTTATATATATATATATATATATATATATAGTTGCGAAACAGAAAGAATTATTATTTTTGCAATGTTTTGGTGGACAAATGAGTCTGGTAGAAATAAGAAGAACACATGAAATTTAAACAAACATGAATTAATAAATGTCTTAACAAGACGTGCTGCAAAAGAGTAAAGAAAGAAACAAAGTTAATGACAGTTCAACACAATCTTCAGTTGATGTCTCTGAACTATTTATATGCCTTGTGGCTGTCGGAGTGATAAGAAAAGTGTGTTTCCTCTCTCAAAGTCAAAGCATTTTTTTTTAGAAGGAACAGTTCAAATTTCACACTGCCTGTGGTTACTTTTTTTTTAGTTAAATGTAAAAACCATATATATATATATATATATATATGGTGACTGAATTTTGTGTTTATTTAATGGAGGCATGGAGGAGTAATGGATATTTTTTATGATTGATTGAATAATGAATGGAGAGCCAAGTTCAAATTCCAGTCAAATCCATTAAAAAAAATCAAACTTACGAGCTAAATACCCTTGAGAAAGGTATGAATCCAATTCTTCTGTTCCCCCAGCTGTCGGTTAATAGCAAAGACAGACCAGGTTCTATAGCCTTGGATGGCAACTGGTCTACTGTTAAAGAAATGGCAACCAAATGTGGGAAAATTCCTAATTTCATCAGTCATGTATCGAAAAGATACATGATTATTTAAAAAAATTCATGCATGGCATAAAAAGTAAACTCCTCTTTTTAAAATACTTATAATTTATTTATTAACTATAATTTTTACAAGAAATGGATATGAGATGCAAGCATTTAGTATGAGGCTTTATTTAAAATATGATGTGGGCACCAGATTTTACTACCAGCCCAGGAATTGCGTCAACTGATTTCACCAGGATCTTTTGTGGAATGGAAAACATAACTTCTTGTATTCACCCTTCAAGTTCTTCCAAAATCATGGTTTGGTAGAGTTGCTCTTTAATGTAACCCCAAAGAAAAACATCAGGGTCTTTAAAAGTCAGGAATCCTGGCTGGCCACTGTATGCAAAATAGGGAGTTACTTTTCAATCACATGTGTGTGTATATATATATATATATATATATATATATATATATATTTGGTTGATAGATGTGAGTTTGTGACCCTGGGTTTCATGGCTTTAGCGATCGTCAGACAAACTGATTAATGTTTTAAAAATTTGGGTTTATGTAGCTTTGGAGCAGGTATTGGAGATTATTGTGGAAGTGGTGGGGAAATTTCAATCGTTTTGTCATTCGTCATGCTAACGCAAAACATCAATGTATGCAGGCATATATACACACTTGGTCGTCCGTCGGGACTCATACATATATAAACATATGTGGGCAGCCTCGGCTATGACACATGTATGTATACGGGTGGTGTTATATCTATACATACGCATTTGTATGTTGAAATGTTGAAATCAGGTGTTTGACTGTCTTGTTTATTTCTATCTTCACACCACAAATTTCATACTTTCTTTTTACTAACAAATTTGAGAAAAATGGCAAAAGATTTTTTTCTTAGTTTTAAAAATGACATTTGATTCAATGATATTTTTTTTTTCAGACTAGTATTCTGACTTTTTTATTTTTTTTATTTTTTATTATATTTCAGATGACTTTATGAACTTTTCTATTTCTTGCAATTTTCATTTCAGCACAGTTTTCTGAATTGATAACAGGTAAAACCTGATTTGTGTCACCAACTGCAGACTGCTCTTTAAGGTAGTGAAGTCATTAAAATATTTATATGCCTTGTGGCGGTCCAGTGGGCCCGTATCACGGAAGGGTGGGGGTGAACAGAGGTTTCAAGAGGCCGGTTAACATTTTTTTGAAGACGTTTATATCTATACGGTGAAACAATATGGACGACAGAACGAGGATATATATGATATACAGGTTTATTCTAAAAGGAATTGGAAATGAAGATGGTCGGAAACGGTGGAGGTGCTGGAAGCTGCAGAAGTTTTAGTGACAGGCATTGATGGTCGAGGTTGGCAGTTGCTAGGATCATCGTTGTTGGGGGTTGACGCTGATGTGAGTTGTTGCCAGGATGATCGCAACATGGTGGTTGTTGATTTGTTGATTGATGCCAGGATGATCTTTGTTGGTTGTTGAAGCTTAAAATATGTTGTGGGTGCCAACTTGTTTCTGTAGTTCGTGTTGCCAACTCGTTGTTTGTCATTGCCGGGATGCCAACTTGTTGCAGCAGTTCATGGTTTGCCAACGTTGTTTGTCATTGCCGGGATGCCAACTTGACGTGTTGGGAAGGAAGAGAGAGAAATTCTAAAAGTTCCCAACTATCGTCATAGTTGGCAGACAAAAGAAATGGGAGCGTAACTTAATACACAGCCCAGAGATAGGGCGCCCTTGGCCAATGAAGTTTTAAATGGGGCCTGTAGATTAGATTGGTGTTATTGTGGAAGTGGTGTTGCGGCCGCCGACAGCCTCCTCGAAGCTAGGGAGAAATCACTGTCTTGTGTCGAGGGGACCAGCAAGAGAAATTGGCTAAGCTAACTGAAAAGTCTCTAAAAAAAAATACTACAAGGTTAGCCAAAGATAACTATGGTCTAAAATGACTAGAAGTATATTACAACTAGGTTTGTAAAATAGCCTAACTAAAATGGGATTTTTTTTGCTAGTCCCTCTGACGTGTTAAGATTTTTTTTTTTGAGGACTTCTTTATGAATGAGAGGTCATATTTCGAAAAGACCTGTTCCTCTGCTGGTTCAAGGAATTGATAAAGGAGGATTTGTGTCAACTGCAACTCCGACAATCTGTCAGAGAAAAATGATTGGATTGAAATTAGTGGCAAGAAAGAATTCAGAATGGGCAGATCATAAAGTTTCTGTGATGTGAAAGCAGGAAACAGTTGATAGATTGCCTTACTAAGTATGGAGCGTCCCTTTTTAATATTAAGAAGTGTTCTCCTAAAATGTTTTTTGGGGCTTAATAATTTAAAAAATTTTTTTAAATGTGGAAGTGTAAGTAAACTTTCTCTTAGCAGAATTATGGAAGCTGCCCACCTCACCTACAAGTGGATTATTCCAATTTAGTTGAACTGGATTTTACTGTTGCAAGATTTTTCTGATATTGTAAGGAGAATCTTTGTTGCTTATTACTTTCACATTGGTAGCTTTCAATTTAGCCAGAAAAGCTCAAATGAAAATAAACAAACTGAAATGTGTTTAAAAATAATCTTTGATACAAGATTGTTATTGTAAGCAAAATACAAGTTATAGTTTGTTTGTTCAACTGCAAAATAAACCAACAAAAAATATGCCTATGAACTATGCAGATGTCTTCTCACAGTTATTATTCTGTCTCTCTTTAATTTTTCTTTACGTTACTTGAATTAACTAAAGATTAATTATGCTTCTTTTATCTGTGCCAAAATGAAACTCTAGTTGATGCCAGTGATTTTGTTGCCTTGTCGATGGTTAACAAGCTTATTTTGCAGATTTGGTTGATTTTGCTTAGCGATATATCAACCTCTGTATATATTTAGCAGGCTGTTACTCTTAAAGTTAGTTAAACCTACACTGGGTACCCTATGACTTTTAGCCTTTTGTCAGACTAAGCTTAGTAAATATTTGATTATCTTACTAAGATAATCAAATATTAAAAAAAATCCTAAGCTTTCATTACTATTGTAATTCTTACTTTCGAGGATTCTTACTGGGTGCTCCATATTTTTTTTACCTTGTACCAGACTACAGTTAGTTTAGGACCTGCTTTTATAGTTGAGGAAGTGGTGTATTTTCCACTAGCATTTGGGTTGATTATCAAAATGCAAGTAAAAACCAAGATTTTAAATGCTGATTTTTTTCAAGACAAACAGACTCTTACTACTTGGAAGATTGTGTAGTGTCAGTATTCCTCAACTGATTTCTCTATATACTCTTGATATAGTAATGAGTTGTAAGCTAATCTGGCTAAACCAATTAGTTGTAGTTGTAATGTTGCCTTATTTTTATACCCTTATGTCAAATCAAACTAAGATTAGTAAATATTTTTAAATATCAATCTTCCATAAGACAAATTTGTTAGTTAAACCTACACTGGGTACCCTATGACTTTTAGCCTTTTGTCAGACTAAGCTTAGTAAATATTTGATGATCTTACTAAGATAATCAAATATTTTAAAAAAACCCTAAGCTTTCATTACTATTGTAATCTTACTGGGTGCTCTCTTTCGGGGGATTCTTACTGGGTGCTTCATATCCAGAAATAAATAACATTGTAGGGAAAATTTAGTGTAAATTATTGAGCTCTGTGTGTTATCGGAGATCTTGCCCTGGTTCCTGGCTATCATTGTGGTAGCTCCTACCCTGGTCCCTGGCTGTCATCATTGTGGCAGCTCCTGCCCTGGTCCCTGGCTGTCGTCATGGCAGCTCTCATCATTGTGGCGGCTTTTGACCTACTGTTGCATGTAAATTGCTACTTTGAAATAGGAAAAACATTAGCCGTCATGGCACTAAGCTGATATTTACTAAATTTAACTTAACCTGGCACAAAACATATTCAAGGAGGAACACCTAGTGAAGATCAAATTCGCTACAATAAATGTAGCTTCTTTGAGCAGCTCATTAACCAACACACTGCATCAGAAATCCTCATCATAATTATCAATATATGGAATTGTTACTTCTTCAGTACTTATTCATTGATGATTTGTTTTTTAATCTTGAATTCTAAAATTGATTTATCATGCATGCTATTTATTGTTCATTGAAAATCTGTCAGAAAGGAATTGTCTATGGTCAAGAATTAAGCAATTCTTATGAATAGGACAGAGCTCTTATATGCGTAATTGTCTTGTGGGAAATATTGTTTTTCATCAAATCTCTTGTTTTCTAGCAAAATGGCTGCTTCAGAGTGGAATTGTGATGTTATTGCCACATGGTTTTGATGGCGCTGGGCCTGAGCATTCTTCTTGCAGGATGGAAAGATTTTTGCAAGTACGAAGATCTTTTTGTTTGTTTTTCAAATCTTTATATTTAAAAGTCAAATGAAAGGGTGAAAAAAATGGTGGGCAAAAATTTTCATATAAAAAATTTCAGAATTTGTTGTTTAATCAAATTTTTCCCTTTACCAAGAGAAGTATTTTGTCTATCTGTACAGAATTTGGGTAGAAATAAAAATCAGTAAACAAAATGGCAGTTTGAAAAAGGTAGACCTACACAGGTGGCACTGCTAAGTTATTTGCATGGAAATAATTATAAGATTATTATTGGCCAATCGTTGAGCTAGACTCATATATATATATTAAACCCCTGAACTATGTAAAGTCTTTCACCTATCTTGGTAGCAAAGTCAATTACAGTGGAACTTTAGATGATGAAATCATGCATTAGATTGCTAAGGCTACCAGTGCTTTCAACAAACTTCATTATCGCTTGTGGAATGAGCGGGGTATTCGACTGGATACGAAAAATTGGGTTTACAGAGATGTTGTACTTGCCATCCTTTTGTATGGCTCAGAGTCGTAGACTCCATACAGGTACCATATATGCCAGCTAGATGTTTTCCATAAAAGCTGTCTGCATGCAATCTGTGGAGTTCAAGATAGGACATCTAACATAGACCTGTTTAACAGTTGTAATATTGGAGGAATCGAGACTTTTATCATACAGTCTCAGTTATGGTGGACTGGTCTGAGAGTGTCTGATGACAGGATACCCAAGATCCTAATGTAGAGCCAGTTAGATCAGGGCTACAGGAATGTAGGATGCCCATGGCTAAGATACAAAAACAAACTGGGAAGCAACTTGTCAGCAGTCAATATACCACATAACACCCTTAGCTTTGGAGTGGGTATAATAGAGATCAACGTGTTTTAGTGGACTCAGAACTTTTCAGAAATTTTCAATCCACTTGTCTGAATCCTCTTCAAGAAGTGAGAGCAAGATCTAAAAGATTAGCCAATCTAACAGTGATCTCATTTCACAATCCTCACACTTGCTCCATATGTGGCCCCCTTTGTAAATCACTAGCGGGTCTTAAATGCCACTTAAGATTATCGCACAAACTTTCATAACTGAGATATGTCAGATCCTCATATGTCGAAACCGACGGGAGAGTTCATTGTTATATATATATATATATATATATATATATATATATATATATATACATATATATAATTAATATATAATATTACTTGGAGTAAAGGTGACCAAAGTGAAGAGATAAATCCAACAGAAGTTTTACAGGAAGTGATTTTAAAAATAAATAAAGAGGTTCTCGAGCCTTGCCTTTTAATACATTTAGTTTTAGGTCAAATTAATAAAGGATCAGGAAAAGATCAGGTGATATTATTTTTGGTTTTTCTTACATGAATTCAATTATAGGTTTTTTTCTTTCTTTAAATTATGTTTATTATAAGTTTAATTATGAAATCTGATAATGTTTTTTCAAATATATTAGTCAGGTGTCATCACTGGTTGTTCAGTCAGTGAATACTAAATGTTTCCTTATAAGGAAACTCCTAATATTACCATTACCATATAGTGAAAATATTTAACATTTTGTGGTATGATATCTGAAATAGGCCTGATTGACAATTTTTGTTTGTAAAATAAATATCTAATGTGAAAAAAAAATTGGTTTGTGCAAAGACAACAAATATTTAATTACTTTCTTGGAGACATTTTTAATTTTACAAGATGGTGTCTTAGAAGATTTATACATTTGCCAACGGGTATGTTAATGGATAAATATTTAATATCTAAGCTAACCACGACTATGTTTTTTGTATTTTTCATTTTTTTTAATGGGATTACCAGAATTATTTTAGGCATGAGAAGTTCATTCTTCCTAAAAGAGTTGTTAAAATTTTGTCTTGGCCTTTTGCTAATTTGTGAAGAGCACCGTCTATACTGATGATATTAAACCATTGTTTTAGTTATTAGGTTTGGGTTTGTGTATCTTTGATAATACATAAAGACTAAATATCCTTGGATGGTATTCTATCAATTGTGTCCAAGTTTTGTTTGCATTTTTATGTTTTTTTTTTATTGATTGTCTGAATTTTTGATTTTGTGAGCATCCATAGTCATAATACCTTTTATCTGAGAACATGTCACATAAATTTTTGTTTTTTTAGATAGTGTTTTTAAAATAAGAATTTAATAATAAACTTAATGCACTTGTACGCTACCAAAACTTTCATGTTTACAATTTTGAACTGGAAGACACCTTTTTCTTTTCTTTTTTTTTCTTTTTTTTTTTTTTTTTTTTTTTTTTTTTTTTTTTTTTTTTTTTTTTTTTTCTTTTTTTTCTTTTTTTTTTCTTTCTTTTTTTTTTTTTCTTTCTTTCTTTCTTTTTTTTTTTTTTTTTTTTCTTTTTTTTTTTTTTTTTTCTTTTTTTTTTCTTTCTTTCTTTTTTTTTTTTTTTTCTTTTTTTTTTTCTTTCTTTCTTTTTTTTTCTTTCTTTTTTTTTTTCTTTTTTTTTTTCTTTTTTCTTCCTTTTTTTTTTTCCTTTCTTTTTTTCTTTTTTTTTTTTTTTTTTCTTTTTTTAAATTATTCATTAATGTATACTTAATGAGTCCCCTGCAATTAATATACAATCAGGCTATTTCAATATCTACCCTTTTCTTGCTAACTTAGTACTGGAAACAATGTGGCATATTTAAACTACAAATAAATAAAAAGAATTAATTAAAACCTAATTTCTATTTTGTTTGGATCAAAATGATGGCACTCCTGATAAAATTCACTATGAATTTTACAATTGCTAAACCATCTTCTACAAGGTTCCACTGCATTAGCCTTGGACAGGTGCAACTGGGGTCACCATACAAGATTGCTAACATAATAATTTATTTTGCATAAGATCAATAGTACTAGTATATTAAAATGTAGCATTTCTGTAGGGATCAGTTTATTACTAAATAACAATACAAAATTGATCCCCCACTTTATGCCCACTTTAGTACTAATGCAACCATTATGTTTTGGGTCAGGATGGTGGCATAAAATTCATAGAATGAATTTTACAATTGCTAAAGCATCTCTTACAAGATTCCACAGCACTAGCCTCAGCATAACAAATAATTTCACATCAATGTTATCATTTATGACTTGTTTTCTGATTATCTTTTGGTTTAGCTTTGTGACAGCCGTGAAGATGGAGTGGACGGGGATGATGTCAATATGGAAATTGTCAATCCAACCACAGCAGCTCAGTATTTTCACCTACTACGACGACAGGTCAGTAATCTTCACTTTCACACCCAAGCCAGCAGGATTTCTATCCTGAAACACAACTTGGAATTTTTTTTTTTTTTTTTTTTTTACCTTCATATTAAATGCCTCAAGCACCAGTCCTGCAATTTTTGTTATCAAAATATTTGTGGGTCTGTCTGAGACATAAAAGTTAAATGTTTTTTTCCATGATCATAAAAGAAAAACTTCCTCACTTTAAATTGATGAAAAACAATTTGTAAGATTTTCTTTATTTTCTATCTCTGGCCATATTGAACACATATTAAATACCTACAAATACCTATAAATTACTGGCATACATTTTAAGTAATAAAAAAATGCTCCAAAAATTGAATTTTTTTTTTTTACAATGAAAAGAAATTTTCAAATTCAAAAAAAAATTTTGTACTTGCAGTTAAAAAAATTAAATCTTCATTAAAAAAAAAATTTTAATCTCTAAAGAAAAAAAATGATTTTTATGATTGCAATTTCTGCTGCTTTTTTCAGCTACTGCAGCCAAACTTTCAGTATTTGTTTTTCATTTCATTTATTCATCAGTTTTTATACATATCTTAAAATTATGCAACAATTAATTGATAAGCATCCTCTCCTACCGTATGGCATCAATAATAGTGGAGTCTAGAGTTGAAGATTCATCTCCAGCTCTGCTGGTCAAACTCTCTGCCTGGAGGCAGAGAGGATTCCCAGACGAGGCTATGTTGAAAGGCAGAGTCTTGTCTCTGGAAACAGCTACTTGACACCGTTTTATAAGTGGAATTTTTGGTCATGCTTACGGGCTCAGTTAGCCCACATTAAATTAGGCCTTGTGCCACATCTGACTATGGGACAGTTAGTAGATATCCTAATAGTGGAGAGAAAAAACTGCCAGCTATACGTTTTTGAAAAAGATATTGTTGCCAGGTATACGTTTTTGAAAAAAATAATGTTTCCAGCTATACGTTTACTAGTACTATATATATATATATATATATATATATATATATATATAAACTAAATTTGGCTTTAAATGACCTACAGTGGTTGATATGCCATAAAAGCCAACCAACCAATCAACCATACCAGTTTCATTATTCTATCTAATCAAAAACTTGTTCTTTTTTTTTATTTTTTTAATCTGTTTTATCCCATGCAAGGCAGTAAAGCCATAAAGGGTTAAAGGGTGTTAAAGAATTAGGAAGAGACACATTAATAATGACCATGAAGAGGAAGGAGTAATCAGGATGATTAGCAATTGAAATTTTTGCAGATTAAAGTTGGCTTGAAAGCATGGAGCCGGAAGGGAGTTCCATAAGCAAGAAGTGCAAGAAAAGAAACTGTTAGCATAGAATTTACAGTTACATCTAGCCAGCTCAACTGTAAATTGATGAGATCTTGATGCCAGTCTAGTGCAGCACTTAAATTCAAAAACTCTAGGTACCATAGTGAAGAGCTCATCCAAACAATTAAAATATTTATAGAAGACACAGAGAGGTAAACTTATAGCAGTAGGAAAGTGACTGAAGTGAAACTGCCAGATCGGGACCAATAATGTTGCTGATTTTTCTTTGAATTTTATCAAGGACCTTATGCGGCAGTAATATTATAAGCATGGATGAATGGTTGACTTATATGCATTTTTCTGAGACAGCTCTCACTTTGAGTGCTACAATAAAATTGGAAGAACCAGATTTTAGTGCTGAATTCGATCAACACACCAAATCCTGGATGGTGTCATGGAAGTGGTCTGGTAATCAACCACCAGGGAAATTATGCAACAGTTTCCAAATACAACGTTCCTGCTAGAGCTCGAGCAGAATATGATAGGGAGTTACAGACATGGGTCAGTAATGGGTGGTTGGTACCTTACCCAGAAGAGGAATTTGGGCCCCCAAAGGGTCTGATCCCACTGATAGCAGTCATCCAACTGAATAAAGAAAAAGTAAGACCTGTGCTTGACTATCAAGAATTGAATGAGCATGTGGATGCATTCACAGCTCGTGCAGATGTATGTGCACAAAAGTTGAGAGAGTGGCGATGAGCAGGTTCGAACGTGTCGGTGTTAGATCTTCGAAAGCCATATCTTCAAGTACATGTGCGCCGATCGCTGTGGCCCTATCAAACCGTGCTAATTAGTAGATGGAGGTATTGTCTGACCCGTATGGGATTTGGACTTAATGTGGTCCCCTCCATCATGCAGACAATTGTTGACACCATTTTAACGAAAGACTAATGCATACAACATGCAATGTCTGCCTACATTGATGACATATACGTGGACGAGAGTGTTGTGCCCACAGCACATGTGAAAGATTATCTTGACAGCTAAAGGATGGTGTGTGAGTGTTTGATCTACAGGTCTGGAGGGAGCATCACACACTCTACTGGAAAGGAAGGAACGGGATCCCAGATATGCCTTGCGTCATCACCCAATGCAATGTATTTTCATTATGCAGCAAGCTGGTTAGGCATCTTCATGCAGGTGAATGGCTTTGTGTAGCCATGGCCTTCATCAAGCAGAAAGCATCCAAGGTTACTGCTGGTTGGGACAACAAAGTTGACGATGTTCCTCTCAACACCATGATCAAGGAGGTTCTCACCAGAGTGCACAAGGAGGACCCAGCACATGGCAAATGGGGTGTCAATGGTCAAGGCTTTGGTGTATGGGTCAACACAAGCTCACTTGCTGCCGGTGTGTCATTGGAATGTGGTGGGAACATGGTAGAGGACACCTGTTAGTTACGGCCAGAAAAGGACTCCCAACATGTTAACATTGCAGAACTTGATGCCATTATTAAAGGAGTGAATTTGGCAATCCTCTGGAAAGCGACTACCTTGCACCTGTTCACAGATTCCGCTTGTGTCCATAAATGGGTGTCACCCTCACAGGGAGGGCCAGAGTGCAAACAAAGGCAGCAAGCGAGATGCTCATCTGACAATGGCTCAACATGCTGATGAAACTGGTAAACGAATATGCATTATTGATTGATGTGACCTTGGTTAAATCTAGCTAAAACAAAGCAGATTGACTGATGAGGGTGCTTCAGAGGTGGGGTGATGCAATTAGGAGGAACACTGAACCTATACAACCTACTTACACTGCATTTGTGAGCTCGGTTGGATTTGACCAAATCAGAACTATACACCAACAGAGTGGCCATCCTGGTGTGAGGCGGACACTCTACTTTGTAAAGCAAATTAACCCTGCAGTCTCCAAGGCAACTGTGAGAACCATCGTCAGGGAGCGTGAGGAATGTCAGTCAATCAACCCATCACCTGTGCACTGGCCAGAGGATGCTCTGGATGTTGATGAGACATGGTACCGGGTAGCGATCTACATTACCCATTATAAGGGAGCCCATTTTTTGACATTAATTTATTGAAGCCCCACTTGGTTTAACATCTGGTGACATCTCCGCTAGCAGAATGCAGTAAGTGTGATCAGCCTGTTGAAAGCACTGTTTTGCGAGTGGGACCTGCCAGCTGAAATTTTGATGGATAACAACACTGCCTTTCACAGAAGCTTGTTTAAGAATTTCCCGAACAAGTAGGGAGTCCAGCTCCGGTTCTGTTGTGCACACATTCCCTTGTGCAACAGCATCATCGAGCGATGACACGGGACTGTGAAAAGGATATGCATCAGAAAACAGTGTGCTCTATCAAAAGTGGTGTATTCCATACTACAGCACCAGCCAATATGATTCATTGCTATCACATACGGCTGAAAGGGATTGATGGAATGTCAGCACTGGCATCTGACTGACAATGGACTGTCTTCAAAACAGACCACCAAGTGTGGGTAAAGGTCCCCCATGAGTGATGTACAACCAAATACAAGGTTGGGCATGTCACTGGAGTTACTAGCTCTTGATTGACAGAATGCCACGCCATGTCAAAGATCTGTGGCCTATGATTGGACCAGGCCCTCCGATGGATTGTTCTGATGTGTCTTCAGAGAATGAAAGAGTTATAACTATCAGATATGCCAGCGCCTAGCATAGATGCAGCCAATATCTCTTCTTTTGATGACTCATCTGATGAAAACCCTGTGGCTATACCCCAGCGAAGAAGCACGCAATGCAAGAGAGCACCCCCTGGTTGTATCATATGTGATCATGAGATCAGGGGGGAGTGTAGTAGTAATATGTATTGTGACAAAAGAAATGACTTAACCCGGAGATTGAAATGAGCACGGAAGTGTCTTGCATGCAAAGTGCTTGAAAAGAAAATATCGCCGTTCTTGGGGGCGCAATTTATGAGTGCTTGTCTCGTCTCTACAAGACAGGATTTGCACATATACAAATTCTGGCCTGCTTGAAGAGACATAAAAAGTGAGATAAGAGCAACATAAAAAAGACGTTTTCTTCTTTGGGCAGATTACATTTGCTAGTCTGACGAGTGGATTGACAGGAAAAAAGAAGGTGAAATAGATGTGACTGACTTTGTCAACTGAAAAGTGCCCAGTGTGTGGTGGCAAAGAAATAGAGCTCTGGAATCTATTTCCTTTAGGCGAGTGAGGAAGAAGAGTCATCTGCTGGCGAATGCTGCACTTGATTTTTTTTTTTACCTCCCCCACCATTTTTTTTGGTGGGGGTGGAAAAAAATTTTATGTTCTAATTGTAAGAAAAATACTGTATCTAGGGCAGACATTTAAGTCAATTGTTATGGACTGGCAATGTTTCTATAGTGAACCTCATCAATATTCACATATAGGGCAGTAAATTATGGCTTAATAAGGTTAATTTTTTTTCTTCTCCAGTGGTTAATGAAATGAGACATACAATAAAATTACTGGCATACCTTTTAAGTAATAAAAAAAAAAATAGCTCCAAAAATTAACTTTTTTTTTCTTTTTTACAATGAAAAGAAATTTTCAAATTTCAAAAAAGAGATTAGTTGGTAATTAAAAAGAATTTAAAAAAATTAAATCTGTTCATTATTCATGAAAAAATTCTTAATCTCTAAACAGAATCTGGTTTTCATGATTACAATTTTATTTGTTTTTTTGTAGATGGTCCGCAATTATCGTAAACCCTTGATTGTAGTGGCCCCAAAAGTTCTGCTGCGTCTTTCGGCTGCTGCAGCCAAACTTTCAGATATGGCACCTGGTACTACTTTCCAGCCTGTCTTTGGAGATGGAACACTGAAACCTGAAGCAGTAACTCGGATTGTTTTCTGTTCTGGAAAACATTATTATGCTCTCCTGAAACAAAGGGAGGTAACCAACAGTCAGACCACTGCCATCATTCGATTGGAGGTAAGTCTTTCAAGGCTTTCTCTTTAAATCAATGCTTTTGATTTGACCGATTCTAGAATTTCTATTCAAACAATTTATAGAATGGTAAAACATTTTAGTTATTAAGAATTCTCCATGTTTGTCCATATTCTTAATGTAATGAAAATTTCTGTCATCCATTTTAAATTTGTAACCTTAATGGGAAGAAGAAATTAATTAGCTATTTCAAAAGTAATATTGCATTTTTAAGAAGATAAAAATGGATGCCAATGTAGCATATTTCCAAGTGTCAAAGATGCTATATTTTTTCTAATATTGGTTTTGAAGATTCATCCAAATTCCTATAAGTCAAAGGTTATTTCTTTTTATTTTACTTATATTTCTTTAATTTAAAATGTTACAAGACAAAATTGTGGTGCATCCATACAGCTTGTGTCTCATCAAAATATAAAATTCAAATTTTCCATTAATAAAATAAAATTGTAGGGATTTTGATAAGAAACCTAAGTTGATGTGTGTAATGGGATTGGTTTAGCTGATAAGTAATTAGCATAAAGAGATCTATAACTATAGCTCATGGGCAATTTTGAGTCAGTGTACATAGAATATCTACGGCTACTAAGTTGGATCATTATAACAAAAAGGTATCACCTGACAGAGCTCTGTTGAACATAGAGGAACCTGAAAACGTAAAGATTTGGATAAAATCCTTTGAGGCACATGCCAGAATAAAGGAGTTATGAGATGACCAAACACCTAAAGGACAGAAATGGATTTATTTTTGGCCACTGCAGGATGTGGAGCCATTAGGAATATTTTTTTAATGACTTACCCAGCTGAAAGTGAAAACTTGACATTTAAGGAAGTCAAAGAAATAATATTGAGAAATTTTCAACCAAAGAAAAGATTGGTTATAACTGAACAAACAAAATTCTTAGCATTGAAACAAAAATTTGGGGAGCCTAGAAGGAAATATCTTAGATTAATAGATACCAGTGGATATTGTGAATTTCATGAACTAGAACAACAAGGAAGAATTAATTCAACTCTGATTGGTAAAAGGATTGTATAACACTTCTCATAGATTAAAAATTTTTGAGTGGTTACAGACAAACCAAATGACTTTAGAAGCTTGTATTGACTTCACACAGCAAGAGGATTTAATTGAAAAATTTAATACAAATGAAAATCAACCTGAGCTTATGGACACATGTGCAATAAAAAGTACACCTTCATGAATATTAAATTAAATGGTGTAGACTTAAAAATGCAAGTCAACACTGAGCTATCTGAGTGGAACTTCCTTCTTGCTAATTGAATACAAAGGTAATGAGAATGTGTATACATAGCATGGCAGGCCTTAGCTGTGAAAGTCCATACTGGTGAATAAATGAATTCCTTTTCAGCAGTCTATTGCAAGTGATTGAGTGTTGCACTAGATTGTCATGCAAAATGCAAATTGAATCATTTGCATTGTATTACCTCCTGATATGCATCCGTCTTGCCTGTTTAACAGTCAGATAAACGCTTTATGGCAATCAAGACCCTGAAGACAGTTCTGTTCATCAATAGATATACTGAACACTAAAAGGGTGAAACTAGTTTATTTGGAATAACAAAATAAGAGATAAATAATGGAAGAAGAAATAGGACTGAAAGGTCAAGCCTCAAAAATAGAAAAAGGTAGGTAGCAAGTATTTTTCTCACAGGGATTTTCTTACAGTTTACAATAATTAAGTTAATCTACTAAAAACCAGGAAGTTAAATGAGGTTATAATATCATTAAAATATGACTCTCTGTGACGACAGTTAACACATGGTTAGGCATGTTCCACATGACAAAGTACAGCTAGCAAAGGAAATGTACACAAAGTGGTTACATTAAACAAATGTTCACATAGGATATTTGTTGAATAAGTTGGCATTTGTAAGTGGAATTGACAAAAATTCCCAATAACAACTAATAATAAAAATAAGAACAGAACAAAATAATACCAGAAATAAATAATATAATACAAAGAAAAGCAACTATAAAAATAATAATAAAGCAAAGCAATTATAAGACAGTAAAAAAGTAACAAGTTCATATGCAACCGGGATACAGTCAAGTGGTTATAGACTTCTGACTTCAAGGCAAGAAAGAAAAAATGTGTGTGTAAAACTAAGAAATGTCCATTCTTATTGTCTAACAAAATCCCAGCATGCATCTGTAGGATTTGTCTATAAATTTGCAGAGGGGAGATTTTTAGCAGTCATTCTCGCTGCAATTGGAACTGAAAATATTAAGGGAGTCTAGCACTTAGAGAAAAAAACATAAGAAATTACATACTGGTGATGCTATCATTTGGTGGGCAGAATTTGGAAAATAGAAAAAGTGGGGACCACATGTCTTCAGCTTGTCGCTTTTCCTGGTGTTCGCAGTTTCTTTCTAACAGTTAAAGAGGAATGGGCAAAATGGTGACTAACCTAACCTAATATGTAACTTTTATATAAATAAATGCAAATGTCAGTGTGTCACACTTTTTCAACTTTACTCCTAGCTTAACATATACTATTTTGGAATCAGGCTGACTCTATGAGCAAATTAAAACCATTCCAGACCCGATCTGGATCTGCAATCCTGAAATTTTGGATTCCCAAGTTTTCATTGTGATTGTTTTTGGCAATTTTTTCTTTTTTTACAACAAATTTTTGTATTTATAACTTGGAAATAAATTTGGAAATAAATGAAATTAATTGCAAAAACCAGCAAAAGTCACCCCTGTAATAAAAGTAATTGTTTGTATAGAAAGTAAAGATCTATGTACATTAAATTGTCTTTAAATTAAGAGGCAGCAGAAACATTATCATTGAACTTTTAAAAGGTAAGTTTAAATATTAATGCAATACTTAAATGTAGTGGTCAGGCTTTAGTTCTTCTGTAGTTTATTGTTGCCTATTGCATACAGTAACAGTAATGCCTCGTAAAAAGAAATCTCCGCCAAGAGAGGACCAGATTGCAATAGAAATAGCCAAGGCTGCAGCAAGGAAAAGAAAGTCCCGTGCAATTGAAAACCAGATCAAACGGCAGTCAGGAAAGCTTCCAATGCTGAGAATATTCAAAGACTTAGGCACTCTCAAACTCCTGAACAAACTGAAGTCCAATCAACTATCCTCCACAGGAGCTAGCTAAATTCTCACTCAATAGGGCAGCTTTTAAGCTAGTTTATAATAAAAGGGAATGGAAATAAAACAAGCTGCTCTAATGTGGTAACCAAATATGCATATAATTGAACATATAATTGATGCATTGTGCCTTTGTACTAAATTTATTTCAATAGACATTTTAAAATATTCTTATTCAAAATAATGGCCTCCTGAATTGAAGCTTGTCAGAAAGTCAGACTTTTGAAACTGTTGTTATGACAGTGCAGTGTGGAAATAATTTTTATTGTCTGTGTTGCATTATTGCCATGATGAACTCTATACACCATTCAATAACCAAACTAGCATTCTTTAAGATTTTTCATTCTTGTGGGAATAAATAAAGTGTGCACATTTTGATAAAACATTGCATATTATTTAACTTGCCAATTCAAACCTTCACAGCAAGCACACAACATACCACTTACATAGTAGCAAACTACTCACATTCCTTCCGTATTCCATCAGTGAGAAGTTCCACTTGAACAGCTTCTTTCCACAAACCACTACTCTGTGAAACTGACTCCCAAGGGGATGTTTTCCTGACCACTACAATCTTAAGCTGTTCAAGGCTAGAGTTAACCTTTAGCTTCCCTGCCTATCCACATAATTTGGCTCCTAATGTAACCCTCTACCTTGAGTGACCCTTGGGCCTTATAAAGGATGAACCTTACTGTAAAAAAAAAACAAAAAAACTTTCATTTTGCTGTAGTTTGTTAATTTGAAATTTAAATTTAATTTTACTTTGCAAATAATTGCTGCAGACATTTTTTTATATGCACACATTTATGTAGATCTCTTAAGGAAAGATTTGTTTTTGTTTTCTTAATCATTTCACCCTAACCAAGGCAATAGAGCCACTAAGATGCAAGGGGTTACTGAGGGTGAGAGAATATGAGAAAAAGAATAACATTAAGGACAGGACAATAACTTATAAATAAAAATAAATTATAAAAATAATAACTTACAATAAAAGAACAGGAATCAAGAAGACACAAGATAATTGACATTGCATTTAAATTTTTGGAGATCAAAATTGACTGGGAAGAAAGAAGTGAGAAGTGTGATAGAAGACACTGTTAGCATAGAACTTATCATTATATCAGCCATTTCGACCTTACCACCAGTCTGTGCTTAAATTTGTAAAGACTAGTTACCAAGGAGGAAAGCTCGTCAGAACAATTAACATGAAAATATTTATAGAAAAAGGCACAGAGAAGCTATGTTATGGTGGTGAGAAAGAGACTGAAGTTGAGATACCAAGTCAGGACTGATAACACTGCAGATTCTTCTTTGAATGCAAGAAAATGTTAAGAACAGTTGCCACTGCAGCAGAGTGTTTTAATGGTGTTATATTCTGGAATTATAAAAAAAAAAAAAATGTCTCCATGATTGAATTTCTCAGGAAATAAGATAAACAACATTCATCGTTGTTTATTCATTTATTTGTTTATTCTTTCCAAAGCACAAAATAAGTTTCAAGTCTGGGATCTTTGGTATAAATTGATAAACAAATTGGCCTTGAACTACCAACAGTGTTTCTCTCTTTGTTGAGAAATTTAGTATGTCTTGAAAATACACAATCTGTGCTGTTTATAGAACAAAAAATTCTTGGCCAGGCATAATCATTTGATAGACATACAACTAAAGTTTGACTACAATTTGATTTTTTTTTTTTTTTTTCTGAATTAAAATATTATATGAAGTTTAAAAATCAAATCACAAGAATAATGATTCCTCAAAATAATTGTATAACTTGCATCACAAGTTGCAAATAAAATTGCATTTTTCTCTCCATTTACAAGATTTCTGTAATTAAGAAAAAAAAAACTTATCAAAGTGATTAAAATGTTTTCATAAGATTTAGATTAAGTCTTAAATAATCTGGGAGTAAGAATTTAATTTTGAGTAATCAATGAATTTTGATGACATTTCTGAATTTGGTCAAATCATTTTTTTTTTTAATAAATGCAAACAAATAAAATTGATTCAAGATTGATTCTTTTTATCTAATTTGATTATAATTATGAAAAAAAAGTAATGGCCTTATATTGAAAATTTTAACACTCACACACACACACACACACATATATATATACACACACACACACACGCACAAACTTCTCATCAACAGACTAATAAGGGGGAAGAGTGGTCTGTTAAAGCTGATTGTCCGTAGATAGAAAGAAATTATTTTTGAGTTATAAAACCGCTATCGTAACAACCAGTAGTTATGATCACAATGCAAATACTATAAACATGCATATATAGCATAAATAAATATATACTTAATATAGATATATTAATCAAAATAACAAAAATAGATTTCTCACGGCTACTTTCTCATGGATGCGCTAATGTATCGTACTTTCCATCTTTGTTTGCAATTGAAAGGCCTGCCAAGCAGTCACTTTGAGAACTAATATGATGATTCGTTCCACTGAGCCCACAAATTTTTAAATAGATCACTGATTTGTAAGTTTTTTCCTGCAGATATTTTTTGTTTTGCTTGCAGATTTGGCCTGTTGCATTCAAAGTCCATTAATGGTGGGGGGTATCTGTAGATGAGAGGTTTGTCAGTGTGTGTGTGTGTGTGTGTGTATATATATTGGTTTTAACATATGAGGATCTGACAGCTTAGTTGATTCAGTTATGAAATTTTGTGCGATAACCTTAAGTGGCATTTAAGACCCGCTAGAGATTTACAAAGGAAGCCACATATGGAGCAAGAGTTAGGATTGTGAGATGAGATCACTGTTAGATTAGTTGACCTTTTAGTTTTTGGTCTCACTTCTTGAAGATAATTCTGAGAAGCAGATTAAAAACTGCTGAGTCCACTGAAACAAGTTGATCTCCATTTTACGCGCTCCAAGGCTAAGCACTCAAGGGTGTTACGTGGTATATTGACAGCTAACAAGTTGCTTTTCAGCTTGTCTTTGTATCTTAGCCATGGGCATCCTACATTCTTGTAGCCCTGATCTAACTGGCAGTACATTAGAATCTTGGGTATCCTGTCATCAGACATTCTCAAGACATGACCAGTCCACCATAACTGTAACTGTGTGTGTGTATATATATATATATATATATATATATATATATATATATATTTAGTTGGATTGATGTGAGTTTGTGACCCTTTGTCTGATGATCATAAAAAGAGTAAAACCCAGGGTCACAAACTCACATCTATCCAACCAAATATGTTAGCTCTATCTCTGATATTGAGCACTTTAATAATAAATATATATATATATATATATATATATAATATATATATATATATATATATATATATATATATATATATATATATATATATACACACACATACACATATATATATATATATATATATATATATATATATATATATATATATATACACACACATATATATATATATATATATTGTCATTCAAACATGTTTATATTGAATAATATAGATATATTTTATATACTTATTTTTATACTGATCTTGAATTCATTGAGTTTCATTGAATAATATAGACATATTTTGTCTACTTATTTTATATCAAAATCAACCAGTCACCACTCAACAAAATTTATTACAAATATAGCAACAACATATTAAAGTGCATATAGCATGTATATAGTAATGCCATTTTTTTACATTTTTACCAATTCCTGGTCAGCTCCCTTATGTTGAAATATTTGTTTTGCAAAAAACTATATAGCTACAATGGATAAATTTAAAAATTCTAAAATAACTAAAATTAAAGAACATATTCACTTGTGTTTTTAAAAATCGCTATCACAATGGAATGCAAATTTTATTGCACTTAATGTTTGACTTTGTAATTTACCCCTGAAGGTGATCTTAGAAAAGCCCGAAAGTACTTGTGTTAAAAAAACCACCACGCCCTCTTTGATGAATTTCATCTTAACATCATTTTTAACATACAACGTGTGTTAGCACGTGCGATACCCTGACTTCATCAGCCGCCGACCAGGGGTGATCTCACGGTTTCAGTGGCTATGGCGGGACCGCCACCCCAGTCGCCACCAGCAGCATTTGCCAGCAGGCAGGGTATGAAAAAAAAAAAATAATAATTGATCGTTCCTCTTTGCAAATTCTTAATGAAATAAATAAAACGATTGTTCCTCAGCTTCTGTCCGTAATGAAAGTTCCTGAACGAGTTTGCCGTTATTGACGCGCTCGTAAAAATCATTATAAACGGCTATGCAAATATTTCACCTGCGCATGTTAGGTCGTGATGATGCGCGCATAATATTTCACTAATGTTTGTTCTGATCTTAACTTTCCTTTCTAAATTTGTTGTCGATTTGGTCGTTTTTCCTCTTTTTATCTTTTCCATTACCGGTTCAAATCACTCAAAGCAAACGTCGTATATTATTCTACAAAAGGAACTGATCTTTTGCCCTATGTGACCCTTAAGATTGTTATTAAGGATAAAAGAAAGCTCTTTGTCAAAATTAGTCCAAACAGTCTTCCGGTTACCTTTGGGCCACTGTATTCTTGGTTTACTTAGGATTTCTCCAGGGTGCTGTCGCTCAACGATGGAATCCTGAACGCTGTGGGTGTATTCCAGATTCATAATCCCATCACTTGATTTACATTCTCCAATAGGAGAATTACTTATGGATACGTAAACCGCGTAAACCGTTGAATCTTCTGCCGCAATCATACGTTGTAGCCGGGTTCATATACAGGTCGTTTCCATTAAAATCAGTCTGATGGGTGATATATTCTCCCTCCCCGCTACAGTCACCCAGAGGGCATTCTACGTCTCTTGTATTCTTCATGCTTTAATGTAGATTCTTGTCTTTCCAAGATGTCACTCCACCTTTCTAGAGGGTCACTTCGTCTTTCCGAAGAGTCATCTTGCTTTGATGAATTTCATCTTAACATCAAGAATCTGATTCAACAACTGGAAAGGATTAGTATAAAAGTAACTAGACACAATATGTCTGTATTATTCAATGAAATCTATATAAAAAAAATCCACGGCATAAATATATTCACTTCCTGAGATTATGAAAAAAAATATGAAGATAATATGGCTGCTAAGCAGTTTTGTTTTTATTTTTTATTTTTTAATCTCCTTTTTTCGCAGAGTCTTTGTCCTTTCCCGGTGGAAGCTTTAAAGAAAGAAATAGAGAAATACAAAAATGCAACTAGTAAGTATTCCTCTATTTATTAATATTCTTGTCTATAGTATACTTTAAGTGAAAATGAGAAATACTTTTCTGGTTTCTAAGGGATCACAGTTCAAATGTAATTGCTATGTTTCATGCTTCAAAAATAGGAAGAAACAATGGAAATTGACTGTAAAATTCGATACACTCCAGCATTGATAGCAAAACTTCATTGCAATAAACGCAAAATTTGACAATGTTACAAGAAACATTTTTATAACAGCATTTAAAAAAAAAAAAAAAGATAGAAGTGTAATATCACACTTATAAATCAAGTGCTCTCTTATACACATACATACATACATATATACATATTTTGCTCCATTTTTGAAACATGGTTAGAACTGTGTAGCGGGAAAAAACATTTTTCAATTAATTTATAATATCACTGCTATGTAAATTTACATTGAGCACTATTTTGTAAAAATAAAAATATCTATAAGAACACCGGATTATATATCTTACTGTTCTTTCTTTTTATTTAAATACATATATAATATATATATATATATATATAGTTCCTCATTTTTATTGCCATATTCATAATGTTTCAGGTGATATATGATGGAATTTCGAACCAAGCCATTTATTTAGTACATGGGGGTAGATTGTTCTAATTCCATGTGTCATTCCACTATTTTGAACATCACAGTTTCAATATCTGTTATATATATATATATATATATATATAATATATTATAATTATTTACATTATTCAGACTGTTGTCGTCATCTTTATTGTCAACATGAAAACAGTCCAAAAAATGTAAATAATCTCAGTTTTAGTTAATTCCCTTTAGTAACTCAACACTCTAAGTTTTTGTTTCCTCTGCTGTAGCCAGGTATTGAACTCACAACCCTTTGGGTCAAGTCCCTATTGGATTACTCAACCAACACTTTTATCCACTGGGCCATGTGTCCTTTTTTAAAATAGAATTTTTGGGACTTATAAAACTAATGTCTCAGTTTTTTTGTTGTTTTTTTTTCACCAGAGCTCATATTATAATTTCTGTTATTGTTGTTTTTCTCTAGCTGTCTTTATTACTGTTTCCAATATTGTATTTATGTTTATGCTTGGCCAGCTTATGAGATTTTTGTGACCTAGCATATGCACCAATTCTTTAAGTTTTCATATTTTCCAGTGTCTATTATTTCAACTTCCACCCACAGAGGGTGGCGATCTCCCTTTTCTCTCCATATAGGGTCAGCCATGCCTGATTTTTCTATTTTCTCTCGTTTTACGGCTTTACAGTGCTCCTATAGTCTTATCTTAAGGTGTAGTGAGGACGAGCTGTTTCTCCTTTATATTTCTTGCCACAGCTGCATGGGATGGTGTACATGCAGTCCTTAATCATGTTCTCCTTTATGGGTCATCTTATTTGGAAGCTGTGTCTGCATAGTGTTGAACCACACCTGAATGTTGTCCTGGAATGCTAATTTGTTATTTTCTCTCTCCATTGTGTACTGTATCAATGATTTTATTGAGTTCACATGGTCCAGTAATAGCTGAACCTCTTCCCGGTGTGGCCATAGTATGAAGATTTCATTTATGTATCTCAGCCACAGAGTTAGCTTTAGTGATGTTGATTCTAATGCTATTTCCTCAAAGTATTCTATATATATGTTAGCCATTGCTAAGTGATAATGGCAAGCCTATTGCCAAGCACTTCATCTTGTGAATATATGTCTGCTCCCATTCCGAAGTGCATTGTTTGTGTACAGAAAGTCAGCATCTCCATCACATTATTTATTGGTATACTAGTACGTTCTCCTAGGGATGAGTCCGAAACCAGTCTATCCCTGACTACTGATATCTGTAGATACCTTGAACAAACTCACCATGTCCAGGCTCACCACCTGGTTGGATTGGAGCATTTTTGATTATTTTTACCAACATTTCAAAGTTTCAAACATATGATGATTTTCCTATTAATGGGTCAACTATATCCACAAAGAATTGACTCAGAGGGTGGCACACAGAGCCTTGGAAGCTAACAATTGGCCTGAAAGGAATATCATTGTAACAACTACCTGTATGTCTTGGGGGAAGTGGTCCTTATTCTTGATTAGGATCTGCAACAGTTTTCTATTTTCATTGTTGGGTCTTTCTTTACAATAGCTAGCATTTCTAATGAGGTCTTCCAGTTTTCTTGTATAGTCATCCCCCCCCATCACTACAGTCGCATTGCCTTTATCAGCTGATAGTATGATAATGTTATTCCCCTGTAGGATTTTTATTGAAAACCTCTCCAGTTTTGTGATGTTTGATTTGGGCGACTTGGCTTTCTCCAGTATCTGTCTCACTTTCCATATATATATATATATATATATATATACATAAAATAAAAGTGTGTGTGTTAGACACAGCACCACAAAATAAACAGTTAATATTAGCCATTTCCTTATAAGGAAAAATTCAGCTTTCACTGATCAAGTAGCTCGTACCACTGCAAGTTGAAATTTGTTTAAAGAAAAAGATTTGACAATTTTTCAGGAAAATAGGTTTCTCAAGTTTATTATTGCTCTTTCCAGTAATGATGGGTGCTTCTATCCTAGCATTTTTTTTTTTTTGAAGTCGTGTGTAATATCAATATCTTGAGTATGTCATTGGGGATTTGTAAATCAGATGTTTAAAACTTAATATCTAATTTTCTATTTTTTTTATCTGATCTTTGCATAAATTAACTTTGTTTTAGATCCTACTGTATTACACATTTTCTAGAATGAAACTTAGTTTTCTTTTTCTGCTTATCAGATTTTTTAATAAAGACAATTACATTCTGATGACAGATGGCTAAAAAAAAAAAAAAAACGAAAATGGCACTAAAATCAAAAATTTCAAAGTGAAAACTACTTCCAATCAATTTAAATTAGTTTTGATATACTGCAAAATATTTTGCTTTTTGGAAATATTCAATTTAATTTCTTAGCTTGAAATTAAAACTAAAATAAAGCTTAAAGATTTTTCATTTTTAAAAATTCATTTTAAACCTTTATTGTGAATCTGTGGAGAAACCAACTCATATAAGTTAATGTTTTGGGAAATAATAATATCAAAAAAAAAAAAAAAAAAAAAGTTTTCGGATTTATTTTGAGAAAATTTAGCTCAATAACATTACAGGCTTATGGCCACATCATGTCAAAACATTGGTTCCCATACAGCACCGAAATAAGATTGTAAATATTTAAATATATTAATATGCTTGTACCTATGTATGGTGTGTGTCAGAGATATTGAGAGGGATGTAGAGAGACAAAAAGAGAGCGTGACAGAGAGTTAGAGGGGAAGGGAGGATCATCTTTAAATTAGTTTTTATTTTTGCGAATTTGTTAGAGTCTAAGGGAAGTAACTCTGTAAATTGATCCCCCAAGATGACATTTACAATGCTAAAGAGAGACCATTAATTTCTTATAATCATCTGAGAATGGTCATGGTTTATCCTGTATATAACATGGTTGACTTATAGTTTGTTGTGAAAACATTGACTTCCAAAATACCTGACACTCTCAGATGCTCCAAAATCAATGCCTTCTACTTACTTTTGGCTATAGGGAGCAAAATTGGTTAGAGCAAATTTTCAGTTAAACCCATTTTCAAGGTACTCTTCAGTTAATGGGTTGAAAACTCTGCTGGATCACTAGGAAGATGTCTTATCTGTTGCTACTGCTAAAACACATTACTAACTACCTAACTGTATTCACATCAACTGATTTTCATGAAGCATCAATGAATCATGCAATTCATTTATTCACGTCTGCTTTATATGCACTTTTATATCAGAAACCAGTCTTTAAGGAAACCCCCCCCCCCAAAAAAAAACAAACACAATGTTGGGGGTGGGGTGGGTATTAATGAGATGGTTCATCCCTCTCAACATACCACCATTATTTTCAGAGCAACCATCATGTAAGTGAGATTATATATTCAGATCATTTACTAAAATAAATTTTAAATGAAAAATCCTGTAAGATTTATTTTTGCAAACTTACTTTGGAACTTATGGTAATGTCATTTGTTGTTTACTTCCCAGACTTTTTTTTTTTTTTTTTTTAAATTCTGAATGTTATAATCTTCAGTTTAAACATTAAAATTTTATTTGTTAATTCAGAATTTATTTGGAGTCAAGAAGAACACAGAAACATGGGTGCTTGGACTTTTGTAGCCCCGAGATTTTCCAATCTTCTTGCTTGTAAGGTGAGTAATTTTTTTTTTTTTTTTGGCCCAGCCGCAGTCTTTCATTTGGATATTTCAATTTCATCTTTGTCTCATTTAGTTTTTGCATCTAAACAATTACCATGTACACAACGGCAGCTTTCAGTTCCAGAAATTAAGAAATATTTGCATTAAAGCAGTTGCACATGCAAATCAAATTTATAAGAGAATTTTTCCAAAGTTCATAATATTTTGTTCAAATGTTTTTGACCAACACTCATTAATGAAAGATTACAAAAATTCTTTTTCTTTAATCAATGTCAAGTAAGTTAAAAGAAAAAAAAGTTTATCAAATGTATTGTGTAAAGTTGCTTAACTCCATGCAAAGGATGGGGAAAAAAAAAAAAAAAAATGCTTCATTTTGAGTGTATGTGTGACAAATATAAAAAAGTGTAATGTTCATAGGTAATTCTTAAGGTCCAGTCTTATTAATGATTAAGTTACAGATTTTAAATTTATTTTTCATAAGTAGTCATGAATTAAGATTTAAGTGATATGCAATATTTTGTTTATTTTTCATGTATTTCTAAAAAAAACCTTTTTAATTTACACTGATATTTTTTTTTTTAAATAAAGTTTTTGCTTATGGGAAAAACTAAACTGATAATGACTGGACAAAATATATTTAGAAGTTCATATAAATTTGATTTGCATGTGCAACTGCTATACATTTTATATATATATATAATTTCAGCAACTGAAAGCTGTCACAAAAACCTTGCATTTCCCCCCCCCCCCCAAACAATTTAATGTCAAAATTTAGCTTTCAAGTTAATATTCTTTATAACAGTTCCATATGTGGCAATATTTATATTGGCAAGAGGGTTTTTTTTTTTTTTTTTAAGAATAGTGTGGGGGGTGTTACAGTCTACTTATGAACTTAAGCTTCAAGAAAAGAGATTTTAAATATTATTGATAATCTTGAAATGAGTTTAGTAAAAGAAATTTATGAATACTCTAGAAAATAAAATTAGCATGTTACAAGTGAAGACTATAGAAATGAGAATAGAGTCAGACTGTCTGTACAAACTAGTCAAAATATAAATGTTACTATGAAGATAAAACTATAATAGTTATTAGCAAAAAGAAAAATATTGACATGAAGCAAGGATGCCATTTTAGGTTTATATGAATGAAGCAGCAGAAGAAAATTTCCACCCTTTACATATGTGGATTTGAAGACATTTCCATAATTAATAGCATTGTCCAGAGTTACTGACATTTTTGTTAGTACTCTTACCTATTGGTTTCTTTATAAACTTGACCTGTAAGTGTGACCCTTATAAAAAGACAAACTTTGTCAATTGAAAATATAAATTAGGGATCACTTCCAATTTCACAAAAGAATAACAAGTTTCAACATTATCTCTAGACTCTCTACCACCGAAATTTTGCATCTATTTAAATTTTGAGGTGATTATTGTAAAAAGGTCAGTTCACCATTAAATTTCCTGATGTAATGAATATGCATACGCCTGGGTTCCCCTTCACAGTAATATGATTGGCTGGTGTCAGCCATAAATACAGACTGATGTGGAGGTCCAGAGACGACGCCTATTGCCTACCACTAATGATGAGGACCAGTCCATTATTGTTACCTGCTAGATTGGCCTACCCGGTTACAGTAGTTAACAACCACTTTGCTACTTCGAACAAATATATCCCTTTCCGGGACATATCATTTCCTTAATAGCCTGAGTTTTAAGTTTAGCCTTATTTTACTAACTTGTGAAAAAAGTAATTCTAAGCAGGTTTCAATAATTTTAATAGCATTCCATTTGACAGAATCTAATATTGCAAAATTTCACTAAATTTCATTTAATCTTTCTTTTTCAGCTGCAATATGCTGGCAGGGGTCATTTAGCAACTGCAGCTGTGGGCATTGCACAAGTGCATCAGAAAGAGATCCAACAATTACTGGATGCAACTTTCCAATGAGGAGAATCAGCACTCTTTATAAAAATGGCAGCTAAAGAAATTAAGTCACTTAGGAAGTTTTGAATGAGTGAATATATAAAATGTATATAATTTGAAGTGAATCACCAAGAAAACTGTTTTTAGCCTTTATATACATGTAAACAATTGACATAAAATGATTTGTAGAAATCAAGAACAGATTACAGGCTTTGTGGAAAAGCAAATTGATAAGGCAGCAGTAGAAATAAACTGATCAAATGTATAGACAAGATGGATGTTAATGAAAAGGAGTAGAGTGCAAAGCTTAAGTGTTTTGAAAAATACCATTTACCAACATCCACACTAGCAGTTAATGAATCCCGGTTTGCAATTCAAATTGTGAAATGCATAAGAAAGACCAGATGATGGCATAGTAACAGATCTTTTTGAATGATATAAAAGATTAGCACAATTATTTCCATTGAAGTGTTTTTTTTTCTGTTCTATATGCACACTATAGAAACATTGATTTATATTTAAGAAGGAAAACCTCTATGGCTTTGGTCTAGTATAAAAAGGCATTTTGATTATAAAAAATAATTGTAGAAAAATGAAAGCCCACATTATTCACAACCAATCTTGAAAGGAATGTGAGTGTGGAGAAAATATTTAAGTCGTACATAACTTCAGTGTAAGATTAACAAGGGCTTGAAAATAAATACACAAAAATCAATGAAAAGAGAAATGTTTAGAACTACAAAAAAGGAATCAAAATAAATAGTTGGTCAAGGGAAGGTTCCTTGATTGATTGCTACCCACTTTGGCAGCAGATGAAGGAAAAGTTTGCTGATAACAAACATGACATATTAACCAATGTCAACCATTGCTAGTCATATTTGAGAAATTCAAATGTACCATATTTGGTGGCATATAAGACGCACCCCAATTTCAGCAGGGCAAATCAAGAAAAATTATTAGTAAATGGTACAGCCTAGGCTATATTTATGAACTATTATGATTACAATTAAATGAAAAATAGGAAAAAAAGAACAAGCCTATAAAAACTATTATATCCTTTATATGATCTGTACAACCTGTGTCTTGTAAACGTCTTATTGGAATAATTAGGATATAAAAATTCTGATCGCCTTTATACCAATGCAATTTATTGCAAGAAAAATATTAATGAAACATTTTACAAATATATTCACATGAGGATCCTATCAACTAGATCCCTAACTTTTACAGAGTTATTGGTCTTAGCTCTTGCATACAAAAACAGGCTTGGGGTGAGCTTAAATTTATTGCATATAATTTTAGTGAAACAAAGTACTAATATTAAATGTGTTGAAATTAATATAATTAAAGTCTAAGTTAATAGGAGTTGCCAGGTAGCTAATTTTGGCCCACTATCGTGCATTTTAAAACTACATATGGCATATAAGATGCAGGGGAATTAAGATATTTTTAGTGTGAAAAAAAAAAAAAATGCACCTTATATGTTGTCAAATATGGTAAGTGTGACTTAAAATGAATTTAGTCAACTGATGAAGATAAAAAAAATTATTTTGTGCATTTAAATAAAAAAATCTATGGTTTTTATTTTGTTTAGTTACAATATTTATTGCAAAGTCTAGAAGAGAAATGAATCCCATTCAGTACAGGCTTACTATGAAACTTTTGTAAGATGACATTTGGGCACTATTTAAATAGACTGCTCCAATAATAATAAAAAAAAAGTGTGGGGGGGGTATTTCTTTTAGATTAACATGCACTTGTCAACATCAATACTAGATCCCTAACTTTTACAAAGTTATTGGCCTTAGTTCTTGCATATGAAAACAGACGTGAAATTACAAAAGATCAATTTTCTTTTTTAATTTAGGATAAATAATTATGAACCTTAAATATTTGCATGTGCTTCTGGAAAGAAAAAAAATGCAGATAGTTTGAAAATGTGTTAAGTGACTCAGCCAATAACTCATCAAATTGATCTCTAACTTCAAAACCAGATGAATAATATAAGCAGGACCCACACTAAATTGATAACATTGGTATTTGATTCTGACAAGTGCTGTGGTCTAAGATTCCCTTAACTTCTAAGAAGAAAAAAAAAATTCTGAAGAATTCTGGGTTAGTCCAAGAACTTTTCAGCTCATTATGAAAATATATATATATATATATATATATATATATTGTATAGATTTCATTGGTACAAATTCATACAAACTTATGAACACAAGTGATTCAACATATGAAAAAAAAACAAACTTTCTTCTACCACCCCTCCACTTATCAGGCACCTGTCAAGAGTAATCAAAGTGAAGTCATTGCTCAAGTGGAGAAACTTTAAAAGAGAAAGTTAGAAACCGCTCTAATATATAATCAGTGAAGTCAGTCAGCCATTAATGTAACCATTAATGTGTCACCTTAAATAGAATTTATCAAGTGATCATCAAACCTAGAAATAAATAAATAAATAAAAAAGTCACTATATAATATATAACTTTATTGTACAAATTTATTTTCCTTGATTTATTTATTAAGACTAATTGTGTAAAGATTAGCAGTTTTCAGTCTTTAAGAATTTTATACATTTGTTTGAGGTTACAATTGTCGTTTTTAGCACATTTAAAAAAGGCAAGTGAATTTTCCATTGTGCACAAAAATGTCTTAGCAAATGAGATGGTGAGAACAGCTTTATTTATAAAAATAAGAAAAATAAAGCAAGCCCTTTTACGTCCTGAAATCTCTTTAAACAATGAATAAATACAGAGCATAAATGCATATTTAAAAAGAAAAATAAACTTTTAGATAATAAAAAAAATTTTTTTTAAGGCAGAGTTACTTTTGAGATAACGTAAGCATATTTAGTGGGTTTTAAATTGTCTTTACTTTATGCAAGATGAGATTTGGGAATCTTAACCGTTGTTTTTTTGTTGTTTTTTTTTTTTTTTTGTAAATGTATATTTGAAGATATATTGGGCCATGTATTTTAAAGTTAAACAAATGGACGGGGAAGAAATGTCTTTTTTTTTTCTCTAAGAATAAAAGTTTCGTTTTGATTTAGAAAGCTTGCCCTGGGTAGTCAGTCGGTCGGCTGCTATTGTAAGAGCAAACCACTGAGTCAGAAAGCTTTCTTATGAAAAAGCAGAAGAGACAAAAAAATCTTTCAGCAGATAAAAAGAAGGCAGTGACAAACTATGCAATTGATTACAATCGGCCTCCAGTTAATTTGTGGAAGAGGGCTTCGTCCAAAGTTTGGCTTTTATCGGAAGACCGCATTGAAAGGAAGATATATCCGCCAATGAATTCATGCACAACTTTGCAATCGGAAGCTAAACTGTCAAAGACAATTTCCTCTTCTTCAAATTTTAGAATCACTTTACGAGATTCCCAGTTGACTGTCCAAGTTTGCAAAGTGTTGTAACGCCATGTTTTGATCGAATCACCAGAATGTAGATCCATTCGAATTATACGATTGCTAGCGACACCAATCAATTCCTGGAAGAGAAATAAAAGCATTGTATAATTATGAAAATACAAATGAGATTATACAAGAATTAATCTATAATTCTAATTGTGTATTTTTGCTGATAACATACGTAGACCATAAAAAAAAATAAAAATAATGAAATTTTCCATAAGGGAAGACTGTTCTTGTCTACAAAGTTAACTTTCCTTAATCTAAATGACAATAGCCCTCAGCCATACCCAAAAACTTACTTCTTTCTTGTTGGTGTTCATCTTAATAATAAAATATGTAATGCCATATTCTGGAAGTGCCTGCCATGCCTTGATGTAAGCTAATTTGGCATCTGTCAAGTTCAAATCTTTTACATTTGAATGAGCATCGGTGATTCGACGAACAATCTGAAATGAAAATAAATCCTTCAGTAATCAGGAGATATATATATATATATATATATATATATATATATATATAGATATATATATATATATATATAGAGATATATATATATATATATATATATAGAGAGAGAGAAAAAAAAAAAGTGAAAATGTTTTACATACACAAAACATCCAATGGAATTTGGTCAGGTTATTAAAAAAATAATAATAATCTACCATTATTAATAACTGCTTCTTTCTTGAAAGATCAATGACCTGATCAGATTTGCCCACTAGAACGGGAGGGGTGACCAATCCAAATAGGACTAGGGCCATTTATGCCAACTTACCAGCCAGTAGATTGTTTTTTTTTCTCCTCTCCCAACCTCAGGAGAGTGGGGAGGGGGGGATCTAAAGGGTTTCAAGTACCTTTACTCTGCCAACTGATGTGTGGGGGAGAGAAATGGATTCATTAATTCTTTTTCAATAATAGGAATAAAACAGACAAAAGCAATGTATGTGCAAATCCCATGTGCATATATTTTTGGGAGGAGGTCGGATACAAATGGCAATACACCATTATGGGTATTTAACAAGCCAATGGAAATGCTACTCCAGCAGAGGTAATTAATTTGTGACCATTGAAAAATCTGGTAGAAAGGTATTGTTAATGTTGGAGATACAACCCATGTGCTGAAATTTGGGCAGTAAAAAAAAAAAAAAAAAAAAAAAGAAAAGAAAAGTGATCGCATAGGTGGTGCTAACTTCCAACCTCATTTGAGGTCAGGTCAGATGTCAAGTTGGAATTGAAATAGCTTTTTTCCAAGCATCTAAATTAAAGTTAAAGAGCTTAAAAAAAAAAAAAAAAAAAAAGTCTGAAAAACACTGTCACACCAGAAGTTTAAAATTTTCAATGGTTTTTAAATGCTATTCTAAAACTGATTTTTTCCACTGCAACAGATTCCTGGAGATGTTCAACTATACAATTGAGAGTTCCAAGCTCTTCTGATTATTCTTTTTTTAGAACTAAACTAAGTTCACATTCAACTCTTGAGCTGGATAGTGTGCCTCAAGAATTCTCTACTGTCCTGAATAGTATCTTAAAAAAAAAAAAAAAAAAAAAAACAACAAACAAACAACCCTCAGTATCCCCCCAATTTCAACAAATTTTCCTTGAATTTAAATCAGCCCCAATTCCCAGTAAGGCTTAGCAATGCCATGACCAATAAGACACAAACATAATATCTCACCTTGACATCTCCATAGTCCCCCCCAACCAACTCCTCATAGCTAATTCAATTTCTAGTCTGCAATTCCATTACCATTTTTTTTTTGTTTTATTTTATACCAGCACCCAGTTCAAGACATTAAATATATTTGTTTTGCATATCAGAATATTTTTTTCCAGAAAGACCTACTTTTCAAGTTTGAATTTAATGTTACATTGCATAGGAAGAAATACATTAAGGAAAAACTACTTTGAATAATTTGCGCACACAGCGTTTCCAATTTGCAAGGGCCATTGAGGTTTTAAACCAAGTACCAATTATATTGGAGATATATATATATATATCTAGCCACCACCATATTTGATGTTTGGGACAGCATTCTTTGGCAAAAATGGGTGAGACTTTCAACCAAAGGCAAACAACTTGAACCCAAAAAACCTGGTTTTTGTTTCATCTGACAAATTTATAACTAAAAACATAATTATCAAGCAAAATGAAGAAAACCATTTAGATAGCAATAGTCTTCCATGAAGATCCCAGACTTATACAAAGTCCACTGGAGGCATCTTGATAGCCAAAATCATTCAAAATGTCCAAAATATCCAATGTGATCCTTAGATTACTTATTATAGCCAAGGAGTTTCATTGCCACAAAATGTCAGACCCACTTTAAGTTTTTTTTTTTTTTTTTAAATGGTTGGGTGGATAGAGGAGAGACTTTAATTTATTGATAATGCAGTGTATTGTTGGAATTGGCACTTGAAATAGGTTGGACATGACATTTCACACAATTAAGGGAAAGGTCACAATAACAACCTTTAACCTGAAGCCCTCACTAGGTTTTGTAACCATAGTAACTATTTTTCTTTGAATTAAAAAATATAGAGTACAAATATTACCTCTTAAAGTAAACAATATGCAATGTCGACTGCACACTATAGTAGGGTCTGTTGGGCATCATCTAGGAGAAAAGTACCATGACACAACTCACTCCACCAGAAATTTGGAAACAGCATGCTGTACTGCTTGGCATTCGCACCAGAAGTTCCAATACAAATATTGAAGAGTATCAATCTGAGGACAGTGCGGAGAATTTGGAAAGTATTGGATGATATATTTAGTAAATGTTTGGAGGGATCACTAGTGATGGTGATGTTATGCCTCCATTCATCTTTCCACAAGGCCTCAGTCTCAACACAGGCCTACATCAAGTGCCTTGAAGCAGCAGTACTGTTCTGGGTCAAGAGGGTGGCTGCTGGAAGGCCCTATGTCTGGCAACAGGACTCTGCACCATGCTACACAAGCTGGAGAACCCAGTTCATGGCTGTCAGACAATTTCTGCAACTACATCATCCCTTACATCTGGCCACCTAATTCCTCAAATTGCAACCTCCTAGATTAGGGGGGAGGGGGACGGTTGAGCAAGAGACCAACCAAACTCCTTGTAATACCAAAGATGAACTGAAGGGAAGGATTATGGCAGCATTCACCAACTTAAACACGGAGGCAGTCCAGAAAAATTGAAAGAGATTTCAAAGTTGTCTGGAGGCCATGGTTGAAGATCGTTAGTATTTCAAGATATTTTGTGTAATTTTGATAAATATATCTGTTAAAATGAAATGTCATTGTTATTTTCATTTTTGCATATTTTAGATGACAATTTATCCATCCCACCCTGTAGTCATGAATAAATTTTAAATGACTTTTAAGTAAATGCTTCAAGGTCCCACCGCATATTTATCCATGTTACTTTATTTTTTTTTATCATTCTTTAAGTGTCAATTCTTTGTGCATAATATTATATTTGTCCGTCATATAATTTAGAACTATTAAGCTGGCAAGAAGAAAATACAGACTTACCTGAGATGACTTGAGTCTTTTGGCAAAACGAGGTGCCACGTAATCCTCCACGTGGATGTCCCGACTTAAGCTGTTATCAGTAGAATTTCCAGAGACTGGCTGTTGCATACTCAGGAACGTTTTCAGAGCATTCACTTCACTCTCATAAGAACTATCAGCCATTGTCTTCCCCTTGGAAGCTAGCCGACAAGCAGCCATCCACTGACAATAACTTTCCTCCTAGAAAAGAAAAGAGATTGAACAAACAAACAAACAAAAAAAATTTTTTTTTTTTTTACATCTGCCACTTGTTTTAAGTGCTGCACTTTAATATCTGTTCTAGTTTAGAACATGTTGCAGCTGTTCTGCTTCTTTTAGAAATATAAATTTTATTTATTACATTAATACTAGTTGGAAGATAAAACAGCTGAAATGTGGCCATAACAACCAAGATAGGGATACTAGGCACAGTATATTAATTTATAATTCCTAGAGCTGGAGAAATAGGTCATCTGCTTGAAACAATGAATTGCAATAAAATAAAAATTGACTATTCTAGATTGGCAAGCTATTAGCAAATCCAGTTTAGTTTTCAATAACAAGAAACCAGCATTTTTTTTTGGGGGGGGGGGTAATCATTTCACCCACCCTGAGTAAGGTAATAAAACCACTAAAGAGAAGAGGTTACTAAGTCTGAAAGAATGAGAAAAAGAAAAACATTAAGGAGAAAGGACAAATGAACAGGAATTAAGAAGGCAAAACATAAAAAATTAACTATTTAAAAATTTTAATTTTTTGAACATCAAAGTTGACTGGAAAACAAGAGGCTGGAAGAGTGCTACACAAGCAAGAAGAGCAAGAGAAGAAACTGTTAGCATAGAACTTACAATTACATCTAGCCAATTCAACTGTAAAATGAGGAAACTTAAACCTTTAAACAAGTATCTCAGAAATCAGTTTTATTCAGAAATCTTTTTCATTGTTACAGAGCACAGCTGGCAAAATAAAGTATATGAAAAATATACAAAATATTAAGTTGCCGAAAACTTGCTGTATTCAAGTGCTAATTCTAAGTGCATACATTTAAAAAAAAAAAAAAAAAAAAAAAAAAAAAAAAAGAAGATACCCTAATATAAAAAACATCAAATTAGTATTCAGATTTCATTTAAGGCTATTTAGAATAAAGCATTAACAATTAAAAAAAGGGGGGGGGTGATTGATAAGCAATCTCCCCTTATCAAGTGACATCGTTAGTCATGATAGAAACATTGATAATATTTTCAGTAATATATAAAACCCTGTTCAAATATTACCAGTTTACTGATGGTAAGAAGTAATAACATTCATTAGTCACACTTATGTTCATACAAAAGATATGAATCAAGGGAGACAGTAAGGAAATGACAAAGTTCAGTAAAGCATTGCCAAACTTTGCAAGTACAACAAGGCCAGAGATTTTTGCCTCACAAGGCAAGGCTATATCCCAGAATAAACTGCAAGAAACCTAAGAATTGTTAGATACTCACTATACAGACCCAATTTGACTTCATTAGAATTCAGGTATTCCCAAAATTGCAAGGAAAGCATTTTTCATCCAATGTTAAGTTTGAAATTGCTGTTCACAAATCAAAACTAAACTAGAAATTTCTTCTCACAAAGAGAATGCAAAGTAAATAGAATGTCTGGGGCTAAATGATGACAATATTGAAAAAGAAATCAAAATTTTGAAGAGAAGTTTACTTTTTCATATTTTTATTATTCAATCAAGTCTAGAACTTGTTTTAGAGAATTAATGACATTACAATAAAACCTACTAAGTAAGTCTCCCCCCCGCCAACCCTTTCACAGAGTCTCGTTGTTAAACTCAATGATTGTACTCCACAGCTGTTTAAAACACTTGTTTTTGTCATAGGAAAATCCAACATGGCACTTGAACGAAATATTCAGCAAAAAAAAAAATCTCATTCGTCAGTAACATTTAAACATCTCAGAATGCAAAGTTCTCAAAGCAAACCCCTGCCAAACTGTTTTCCTGAATCCTTGATGGCTTGGCTGTCTGAAAATGACATCAAGATGAAATGATGGAAATTGACTGTGGAGAAAACAATTATGTGCAACAAGTTTTCGATCAATCAGTTAACTTCAAGATGTTTTCAGGCCATGTTATAGGATCCAGATGGCTATTGTTTGCACATGAAATTATTCACTGGTAATTAATCTTCGATTTGGCTATGAAAAATGTCACTCCAGAGTTAGCATTAAAAAATTATGGCCAATTTTCTGAGAAAAATCATTTATGAAAAAAAATTTTTTTTTTCACTTCAAAAACAAAACACATCAAGCCATTGTTCGAACATACGTTTGAAGAAAAAAAAAAAAAAAAAAAAAAAAAAAACACCATTTTACCAATATTGCCCCCACTCTTTTTTTTTTTTTTTTTTTTTTTTCACTCTTAGCTCTTATCTTGTAAGTGGTGGGATTTATTACAAACTGATGACAGCTTGTTCCAACATTTATCAATTGCTGACTGGCCTTTGACCCTGATATGTCAAAGTCAATTTGGCTTAATTTTCCTTATTGCTGCTATTTTTTGAGCTTAAAAAAAAAAAAAAAAAAAAAAAAAAAAAAAAAATCCTCATGGTTTCCGATGGTCAGGAATTGTGGATAAATCTTTCACCTTTTACTAAAGATTTCCATGGCTGGGTGTCAATTTTTTTTTAACTCCTTGCAGCCATATAATTGAAAATTAACAATGGTTAATTTTTCATTATTGGGGAAGATTTTTGTTTAGAACTAGAAAATATGCAAATTTTTTCACATTTTACCCCCTTTAAAAAAAAAAAAAAAAAAAAAAAAAAAGTGTCATTTACATCAGCCAATTTTACTTTTAAATGAAAGAACATTGCTTTCAGAAAATACCTAGTTTCATGGGGGTCAGATCAAGTTTCCTTGATATTTTGTCCAGATGAAGACAAAACGGTCATTTTTCAAAATTCTACCCCAATAAAAGTATGAAAATTCATTTATTTTCAGAGAAAATAAGCTGTGACTAAATGACTTGCCATTTTTGTGAGGAGTTTTACTTGGGATAGAAAATTTTTGCCATAGCAAACCTGAATTGACTTTATCTAAGTTTAGTGAGGCTATAGGAACCCTCAAACAGCTATGTCTCCTACGTTTGCTATAAATGATTTAACTTCACTGAAATTTCCAAGCTCTTCATAATAACTGATAAGCTCGTGCTGTGGCTTTAGATATCTCCAAAAGCGTTTGATAGGGTTTGGCATGCCGGACTTCTTTGCAAGCTTCAGGGTTATGGAATTTCAGGTCGATTATTTGACTTAATACAATCATTCCTGTCAAACTGTGTATTGAAGGTCATTCTCAACGGATTTTCCTCCAGCTCTTATCCCATGAAGGCAGGTGTTCCCCAAGGCTCAATCCTAGGCCCTACTCTGTTCCTCATCTTAATCAACGGTCTTCCTGACAGATTCCCAAATAGGCATCTACGCAGACAACACTATGCAAGGAAAGTTGGCTCCCTATGCCATGCCAGGAAATTTTTCTCACCGGAGTCATCCTTCAAATCTACAAATCAACCATTCACCCTTGCATAGAGTATTACTGCCATATATGGTCTGGTGTCCCTTATGTTTGTCTCAAGGTTCTTGACGGATATGCAACGTAATTGGCCCTGATCTAGCATCTCTTCTGCAGTCGCTCTCTCACAGACGTGCTGTTGCCTCCCTCTGTCTTTTTTACAAATATTTTCATAGTAACTGCACTGAGGAGCTGCTTTCACTGGTTCCCAAATTTCATGGATTTAAGCATTCTACTAGGCTGGCATCTCGCTCACACCCTTTCACTGTCGAAACTTAAATGTAGCCATCTCTTCTACTCCAATAGCTTCATGTCTCACACCTCTCGCCTGTGGAACTCCCTCCCCTCTTCCTGTTTTCTTGATAGCTATAATCTCTAACTATTCAAATGTAATCTCAATCAACATCTCCAGATGTCCTGATCTATCCTTCTCTTTGTCCTTTCCTCTATCACTCCTATTTGCTCTAGCTCCAACTCCGTAATCCCTTGCATGCTAGTGGCTTCCTGTCTTGCAGGGGGTGAAACGCTTAAAAAAAAAAAATAAAAAAACTTCAAGCCAGCAGCCATGCTGCTTTTGAGAAGTCTCTGTACATATATTAATATTTACAGTAACTTGTAATATATTAAAAACTGGAAAACTGAAACATGGTAAAATTAACAAAATTACTTCAATTGTCTAAACCAGGGGTTGGCAACTCATTCGACCACGCTGGCTGGATCATGTTATAATGACGGGTCGTGGGCCGGACGAAGGCCATTAATGAAAAATTAAGGAAAATTACATATGCAGACCCCACCTGTCAACCTAAATATTTAAGCCATAATGAAAATAAACATTGAGAAATCAGAAAAAAAGAAAATCTAAAATTAAAAAACACCTAACAAAAATTACTTTTCCTCAAGGAACGACAAAATACTTGAAAAAAAAAAAAAAAAAAAAAAATCAACCGAAGTGAAATGGATGAAATTATGACACACAGGTTTGAAACTGTTATTGAAAATGGTTCCACAAACGAACCACACACATACACACCAAACAAAAACGAAGCACATATACACATACATACGAGTACAAATAGTTGCAAACATATACACTTACATACGTACACATGCAGTATCATCCACACATTCATGAGGCATGTATGTATAATGCGCGTATGTTTAACTGTCTTTAGATTTCTGCTACCTCACTGCAATGGGGGTCACTGTTGGAGGAATGAAATAGAAAGCCGACTGAGACAACATTGTCCCTTTGAAGCTGTCACCAGTCGGTCAAATCGGCTCTCAGTTTTTGTTTTATGTTTATTTTTTTACGCTGAAATGGAGGTGATTGGGTTTTGAGCATGTTTTTGCAGTCATAGTATTCAAATTCGGTTGGGTGGATCAGAGGAAGATAACAGCAGGCCTTTTGTCGAATTCGAAAGCCTCGTCTCTCATGTTAAAAATAGAGTCATTGGTAATCAGGCTCGCGGGCTGGTCAAAATGCTTGTGCAGGCCAGATCCGGCTCACGGGCCGTAGGTTGCCGACCCTCGGTCTAAACAGTTAAATTATTTACATGCAGATTTATCGTCATCTTTGTTATCACAAAGTTTCAGATGTTGAACTCTCCAACCTGCATCAGGTGCTCATCAATTCAAATAACCTTTCAGGGAATTTTCATAAGATTCAATACACAATCAAAAATTACTAAAAACAAAAACAAAAAAAAAAAAAAGATAATCCAAAACCTGATCTCTACATCAGCCTGAGAGACTTTAAAATAAAAAATACTTACTGTATCAAACCGAAGCCAAATCTCAGACATTCCTTCTTTTGTTGGTTCAAACAATTTTATTCCATATTTCTTACTAGAGAGGTTTACGTCAGGGCTTGTCTCACAGCCTGTAGCAAATAAAATTTCCGAAATATTAGAATTTGAAAAACAATTTTTTTTTTTTTACATGGTTTTTTCTTGATAAGAAAAATGCCAAAGTTAAAACATTTAAATTCATAAAAAAAAAAAAAAAAAAAAAAAAAAAAAAAAAGATTCAATGTCACTTAACATTTAGTCAAATGAATAACTTGCCTATAAAATATTTATTTTAATATTTGAGAATTTCATATTTAAGAGGCAAGAAAATTAAGAGATTTAAGCATTTTTTTTAAATAAAGTTACCAAGAATTTGTTAAAGTGTTCTAGTACTAAAATAAAGTTAATTTGAGCACAATTGCAAAGAAATAAAATTTTGAAAATTACTTTCAAAAACATAATTGTTCCATGTCTTGTCAGTTTGTCAAACTATAAATTAGATGTTAGTTACATACACACATCCAGCTATTCCTTTTCTGAGCATACCCATATACAGTAACTATGTTGAGCAGACGTTAGTTTCCAAGATAGCATTCATAATTTGGCATAATCAGTTTGAATAAGGCTAGTATGCTCAAACACTCAGTCATGATACTTGTGGCTTCACGCTAGAACAACTATTGAGGTTTCAAACAGTTCTGTCTAAACAATTTCACTTGGAAGGCTTGAGTCAACCTGTGGTGTCAGTCACCTATTTTCAAAAGGCAACACAACACCGAGAAATCACCTACCTGACAAAATTCATACCTGGGTCACAAACTGAAAACGAACATTCAAACCACTTGGTTACACATCCGCATATAACACTGGGGCTGTCAAGCTATTTTATATGACAAATTATTAATGCTTCTAAAAAAAAAAAAAAAAAAAAAAAAAAAAAAAAAAAAAAAGTCACATCTGTGAAATTAAAAGTTGACTAATAAAACTGACCGACAAACATTTCCTTGCTGGACAATAAAAAAGAAATATTTGGTGACTCCACACACACACACACACACAGCTGTAAAGAATTGCCAGTTTCCCCAGCAGTGTCCAAAGTTACTGAGGATTACATTGGAATGTCCAGCATGACTAAATTTGGAATTCTGTAACTTTAAGTGCCACTTTTAAAAATTCAAAATTTAACTTGTGAGTTAGTTGAAAATTTAGTAGCACTGGTTTTTCAGGTATCAACCAATTCAGTAGGCCTGAAACATTGTATTAAGCCAATGTTCATCAAACTGAATAAATAATAAACAACTAATATATATATATATATATATATATATATATATATATATATATATATATATATATATATATATATAGAAAAAATTTCAAATTGAAAATTATAATGTTTTATTTTATGAAATTTATTTATTTATTTATATTTATATATATATTTGATATTTCAAATTGTCCTCAATTTTTCATATCCAAACAGTGACGTTCCATATCACGTGACGTCCGCGTCCCTTGAAGGACGCTATTTGCTAACAAACAGTAATTTTAATTTATTTGTAACAAACAGTTATTTCTGATGAAAAATTGAGGACAATTTGAAATATCAAATATATATAAATAAATAAAATACTTTCATAAAAATAAAACATTATAATTTTCAATTTGAAACTTTTTTATATATATATATATATATATATATATATATATATATATATATATATATATATAAATGAAGAAATTTGAAAAAATGGATATAAAAATGACAGAATGAAGAAACCTTCAAAAAAAACAAACAAAATCAAAATAAATCAGTTCAAAAACAAAAAGAAATTTAGACATTTCTGGGTTTAATTTAAGGATTTTTCAAGACAATATATATATATATATATATATATATATATAGTGTTACCAAATAGGAACTAAAATAACCAAACAAACTTTTCTAGAGGTGACATATTTATTTTCAGCATAAGTTGGGAAAAATTCTGTCCATGATTGAAAATTTAAGGCAAAGGTGTGAGATAGATTACGCTACAAATATCACAAGAATGCCTTACCTTTTGTAGCTATTTTGGAAATAGCATTACCACAGGTATCATCTTTACTTTTGTACAATGAAATAGTGTATTCCCTAAATACACAGTAAAACCGCTTGAAATTTTTTAGGGTAAATTTCTTTGGCCTGAAATATTAAAGTTTTATAATTAATAATTACAAGGTAAAAATAAGATTTTTTTTTTATTTTATTAGACAAATTTATTTCTACTAATACCTAAAAAGCACAAATCTAGAAGACTTGTAAAACATTACAAACTTACTTGAATATTTTGATGTAGGTTCCTAATTCAGGGACATTGGTAATATCAGTTGGGCAAGAATGTGATCCGCCTTCAAGAGATTCTTGCAATTCTGTTAGTGCAGAGTCTATATCATCTTCAGCATGAAGGTCAGTCTCATCAAAATGATCCGGCTGGGGTTGCTCACTTTGAAGTTCAATTTGCATCTTAAAAAAAGGAAAACAGAAATTATTTAGTTTAACTACAGGAACTTAATCCTAAAGAGTATTTAAATAAAAGAAAAGGAAAGGAAAAAAAAAAAAAAGACCCCACACACAAATTCTCATGCTGGAGAGCTCCTAAATTCGATTAAATCAACTGAATTCTTAACCTTTGTATTTATTTTTAAATGCAGCTCAATCTTGTTTTGTCCACATATAAAGCTTCATGTCTCAGAGAAATGTTGCATAGAAGATAGTGAAGTGGCTCTAAAGCAACTTCACAAATTCTTTGAAAGTCCTTAACACACACACACTCACAACCCACCCATAAAGGCTGACAGATGGTCAAGTGATCTTCATGTTTCTATAGGAACAAATTTAACTCAGAATGGTAACTCCAAAAAGTCAAAGGCTCTTTGATAAAAATGCCAAGTTAATTAAATCAATCGATTTCTCTTTAATGCAGAACAATTTACTTGCTTCTCAAAAAGTAACTTTCACTTTGAAGGCATTTCATCATTTTTATACAAAACAATGCCTTAAACTTACTTCAAAATCATAATTATTACAACCACGCCACACATGTATACATACATTTTAGGCACACACAAGAAAACCTTCAAATAGCAGGAAGTGGCAGACAATTTACACACACACACACACATATATATACGAGAGAGAGAGTGTTACTGTTCATTGTTTTGTGATATGCAAAACATTTTAGTTTTTCCTTAATCATATGCGATGAAAGACTTTTTAAAATTTAATTATACCTTTTAGAGACAGCTGAAGTATGGAAGAGAAAAAAATAATATTGCTTACAAATATTCCCAATTTTCAACATTGAGGAAAATACTAGTAAATTTAACAATTTTTGAAGGATTTGATCAATTAAAAAAAAAAAAAAAAAATTTAAGTCTAAATGTGAACAAATAATCCTTAAAAGGGATATTTGTTGTTGTCAAATTATGGAAAGTATTTGATTTTGCAGTATTGAAACTATAAAAAATTGGTTTTATGCCCTGTATCATGGGGAAAAGGGAATTCAAAAGTGGAAACATACCTGCAAACCAGCAAACATGATCATTTCTTCTTCTGTACAGTCAATCTCTTCAGATATTAATCCCCATTTGGCTTGTTCATAAATCTGATTTATCCGTATGGAATCATACTGACAAAAAAAAAAAAAAAAAACAGATTTTAAGAGATTAAGCATTTGTCAACCATTAATTATTTAACTTTAGTCTTCATTTTAATTCCCTTTTTTTTTTCCATTTTAAAAATCACCACTATTCAAATTGTTGTCAATCAACAGCTATCAGTCAATAGAACTGATCAGGAAGATGTTCTAATCAAGACAACCAAATTTCTTAGGCCAGTTAATTAATCAGCAAAGCAGCTGTGATGGTTAGTCAAACTTTCTGAAATAAAAGATGCAAACTAAATAGATCCCGGTAAAACTATTTCCACTCAATGTTTTTGTTCACAAATGGACATCGGCCAAGTGGGTGTGGATAGATGTGATGAAAAGCAATTAAAATCAAAAGGGAAGAAAACCAGTCAAAAATTAATGAATGAAAGTTTAGATTGCCAACAATAAGAGTCATGGTGTAGTGCATGACTATTATGTTGACATATGTAGTAACTATTAGGTAGAGAAGTACATTGTATGTTTCATATTGTATACAGGGTTAATATTTTATATTTCCTCAAGATATCACTTTATTATTAGATAAGATTTAAATTAGCAGAAAATTGTTATTATATATCCGTTGTAAACTATTCAAGCAGAATTTATTCCAACAGATTGAAACAAAATCAGTTTTTACAAATTACATTTTCAGAAAATGGAGCAATAATTTGTTTAAAAAAAAAAATCTAGACTTTTATTCAAGTGATCAAAACAAAAAGGCACTTAACACTTTTTGGAAGTTTTAAATATTCATAATCAGGTTAGAATTATAATAATAGATAAGTAATATTAATTATAATATAAAATTTAACTAAGTTTTCTTAATGTTTTTAGGGTGTGTCAAGTGTTCAAAATGCTCAAAGCAGAAATAAATCTATCAGGTATTAAGTATGGATTACACTCGAGTTGCAACAAATATCTGACATTGCATTTGTGAGTGGATAAATGCACTGCCATGGGTAGAAAAACTTAAAGGCTTTGCAGTCAACCTTTGCTTTTAGCTGCATTCAATTTGAAGTGTGTTAGTCATTTCACATCTGCTGACCCAGTTGTGTGGCTGCTGCTTTATTCTTACTACTTCTACAACATTATGGATACTGGTACTTATCTTGTAAAGACATTGGTCTTATAAACTTCCTCTAGTTTGATTTAGAGATCCAGACTTTAGAAGTTATTTCTAACAAGGTATATTTAAGCAGCAAGAATATATTCAAATAATTTGCCCATCAACATCAGGATTGAATAAACTATCCAAAGTTAGTGTTTTTGTCAAAGATGGACAAAAGTATCAGAGACTAAATTATCATAAAGAGTTATATATATCTTGAGCATTTGGGGTGGAGTGAGTCTAAAATTAAATATCCATAAGTTACATATGTGGCAGGATCTCAGAGTTTGACAAGCAAATATTTCATATGCATGTTAAATATTTTTAATCCGCATTTTAAATTAACATCTGCTGTAGTGAACGATAATTAACAGGATGTTCCTTTGTTTTGTTTTATAGTAGTAGCTTTGAGAATTTTTAGTTTCTTTTTGTATTTTGATATTATCTAAAACTAATTGTTGTATGTTATTTCTTTGTGATGATCAATATGAGCATGAACTGTACTAAGTTTCGATAACTGACAAGTTAACCTATGAGAAATGTGTGATACTTACATGACCAATGTAAGAATTAATCTTTTGTGATTATTTGTAATCATTAGGTTAGAGGTTTTAAACATTTTATAGCAAACTGATCTCAACTGACTACCATAAACAGATGCACTCTAATTAGAAATAAAATGAAAGCCATTAAAAATAATTTGCCATTACATATCAGTTGACTGATATTAAAGTCAGAATTGTAACATTGCAGTGGGGATAGGAGAGCACACTCACATTTTTCTATGACAACTGGATGCTGATAACAATTAGTTCCTGATCATGACATTCAAAAATAATTTTAAAATATCCAGTTTAACCTCCAGATGTCCAACAACTTGTCGAGAAAAAAAATACACCTTGTTTAAATGAGTTCTCGATTATTATTCTGTCTCACTCACACAGTTCATTTCTTAGGTGTCAGCGAATTTTTCTGCTCTTAAGTTGTGACCTTAAAGGACAGAAAAGAACTTTGAAAATAAAGGAATGCCAAGGAGATTTTGCTACAACCCACTTTCCAGAATTCGAAGTAGCCAAACAAATTTTTTTCTTGTTTTTCTTCATCAGAACCTTTCAGTACCCGATACAGAAAGAAAAGAACAAAAATATATATTTTTTTTTTTTTTTACTGGAAGGGGCTTAAGCAATGATGACATCCCAGGTTAGAAAGTCAAATCACTTTTTTGGTGGTGTGGGAGAATGGCATTTTAAGATTGGCAAGAACAACTTAAGGCATTTTTTTTTTTTTTTAATAAAACAAGTCATCTGTAATCTGGATTCATTCTAATATTGAATCTATTCAAACATGCCAAGTTTTGCAGTGAGTATTTGAAAGTGGTGTTTATTATTTAAAATAAAGAAAAGTATTGGCCTCTCTATAGAATTTGTTTTTTTCTTAATTGTTCCTTCCACAAAACTGCTGACATACTAAATTGTCAGTCACAAATTGGACAATTCAATATATTCAATGCAAAATTGAAAAAAAAAAATTGCACTACTTAAATATAAAGACAAAGAAAATGATACAATTAAAGTCACACACATACATGTTCAAAGATTGCATCCAAGTGTGAAAGACTGTCGCCACTTGGTGTAGACCTCAGTCTTTATATTTATGCACCCTATCCATAATATTGAGCACTTTTACCCATAATCATAACATACCTTAAAACTAATAAATACATATGAAAAGGCAAGATAAAAAACATTTTATGCCAACACGTTTCACTCCTTGAATTTTAATGGGGCAAGCATAGAAGTTTTATTTTAGTCAACATTAATAGGAAGAAGTATATATAATAAATCAAGAAGAAAACCATAATGCTCTGTAGTTTACATTGAGCTCTCTGGATTAATATCCTCCTTGGAATTATCACTAAGTCACAAATTATATTATATATATATATATATATATATATATATATATATATATATATATGTGTGTGTGTGTGTGCAGCATATCTTTATGCAAACTCATTTTGTTGAATAATATAGACATACTGTGTCTACTTATTTTTATTTTTTTCAGTTGTCTAATCAGTTTGAGATGAAATCCAACAAGGACGGAGACAGTTCTGTAAAAAAATTCCATAATGGATAAAATTTAATAAACTTAATAACTATAACAGTGTTTTCACACACAAAAAAAAAAAAAAAAAAAAAAAAAAAAGCAGCAACACAACTGTGACATCTTCCTTGATGGATTTCATCAACATCAAGAAACTGATTAGACAATTGAGAAAGGATCAGTATAAAATTAAGTAGAGACAATATGCCTATATTATTCAACAAAGCACACACACACACACACACACATATATAAATAAAAAAAATCTCACTATGGTCAATTTGTCAGGAAGGAAACTTCCTGATCTTATTGGACTGGAGGGGTTGATCCCAGCATGCAGCACCTATGGAAAGTGCCTGAAAACCATACCATGGGTTGACCCAAGCCTTGTGAGTGAAAATGAGTAAACAGAACCCTTGGGTGCTATCGATACCCATGCTAGCACAAAGCCACAAGTCATTGTGGCTGAGGGCTTGAGTGTGCTGGTCTTGTTCAAATTGTTGATCACGCTAGATAACACTCTTTTCCAGTAATTAAGGTCTGCTCAGCATAGGTGCAGTATAAATACAAATGCACCTGAGGAAGCGTTTGCAATAGCGATTGGCTAGCCATTTTAGTAGACATCCATCCATTCATCTGACAGACAAGGAAATTTTTTTTTTTTTTAAAGGTTTTCCCAGGATTCTTCCTCGCGACCCCCACTCATTTGGAGTAAGGGAGTGCAAAAATCATCTATATTATCCATTTACCTCCCCAAAAGTGCTTTCTGCCACCTTTGGTGGCCACAGATGGCTAAAAGAACTTTTTTTTGCACACCCTTACTGCCACAAAAAAAAAAAAAAAAAAAATTTGTAAGGATTCTGGAAAAACTAAATAAAAATAAGTTTTCCTTGTCTGTCATATTCAATGAAATTATATGTGCTTCGTTGAATAATATAATCATATTGTACCTACTTATTTTTATACTGATCCTTTTCAGTTGTTTATTCAGTTTCTGAAACATTTAAAAGAATGGTTGCTGCCTGCCCAAATATATATATTTTACACACACACACTTCATAAAAGCTAATAGAGAATGTGGACATTTCAACTGTCTGCAAATAAATCTAATAAGTCTATCAACCTATGATTGATTGAATGTGTCTAGTTTTATTGATGTCCCCCCAAAAAAAAAAAACAACAAAACCAAAGTAATTCTACTTGTGCACTATTTATTTACCAAACCAAAATTGTTCTGGCATCTATTCAGCTATTTTTAGGCTTTTGTATCACATGACCCCACTCCACACACAGTTCATGTAATATGCCTTTTTCATTAAAGCAAAAACTATTCCAGAAGAAGTGAAATAATCTATAGAGAATAATTTGTTTTTGTGTGTGATAAGCCGAGTATGCCTGAATAGAGTGAGAATAATGAGGCTGAATTTTGCAATAAGTAGTAGGCAGTAAAGCCAACATTTTATCAGCATACAGTATATATAGGTAAATAAGACTATGCCATCACTAACAACAGCAGCAAGTGGGAGAACTCCCCACCAAGTCCAAAAGCCTATAAATACTTCAGCATCCATACACACACACATTTTATTTATATATATATATATATATATATATATATATATATATATATATATAAAAACATGCACAAGGAAAAAAAAAAAAAATGTTCCCACAACAAAAATGGCAGCCAAAACTTTTCAAATCAATAGGAAAAAAAAGAAAAGTTTACAATGCTACAAGTTCCACATGAGTAATGAAAGATTTG